TTCTTTAATAATTTTATGTTTCAATATTTTTAATTTTAGAGGCATTTCACGTCAGAAATATCACGATTTGCAAAGGGTATGCCGATTTTCGCAAAACTTCGTGGGATTATAGTTCTATATAAGAGACTTCTTTCCCCCAAATTTTTTCAAAAAAATTCAAAATTGTTGAAGATACGCCATTTTGAATTTTAATATTAATTTTATAAAATTTTGAATATCTCGGAATATTGTTTATGGATTTTTATGAAATTTACACATTTTTCAGGTAAAAGTATGTACTTTAAAATGCAAATAAAGTTAATAAAAAAAAATTAATTTTTAAATAAAAAAATTAAAAAAAATTTTTTTAAACAATTTTTTGTTTATTTACTCCTCTCTGAGAAAAATGTTATTAACATATTTGGATTCCTTATGAATTCACCTTTAATTTCATAAAAAAAAATTGATGGAGACTCAACTGGTTCCGGAGATATTGAATTTTTTGTAAAAAAAAGCGTCGCCGCGCCATAGCACCATACTGCACAAGTCGCGTAGTACGTTACCGCAGTCGTGCATTGCTGCTGTAACTATGACTATTTTTTACAAAAAATTCAATATCTCTGGAACCAGTTGAGTCTCCATCAATTTTTTTTTATGAAATTAAAGGTGAATTCATAAGGAATCCAAATATGTTAATAACATTTTTCTCAGAGAGGAGTAAATAAACAAAAAATTGTTTAAAAAAATTTTTTTTAATTTTTTTATTTAAAAATTAATTTTTTTTTATTAACTTTATTTGCATTTTAAAGTACATACTTTTACCTGAAAAATGTGTAAATTTCATAAAAATCCATAAACAATATTCCGAGATATTCAAAATTTTATAAAATTAATATTAAAATTCAAAATGGCGTATCTTCAACAATTTTGAATTTTTTTTGAAAAAATTTGGGGGAAAGAAGTCTCTTATATAGAACTATAATCCCACAAACTTTTGCGAAAATCGGCATACCCTTTGCAAATCGTGATATTTCTGACGTGAAATGCCTCTTTAATTAAAATTAATATATTGAATTTCATTTAAATTCTTGCAAAAAATTTGAGAATCATTGAATTTCTTCAAAAAATGTCATTATTTATGAAAATAATTCAATTTTCGCTAAAAATCATTAAATCAATTTTGGAAACCCTAATTAAATTTTTCTGAAGAATTATTTTTTATTTTTTGTTTAATAATTGTGTTTCTTTAATAATTTTAATTGGATATTTTTAAAGTAATTTAAATTTATGAACAATTTTTTTCAAGTTTTTAAAACTAATTTTTAAATTTGTAAATTTAGTTGAAACATCTATTGTTTACATTTATCCCTTGTTTACAATTACCCCAAATGGCCCTAATTGTAAATTGATTGTTTTGTTGATTTTTGAATTTTATTTCGGAATAATTCAATTTTTTATTATGTATTTTTCATGATTTGAAGACTTTATATAGTCTTTAAAAGACTTGATAGTATTTAAATAGTTGAAATGAAAGGCGGTGCCTAAAGTATTTTTTTTAAGTTCATTATTTTTTTTTCTTTTTAGAAAATCTATTTTCTATAATATTGTGTTAAAAAAAACGTTAACATTTTATATTTTATTTGAACAGAAGATAACGATAAGTTTAATTCTTGCAAAAGAAAGCACTTATAAGTTAATTCTACACACAAACACACACAGAAATACGTTTATTTTTTACGTAAGTGCCAATAAATTAATTTCAATTTTTTATTTAAAATGAAATAATTTAATTTTGAATTAATTGTATTTTTGATATTTGAATAATTAATTATTATTTTGAACAATTACATTTTTCAATGATTTCAAAATAATTAAATTTTTATTAAAAACAGAATAATTTATTTTTGAATTAATTAAAATTGTTTGATTTATTTTTGAATAATTAATAATTGACTTTTGAATTATTTAAAATTCAAATATTGTAAAAAATTAATAAAATATTTAAAAAAACAATTTATTTTTAACATAATAAAAAAAGTAATTTATTAAAATACTAAATTCAAATAGATTTTGAATTGCAATTATTTTTAAAAATAAATAAATTTTTTGTGTAAAATCATTTTTTTAAAATTAATTAAAATTTGAAACAATTGAATTTTTTTTTTCATTTTTGAAAAATTAATTATTTCGAACAATTTTTTAAACATAAAAGAACCAGGAGCTATTATCACTCATAATAGCAATCAAAAAAAGCACACACTAAAGGGATCGCTCTTCCCAAAAAATTTAGACTCTAGATCCTGCACTGTATAAGTTAATAATTGAAGATTAATTAAATTTTTGAAAAATTAAATATTAAAAAATTAATTATTTTGAATAATTAATATTATTGAATAGTAATTTACGAAAACGACCAATGTAATAAAATTTAGAACGATATTTTTTATTGATTCAGGAAAATTGAATTTTTTAATTAAAATTAATAATCGTTGAAAATTGAAAATAATACAACTTTTATTGACAATTCGATATTTCAGTTTTTTTAGATTTTAAAAATGCATAAAATTTTCAATAATAATAATAAATCAAAATACAATAAATATTATCAATTATAATTATAAATAAAAAAAAAATAATAATAATAATAAGATATACGAATAAAATTTGTTTTTAAGTTATTTTGAGATTTTTATTTAACAAAATAAAATGAAATAATATAAATGATTTAATTAAGAAGAAAATTTTAATTAATAATTAGAATTTACCAATCTACAGTTTTTTTTCCACTGAAAACGGTAACCTCTCGCCTGATACCAGATATTTTTCCACGATTTTTCAAACACAATAATTCTTGTCACAATTTAACGTTTTTTAAAAACACCCGCACTACCGCATAACATAACATCGGAAATGTCAAAACATCACGAAAAATATAAACAAACAAAAAAATCATGATAATAATTCGCAAATGATAACTAACAACTAACTTCATACTGCGAACGGACAGAATGAAAAACCACAGACTTTAATAAAGTTAATTAATGATAAAATATTAAATAAAGATAAGGAAAGTTATTGAATTAAAATTCAATTATTTTCAATAAAATTTTAATAAAATTTCATGAAAGAATTCAATTATTTTCTAAAATTTTAATAAAACCTTGGAAACAATTGAATTATTTTTTTAAATACTAAAGTCTTTGGAAAAATTCAATTTTTATTATTAATTTAAAATAACATTTTTTAAAAGCTTCCAATTTTTTTCTATAATTTTAATAAATTTTTCGCAATAATTCAATTTTTTTTATAAGCAGTAAAATTCATCGCAAGAATTAAATTATTTTTTATAAATAATAAACTTCTTCTCGCAGGAATTCAATTACTTTCAATACAATTTTGAAAAACTTCAAAAATCAAATATTTAATTAGAAAATTAGAATTAGAATTAGAAATAATTTTAATTAATTCTGTCAAAATTCAATTATTTTCAAAAGGTTTTAAATTAAAATCTTTGAAAATTTGAACTTTTCATACTTTTAATTAAAAATGTTGCAGAATTAATTTATTTTCAAAAAGTTTAATGGAATTTTTTTTTTAATTAATTCAAGTTTTAAATTTCTAATATATTTAAATAACTGAAGAATGTCAGAATACTCGAAATTTCGTAAAATTAAATTGTACAAAAAAAGGATTTGATAATTCTCAAAAAACTTTTTAAAAAATTGACTTAAAGAAGAATTTTAGTTGAAAATTCTAGAAATGAATAATCGAAATAATAAAAATAATTTATGAAGAAGTTACAGTTAAAAAGTAGCAAGATTTAATTCTTATATGTTATTAAATTTAAAATTTTTAAAAATCTTAATTTCTATGAAAAAATAATAATGATACAATTTTTATTTAAAAATAAAGTTCTTTAGAGTCTGGGAAAAGGACAAAGTTTTGTCTGGAAATCAGAGAATTGTTTAATTTAGTAAAATATAAATGTATTATTAAATTTCGTTTTTTAACCTGGAAAACCTGAAAAGTCAGGAAATTTGAAAAGAGCAAAAGCGTGACAACCTTGTTATTTTAATAAGTTGGAAAAAATTTAATTATTGTCAAAACCTTTAGTAGTATCAATTCTTAGAATGAATTTAATTTTTTTCTATATTTTAATAAAATTCCTTGAATGAATTTAATTTTTTTCTATATTTTAATAATTTAATAATTTTAATTATTTTAGAAAACTGTAATAAAATTCTGAGAAGAATTCAAATATATTCTAAAAATTTTAATAAAATTCAATAATTTTAATTCTTTAATTTCAATTATTAAGAAACAGAATTATTTTAAAAATTTGAAAAAAATTGCTCATAAAATTCAATTATTACTTTTAAAATTTTCAATTAAAATGTTTAGAAAACTTCCATTGTTTTAAAAAAATTCAAAGAAATTCTTCAAAAGAATTTAATTAGGATTTTCAAAAATTGTAATAAAATCCGTCGCAAAAATTCAATTATTTTCATAAATAATAAAATTCTTTGAAAAGAATTCAATGATTAATTGATTAATTTTAAAATTGAAAATATTTGAAAAGAAAAATATTATTATAAAAGTTGGGAAATAAAAAAGCAAACAACAACTAACTTCAAACTGCGAACAGATTACCGGAATACAATGATTATTAATCTAGATTTTGCGTCACTATCAAAAAAATGTAAGTTTCTAAGTAAAAACTGTTTTTTATTTTTACAAATCAGTAATTTAGAAAAGAAAGTTTGAATAAATATTTAGCATTCATTTGTAAATTCAAAACTTGTGGTTCATGATTACGAAAAAAAAATGTAAAAAAAAAGGATTATTTATTTATTTATTATTATTATTTGAACGGGTCGATTAATAAAAATTGTAAATTTAATTTAAAAGAAATAATTATAAACTTTTTGATTTGATATATTCAGATGGTGATTTACATTTTTTTTTCTTAAATATTCTTAGTTTTACACTTGTAATTAAAATTATAATATAGTTAAATATATTTCTATAGAAACCTGAATTGATAATTTTGACTAATTATATTTTCTAGATACTAATTAATACTAAATTATATTTTTTTCCTTAATCATTATTTTTTTTCTCTCTGGCGATTTAATTATTTATTTCGCCTTAACTTTTTATGTGCTAAGCATCTTTTTCTCTTACGTTTTTTTGCCGAATTTCTTGAATTTCTGTCAAGTTTCCTGAAAGATCGCCTCTTGATTAATTTGGCATTTGAAAAATCTTGACACTCATACAATTGTCTCTGTAATTCGTCGAACATGTAATTATTTTCCATAATATCATCAATTTTATTTCTTTCATCAACTTGTCGTTTTATTTCCTCTTTTATTCCGTCAATTCTCTCGCTTATCTGTCGAGCCACTCTGCTCTCAAAATCATTTTCAGATTCATTTTCTTTTACAAAAAATTCCACTTTTTTCATTTCTTTCATTCCGTTTGTTTTATTTTTCCTAATTTCATTTGAAAATTGTGTTTCATTTTTTAAAATTGCTCCTGTATTTTGTAAAGTTTGTCTATTTTTGTGGTTTTTGGAATTTTTTTCTTTATTTGTTAAATATTGTATTGTTTTACGTTTCTTAAAAATTCCTTTGGAGTTTTTTTCGTTTCGTTTAAAACGATTTTGATTTTCACTTTCTGTTTCTTCTTGCTTTAATTCTTCTTCATTATCTTCTTCTTCTTCTTTTTCTTGTATTTCAATATCATCGTTTTCAAATATCGTTCTGTAGTTCGTTTCCCTTTTTCTTAGGGATTTCTTATTTGAATTATTTTGATTATGAAATTCACGTTTACATCGGCGTAGTTTTTTATTTATATTCTCCGCTAATACGTTCAGATGCGATTGTTTATCATTTTCTTTATTATTGAAAAGACTTTTCAATTTGCTAAAAACCAAACAATATTTTTGTATTAAATAAAAGAAACATTTTTTTCAATTAAGAAAGTTCAAAATCGATTTACAAATATTTTTATTTTGCTTTTTACTTTTTAATTTCTTTTTTCCTTTTGTTTTAAATTTTAGTCTTTAATAAAAACTAAAAAAGAACTAAAAATAAAATAAGTAATCATAAATAAAAATAAAAAACTTCAGAAATGTTTATTTTGTAAAATATCGGATAATTACCTGAGAGTAGAATTTGTATTTTTAGGAAAACTACTTGACGGATAAGTTTGAATCAGAAAGATAAATATTTGAATTAATATATAACGATATAAATATATTTTTCTCATTTTTTTTAAACGATAACATTGCAATATTCTTTGCAATTTCTTTTTTACACTTTTTACAGAAAAATTCCATCCACAATTTTATTTTTTTAATGTAAACTGAAACATAATTTGTGAATTTTTAGGTTGACAATTTGATTGAAAACAAACCAAAAAAGGAATCTGAACTTGTTTACAAAACAAGATGTCTTCAAAGCGGAAATTTCAAAATTGACGAAGCAAAGCTGTTTACAGGTATCGATGATGAAAATTGTCTTAAAGACGTAATTTTTTTTTATTTTTTTTCTTATTATGAAATTATGAAAAAATATAAAAAAGATAAATAATTGCTAAAAACAATTGTAAAAGGGATTTTTAATTGAAAAGTTTATGAAATTCTTCAAAATATTGTACTTTATTTTCTAAATGATTTTGTATTTACAGTTAACAATTATATTTTACACGCCGGTGTATAATTAGTTTAAATTTAAATGATGTTAGAATATTACAGAATGATTGAATAGTTAGTAACCTTTGATTTTCTATTTTTAACACTAATAACCATAAAAAATAATTTTATTCAAATAATTAACACTTTTAGGCGAATATAAAAAGTTTTGAACACCCTGTTTATTTCTTATAGTTACAATTTTTTCTACTAACTAACTTTTTTTATAATTACTGTAATTATTGTTTTAATTAAATTATAATTTTTAATTGTAAATTTAAATTTCTCAAAAATTAATTATCTAATTACAATTAAATTGTATTGTGTTGCATTTAAATTGTTTCGATTTACATTTAGATTGTTTTGATTTACGTTTAACTTGTTTTGATTTTCAATTAGATGAATATTGAATTACAATTAAATTATATTGAATTACATTTAAATAAATATTGAATTACTATCAAGTAAATATTGAATTACAATCAACGAAATATTAAATTACAATCAAATAAATATTGAATTACAATCAAGTAAATATTAAATTACAATCAAGTAAATATTAAATTACAATCAAGTAAATTTTAAATTACAATCAAATGAATATTGAATTATAATTAAATTATATTGAATTTCAGATTATTTCTGAATTAAATTTTTTCACGAGGAAAATGTTTTCCAATAAATTATTTCTATTTTAATTATAAATATAAAGTCATTTTCAAAATTTTCAATTCAGAGAAAACTTTTTGAATATTTTATACATACGTTTCTGCAGAATATGTAAAACTCGTTTACAAATTTGAGTACACGTTGCGTTCTTTTTTTGTTCCTTAGATAATTTTATTTAAAAATTCTTAATATAATATTTTTTTGAAGATATTTAACAATTAACAATTCTATAAAAATTCTACATAGAATACATAAATTTTTCAAGATTTTTTTATTTCGACTAAAAAATTTGCTTCCATTGCAAATAAAGTGTTTATAAAATTCACAGCCTTTTTTTCAAAAATTTAAAATAATATTAATTTTCTTTACTTTTTTTTTACCAAAAAAATTTAAATTTTACGATCAATAAAGCTTTGCGAATTCACATGTATGTGAATAGCCCATGATCTTTTAGTTGAACAATTATTTTTCATTGTGAGCTAAATATCTAGACGTTTCTAAAAGAAAACATCTTTTGAGCTTTTCAAATTTTTAACATTTTTTAAATTTACAACTTAATTATTATAAACTTTATAAAATTTGAAACTATAGACAATTTAAAATTTTTATTTTTATTTGATAATAATAGTAATTAATTTGTAAATAATTAAATTTTCGATAGTATTTAATTTTAATAATAGTCACACTGATTGCACATGAATAATGCAATTCGAAATCTAATATAACAAAGAAAATTAAATTACTTTGAAATTTCGTAACTTTTTTACATTAATTGATTCAAAATGAAAATTCAAAATTGAATGAAAAGCATTTGAAACAAAAATAAACATGTAATGAGAAAGGCAAATTAAAACCAAAGGATAATAAAATAAAACAGATAATAATTGTGACAAAACAATTTATTTAGTTGGAAAAAAACAGAATAAAAAGGAAAGAAAAACATCTGGTTAATAGCATTCTTATAACAGGCAATTAAATGTGATAGATAAATAAATACATATTTAATATATAATAATATATATTTGAAGCGTATAAAAAATCTAAGCAGAAATTAATAACTTGAAAATAAACATAATAAAAAATCATCAAAAATTTGATGGTAATATAAAATTTTGATTTTAATGTGAAAAATGATAATACACTAAGCATATAATATAAAATCAATATCTCATGAATTGATTTCGAAGTTATCACGGTTTTCAAGCTCTAGTTATTGCTTCTTGACATATTCAGCTTAAAATTGTAACAAAAAGAAAACGCCAATATTTTTTAAACATCAAAGAATTATTTTCTTTTTTTTTTTGTGGTAAACAAAACAAAATTTTTACTTATGTTAGGTGAATTTTACAGTATTTTTCATAGAACTGCAAAATTCAAACGGCAATAAACTTTTATGAGCGGCAATAAATTTCTTAATTCTATTGTCTAGTATTAATATTATCAACAAGAAAGAGTAGAAATCGCTTGATTTTTACTACTTTGTCATTATTTTTTTCTCTTTTGTGTATTTCCATATGTACTGATTTTATAATACGGAAATTACAAATATTTATAGTTTATTCCCTTTAGGAAAATTTTATTCTTTTATTTATTCATTACGCAGAGAAAGAAATTATAATATAAAATTTTACTAATTTATTCTTCAAAATCAGTACCGATATTTTAAATTTCATTTTATTTTAATAGTAAATAAATTTTATTTATTTACTGAAAAACGGGAATAAATTATTATATAAAATTTTTTTGAAATTACTCTTCAAAATTAGTAACGATAAATTTTGTTTCTTTCAACAATAAATAGATTCATTTTTCCATAAATATATTAAATCGATTCTTTTAATAATTATTTTTATATAAATAATGAAATTCTTTTTAAGATTTCACTTATTTTCAATACAATTTTAATTGATTTCTTTAAAAATTACAATTATTTTTAAAAATCTCGTAAAAATTCTCCGAGAAATTTCAATTATTTTAAAAATAATTGAATTTTTCACACAAGTTCAATTATTTAAAAAACTTTTAATAAAATTCAATTCAAGAATTCAATTATTTTCATAAATAATGAAATTTTCGCTGGAATTGAATTATTTTAGATACAATTTTTTAATTGAATTCCAGGGAAAATTAAAATTTTTTTTAAACATTTTTTTTAATTCTTCGAAAGAATTCAATGATATCAATAAATTGTAAATTTGTCACAGGAATTCACTTATTTTAAATTCCATTTTAATAAAATTCTTCTCAAAAATTCACTTATTTTTTAAAATTTTGCAAAAATTCAATTATTTGTAGAAATTATAAATTTTTTCGCAGGGATTCAATTATTTAAAAAAGTTTTTAATAAAGTATTTATTAAAAAATTTGAAAATTAAATTCTTTTTAAGAATTTCATTAAATTTTATAAAAATAATATAATTTTTTAAAGTACCTAATTTCAATTGAAAATTTTGAAAATAATTAAAATTTACTAAAAAATTCTATTACAAATTTTTGAGAATTATTGAATTGTTTAGAAAAATTTTATTACAATTTGGAAAAATAATTTGATCTGTTAGTGAAATTTTATTAAAATTATCTTGAATGTAATTGAATTGTTTCGAAAAATTTTATCAAAATTGTTGAAAATAATTATATTATTTTACAATTCATAAAAATATTTGATTTGTTTCGAAGAATTTTATCTAGATTTTTGAAAATAAATTAATTTTTTGAAAGAATTTTATTAAAAATTTTTTAAAAATAATTTAATGAAAATTGTCGAAAATAATTGTATTCTTTAGAGAAATTTTATTAAAATTGTATTGAAAATAATTAAATTGCTCTAAAAAATTTTATTATTCATGACATGAGAATAATGAAATTCTTGCAAAAATTTTTTGAATAATAATAAACAAGAATATTTAATATTCTGTACTTAAAAAGTTAATTCTTTAAATTTTCAATCTGTAGTTATTCAAAAATTGAAGTTTATTCTTGAAAATATAAAATTTGTTTAATTTACAAAATAATAATAAATGGAATACCGCGTTCCACGCGTATCATTTGCTAGTTTTTGCTATTAATATTAAATTCAATAAATTTGCTTGTATTGAATGTAAGAAACAATCGATTTCTTCACTTAAGTATTAATAAATATTTCTGATATACTTTTTTTTTTATCTAAATACTAAATATTTTTGATTTTTTCAGAAATGGAAATCAAGGCATCGTTCTGGTGGAACTGAAAAGAAAAGGAAAATCGCAGCTGGTAGTTCACAGCCAATTTTTTTTTTTATCAAAAGGATGCGCGAGGAGAAGAATATGTACGTTTTTCTAATTGGAAATCAAGGGCATGTAGAATTTGTGTTTTTGAGTATCGCGTGTGTGCTTAAATGGAACTTTCTTTGCCTCGAGAAGAGCAGCGGGACATGGCCCTCGATTTCTGGGTACGTATTCTTTTTTATACATACTCGAATTCAATGATGATGAATCACCTAAACTAATGTGTGATACGTTCGATTGCTTTTGAATTCGTTCTACTTTTTGTTGATTGGAGAAATTTCCATAACTACGACCCTCGCTGTGGGAGTAAAATTTCCCACCGACGGTCAAATTATCTTGATGACGTACGATGCGTTGTGGTCGTTCGTAGGATGATGATGCCCAGGGATTGACTTCCTTGTTGCTTCGATGAAGGGATGTGAGACTCTTGCGATCGCTGCTTTGCGATGAATTGCTGATGAATTGACCACTTTCGGCGAGATTCGAGAGACTTTTACGTTGATCGGCGGCTGTTGAGGAGATTGTGTGGAGGGCTTCGGTTGAGGAGACGACGCCACGACGGTGAAGGACGGCGTTACAGACGTCGGCGGATGAGGAGGAAATTATGTTCTTTCGATGGTGGGTGGTTTTGGTGAGGGACTCTTGGTGGCGGTCTTGTCCGCTTATGGTTTGTTTGAATTCGCTGCTGCTGGCTTGATTCGCATTGTAACGGGCTTGACTGGCTATGGTTTGTTGGGTTAATTTTGATTGTCGAGATTGACTGCTTGTTTTTGATTCCAAGTGTTGGGAGTTGACGTAGTCGCGTTTGTTGTGCTCGTGATGGCGATCGACTTCTGAATACTGCTTCTCTTCGCGTATTTGTGATTTGTGCAGTTTTTCGCTTCTTCGGTTGTAGTCGTAGTCGTCGGAGTAGCGATCGTCCCTTTGTCTACTCGAAGGTCGAATGACCTGGTTTGATGAGGTGTTTCTGTGATCGGAGTCTTTCAAGTATTCTATTGTCTCCTTGCTTGAGCGTTTCGTGTAGGTGTTGTAATTCTGGTTTCTAGTCAAGTGATCGTCACTGAGATTTATCGAGGATTCGTTGTGGCGATTCCTGGTTCCGTTGGAAACGAGTTCTCTTGAGTCGGTTTTTGTTGTGTAGGAATCGCGATTTATTGTTTTTGACTCCATGGTGCCAGTGTTGAGGCGGAGGTTGTCTTCGTGACGGACGATTTCTCTTCGTTCGGCGCGAGTTGGCGTGTAGTCTCGTGGACGAACGGCGAAGTCGCCTTCGGGTTTTAGATTATCTGGGTGTTTGATTGGAGATCTGCGTTCACCGGGACCAGTGGGGGATTTTTCGGGACGTTCGAAGGTCCCCTCGGGTTTGAGATTGTCTGGGTGTTTTTTGATTGGAGCTCGTTCGACAGTTGTGTGATGATGATAGTCGTCTTTTCGGCGAACGTCGACGAATTCGCCTTCTATTCTTAAATTGTCCTCGTGCTTTCGAATGTTGATTCGTTCGACTTTTGTGATGTTTTTGTAATCGTCTCGCGAACGACGAACGTCCATTTCTCCCTCCATTCGGAGATGATCCTCGTGGCGACGTATTTCGACTCGGTCGCCTCTGGTGTGTTTTTTGTAGTCGTCATGAGAGGCGGTTGTGATTTGCATGTCGCCTTCTGATTTGAGATTGTCCTCGGGTTTGCGCACTGGAGCCCGGTCTGCTCGTTTGGGAACGAAATCGTCCTTTGGAACGATGTAGAATTGACCCTCTGGATGAAGATTGTCCTGAGGTTTCTTCTGTTTTGGACGTTCGGATGGAACGTATTCTGTGCGATAAGGTTTTGCGAAATCGCCTTCGACCTTTAGGTTATCGGAGTGACGAATTGGGGTTCGTCTTTCTCCGGGACCAATCGGAGATTTTGACGGTCGATCAAAAGTACCTTCTGGACGAAGATTGTCCTTTGGTTTCTTAATTTCGGCTCGATCGCCCTTGGTCGGTGCTTCTTTTCTTGGATATTCGGTGAAATCGCCCTCGGGTTTCAAGTTGTCTGGATGGCGGATTGGCGTGCGACGTTCTCCGGGACCAACGGGACTCTTCTCTGGACGATCGAAACTTCCTTCCGGTTTAAGATTATCTTTAGGTTTCTTTATATCCGCACGATCGCCTTTCTTCGGCGCTTCTTCCCGAGGACGAACTGTAAATTCACCCTCGGGTTTCAAATTGTCTGGGTGACGAATCGGCGTGCGACGTTCTCCGGGACCAACTGGACTCTTTTCTGGACGGTCGAAAGTTCCTTCTGGTTTCAAATTGTCTGGATGTTTGATAGGTGTTCTTCGTTCGGCTGGACCAACTGGTTTCTTTTCGGGACGTTGGAAATCTCCCTCGGGTCGTAGGTTGTCCTCGTGTCGAACGACTTGAATTCTCTCGGTTCTGGTGACATTGTAATCGTCACGTCGTTTAATATCGACGAATTCACCCTCGATTCGTAAATTATCCTCATGACGAACGACATCCACTCGATCGCCTCTGGTAATCGTGTAATCGTCACTAGTCCGATGGGTTTCAATTTCCCCTTCCATTCGAAGATTATCCTTGTGGATGACGACTTGACTTCGTTCTCCTCTTGTGGGTTTGTAATCGTCCTTCGGCTTGCCGATAAAGTCACCTTCTGGTTTGAGATTGTCCTTGGGTTTCTTTTGAACCGGACGGTCCACGCGTTTCGGGGTAAAGTCGTTCTTTGGTTTCCCGGTGAACGTACCTTCGGGATGGAGATTATCCTCCGGTCGAATTGGAGTTCGTCTCTCGGCCGGCGATATTGGAGATTTCTCCGGTCTCTCGAAATCACCCTCAGGGAATAAGTTATCAGCGTGTCTGATAGGCGTTCGCCGTTCACCGGGACCAATTGGAGATTTCGTGGGACGTACAAAGTCACCCTCGGGATGAAGATTGTCCGCTGGTTTCTTGATTGGAGCACGATCGCCCTTCTTCGGTGAATCATCTCTCGGTCTTCCTGTGAATTCTCCTTCGGGTTTCAGATTATCCGGATGTTTGATTGGCGTTCTCTTCTCACCCGGTCCAACGGGTTTCTTAACTGGACGATCGAATTCTCCTTCAGGGTAAAGATTGTCTCTTGGTTTCTTCACGTCCGCTCGTTCACCTTTCTTGGGTGCTTCCTGTTTCGGGCGACCGACGAATTCACCCTCTGGTTTTAAGTTGTCCTCGGGTTTAATTGGTGTACGACGTTCGGCAGGTCCTACCGGTGTTTTCTTGGGTCTGACAAAATCACCTTCTGGTCGAAGATTGTCCTCGTGCTTAACAACATCGATTCGCTCGCCTCGTGTCACTTGGTAGTCATCACGAGTTCTAGTGTCCGTAAATTCGCCTTCCATTCGCAAATTATCCTGATATTTGGTTATTTCGACTCGTTCTCGAACCAGGAAGTTTGTATAGTCATCGCGTGAGCGGATTGTTTGGATATCACCTTCCATGTGAAGATTGTCGGTATGCTTGACGATGTCAGCTCGTTCACCCCGCACGACCACGTAGTCATCTTTGGGTCTTCCCTCAAACGGACCCTCAGGTTTTAGATTATCAGAGTGCTTGATCGGTGTGCGTTTTTCAGCTGGTTTGACGGATGTTTTTTGTGGTCGGTCGAATTCACCTTCCACTTTGAGATTGTCCTTGGGTTTCTTGATGTCCGCCCGATCGCCTCGTTTCGGTGCTTCCTCCTTTGGACGACAAGGGAAATCACCCTCTGGTTTAAGATTATCTGGATGACGAATAGGCGTGCGTCGTTCTCCGGGACCAACGGGACTCTTTTCTGGACGCTCGAAAGTTCCTTCTGGTTTCAAGTTGTCCTTTGGTTTCTTAACCTTCGGACGCTCTGCAGGTCTGAATTCTGTATGTTCTGGTCTTTCGAATTCACCTTCTGTTTTTAGATTGTCTGGATGACGAATCGGTGTTCTTCGTTCAGCTGGACCAACAGGAGATTTTTCCGGACGTTCGAAAGTTCCTTCCGGTTTCAGATTGTCTTTAGGTTTCTTCACTTCTGCCCGATCGCCCTTCTTCGGCGCTTCCTCCCGAGGACGTGTGGTGAATTCTCCTTCGGGTTTCAAATTGTCCTTTGGTTTCTTAACCTTCGGACGCTCTGCAGGTCTGAATTCTTGATGATCCGGTCGTTCGAAATCGCCTTCTGGTTTAAGATTGTCTGAATGACGAATCGGTGTTCTACGTTCTGCGGGACCGACCGGAGATTTCTCGGGTCGTTCGAAAGTACCTTCTGGACGAAGATTGTCCTTCGGCTTCTTAATTTCGGCACGATCGCCCTTGGTTGGTGCTTCTTTTCTAGGACGATCGGTGAAATCGCCCTCGGGTTTCAAGTTGTCTGGATGACGAATCGGCGTGCGTCGTTCTCCGGGACCAACGGTACTCTTTTCTGGACGCTCGAAAGTTCCTTCTGGTTTCAAGTTATCTTTTGGTTTCTTTATATCCGCACGATCGCCTTTCTTCGGTGCTTCCTCTTTTGGACGAACTGTAAATTCACCCTCGGGTTTTAGATTATCCTCAGGCTTGATTGGAACCCGCTTTTCGGCCGGTCTGAACGGTTTTTGCTCCGGTCGTTCAAATGTACCCTCTGGTTTCAAATTATCCTGTGGCTTCTTAATTTCCGGTCGATCGACTCTCTTTGGAGTGTAGTCATCTTTTGGTCGAGCGTCGAAAGGTCCCTCGGGTTTGAGATTGTCCTCGTGTATTACGATATCAACTCGTTCTCCACGCACCACCTTGAAATCATCACGAGTTCTAGTGTCTGTAAATTCGCCTTCCATTCGTAAATTATCCTCGTATTTGGTAACTTCGACTCTTTCTCGTACTAGAAAATTGGTATAATCGTCGCGAGTTCTAGACGTCTCGATATCGCCCTCCAGGTGTAAATTGTCAGTTCGTCTGACAATGTCCATTCGTTCCCCTCGACATGGTTTGAAATCGTCCTTAGGCCGACCTTCGAAAGGACCTTCGGGTTTGAGATTGTCTTTTTGCTTTATAGGCGTTCGTTTCTCGGCAGGACTGAATTTCTCAGTTTGTGGTCTCTCAAAATCGCCTTCTGGCTTCAAGTTGTCCTTGGGTTTCTTGACCGTAGGACGTTCGGCTGGTTGGAATTCTTCATGATCCGGTCGTACGAATTCGCCTTCTGGTTTGAGATTGTCTGGGTGCTTGATTGGAGAACGTCGTTCAGCGGGTTTAACCGGTGTTTTTTCCGGACGTTCGAATTTACCTTCGGGTTTGAGATTGTCTTTCGGCTTTTTAACCGGAACTCGATCGCCCTTCGTTGGTTTGAAGTCGTCTTTTGGTTTTCCCTGGAAATCTCCTTCGGGACGGAGATTGTCGTCGGGTTTGATAGGAGTTCGTCGCTCGGCGGGAGTGAATGGTTGCTTTTCCCTGTCGGGGAATTCACCTTCCGGGAAGAGATTGTCGGGGTGGCGGACAATTGGTGCTCGGTCTCCGGGAGCGTATGGTGTGGGTGTTGATCGAGTGAAGTTTCCTTCGGGTTGGAGGTTGTCGGGATGTTTGATGGGTTGACGTCTTTCGGCGGGGACGAATTTCTCTCGAGGTTTGTCGACGAAATCGCCTTCGGGGCGAAGATTATCGTCGGGTTTGATTGGAGTTCGTCGTTCTGCGGGAGTGAATGGTTGTTTTTCACGATCTGGGAAGTCGCCTTTTGGGAATAAGTTGTCGGGGTGATGGACAATTGGTGCACGGTCTCCGGGTCCGTATGGTTGAGGTTGTGGTCTCTCGAAATCACCTTCGGGTCGAAGATTGTCTTCTGGTTTGATGGGTGTTCTTCGCTCGGCAGGAGTGAATGGTTGACGCTCACGATCGGGGAATTCACCTTCTGGATGTAAATTATCTTCTGGTTTTACAGGCTTCCTACGTTCGGCTGGAGTGAACGGTTGACGTTCCCGATCTGGGAAGTCGCCTTTCGGGAATAAATTGTCAGGATGACGGACAATCGGTGCTCGATCTCCAGGACCGTAGGGTTGCGGTTCCGGTCTCTCGAAGTCCCCTTCGGGACGAAGATTGTCTTCTGGCTTGATGGGCGTTCTTCGTTCGGCAGGAGTAAACTTGTCTTTGGGCCGATCTTCGAAATCACCTTCTGGTCTCAAATTGTCCACCGGTTTCTTAACTTCCGGTCGATCGGCTTTTTTCGGCTTATAATCATCCTTTGGTCTTCCCTCGAATGGACCTTCTGGTTTCAAATTGTCCACCGGTCTTTTAACATCCGCTCGATCGCCTTTCGTGGGCTTGAAATCATCTTTAGGTCTTCCTTCAAACGGTCCTTCTGGTCTCAGATTATCCTTCGGTTTCTTGACATCCGCCCTGTCACCTTTTGTCGGTTTGTAGTCATCTTTGGGTCTCACCTCGAAGACACCTTCCGGTTTCAAGTTATCTTCAGGACGTTTGACTTCCGGTCGTTCTGCTCTTTTCGGTAGGTAATCATTCTTCGGTTTTCCTTCGAAATCTCCCTCGGGATATAAATTGTCCTCTGGTTTTACAGGTTTCCTACGTTCGGCTGGAGTGAACGGTTGACGTTCCCGATCTGGGAAGTCGCCTTTCGGAAATAGATTGTCAGGATGACGGACAATCGGTGCTCGATCTCCAGGACCGTAGGGTTGTGGTTGAGGTCTCTCGAAGTCTCCTTCGGGACGGAGATTGTCTTCTGGCTTGATGGGCGTTCTTCGTTCGGCAGGAGTAAATTTGTCTTTAGGCCGATCTTCGAAATCACCTTCTGGTCTCAAATTATCGACAGGTTTCTTAACTTCCGGTCGATCGGCTTTTTTCGGCATATAATCATCCTTTGGTCTTCCTTCAAATGGACCTTCTGGTTTCAAATTGTCCACCGGTCTTTTTACATCCGCCCGATCGCCTTTTGTGGGTTTGAAATCATCTTTCGGTCTCACCTCGAAGACACCTTCCGGTTTTAAGTTATCTTCAGGACGTTTGACTTCCGGTCGTTCTGCTCTTTTCGGTTGGTAATCATTTTTCGGCTTTCCTTCGAAATCGCCTTCAGGGTGTAAATTGTCCTCTGGTTTTACAGGTTTTCTTCGTTCGGCTGGAGTGAACGGCTGTCGTTCACGATCCGGAAAATCGCCCTTCGGAAATAGATTGTCAGGATGACGGACAATTGGTGCACGATCTCCAGGACCATAGAGTTGCGGTTGCGGTCTTTCGAAATCTCCTTCTGGACGAAGATTGTCTTCAGGCTTGATGGGCGTTCTGCGTTCCGCTGGCTTGAATGGTTGTCGTTCTCGATCAGGAAAATCGCCCTTCGGGAACAGATTGTCAGGGTGACGGACAATTGGTGCACGATCTCCAGGACCATAGAGTTGCGGTTGCGGTCTTTCGAAATCTCCTTCTGGACGAAGATTGTCTTCAGGCTTGATGGGCGTTCTTCGTTCTCCAGGCGTGTATTTATCCTTCGGCTTTCCTTCGAATGGACCTTCAGGTTTTAAATTATCCACCGGTCTTTTAACATCCGCCCGATCACCTACAGTCGGTTTGTAGTCGTCCTTAGGTCTCGCTTCGAATGGTCCTTCGGGTCGAAGATTGTCTTGTGGTCTTTTAACGTCAGCTCGATCTCCTTTCGTTGGTTTGTAGTCGTCTTTGGGCTTTCCCTCGAAAGGACCCTCGGGTTTTAGATTATCACGGGGTTTTTTCACTTCCGGTCGCTCGACACGCTTCGGCGTGTAATCGTCCTTTGGTTTGCCCTCAAAAGGACCCTTGGGTTTTAAATTATCCTTCGGCTTTTGTGGAATTGGTCTCTCTGTTATCATAGGCACAAAATCTTCTCTCGTTTTTGATACTCCCTCGAAAGGTCCCTCTGGTTTTAAATTATCATCCCGTCGAATGACAAGAGTACTTCGATAATCCGTTTGATCGAAATTGTGAAACTCTTCGTGAGTTGTTGTTGATATATTTTCCGTGATATCAGTTCGCCCGTAATATTTATCAACGTCGTCCGTGGTCCACGTTGGTCGTCTCTCTGGTTCCCGCTTAACGACATCGTAGGTGTGAAAGTCTTCCTTCACGTGAGAGGTTCCCTAGATTTCAACAGAAAATTTGATTTCTTTGCTAAAGAAAAATCTTTTATTTTCTTGTCCTTTGCTAATTTTTATTTGTTATAAATTAATTTTGAGATTATTTTTGATATGGATAAAAGTATTTTTCTTACCGTGAATTCTCCCTCTCCGATTGTTAGATTATCAACTTGTCGGATGATCTCGGCACGTTGAACAGTTCGATGATCGATAAATTCAGTTCGCGATGTTGTCTCGTCAGTGAATTCTCCCTCAACTTTTGTGTAGGTGTTGCGACGTGCAGGGCTTGGCCTTTCGCCGGAAATCCCGGTGAAAACCAGCTCTGTGGTTGTCAGACCTGTTAAATGAATAACCAATTATTTAACTGATAAAATGATTATTTGCGCAATGAAAATTAAATAAGGGTGGAGCAAGTTATTTATCTTTTTAATGAATTGACATTATGAATAGTAAGTAACGAGTGTTACAAAATTATCCAAAAGGTGTGAAATTATAAGAAGAAGAAAATTATCAACTTAACTGTAAATAAAATATATTTATTAATCAAAGTGTAAATTAATAATTAAGTTTAAAAATGCAAAAAAAAAATTATCAACAAACATTTGTTTTGTATTTTTTTCTATGGATGTGACTTACTATCAAATTCTCCTTCAGGACGCAAGTTGTCCTCGGGTCTTTTAATAGGCGCTCGTTCGCCATGAGTTGGCGCTTCTTGCTTGGGCCTGCCAATAAATTCACCTTCTGGTTTCAGATTATCTTTTGGCTTCTTAATGGGAGCACGTTCGCCATACTTGGGTGCCTCTTCCTTGGGACGACCGATAAAATCTCCTTCCGGTTTAAGATGGTCTTCAGGCTTCTTGATTGGAAGTCTCTCGCCATGAGTTGCAACGTAATCAGTTCGTCTTTCACCAAGGAAATCGCCCTCCATATGCAAATGATCCTCCTGTCGATAAAATGTCTGCCTCTCGACATGTTTCTCGTCAAAGTCATTCTTGTAGGATGTTACTGTATACACCGGCTGGTCGTGCGGAATCTCCAGATGTTCCTCCGGAAAGTTATTGTGTGGACAACGATGACGTCTATCGAGGTAAAGAAATTTTACTTTTATTTCTTAATAGAGAAAAAAATTTAGTTGGAAAAAGAAATTAAGTTATTTACAGTTAATTCTTTTGAATTCTTCGGAATGAAATCGATTTCAAAATCCTTGGTTCTTATCAATGTGGACCGAAGATTGAGGATTCTTTGAAATAAAAGGACATAAATGGAAAAAAGTTGTTTCAAATTGCCGATTTTCGATGCAGATCGAGTACTAATTTGGTTCACTTGTATCTTCGAAGGTAAACGAGTGTAAAGTATCGAGGACATCTTTTTTTTTTATTGCACACGAGAGAGAATTAAGAAACAAGAAGTTAATTTTTGCTTTGGGGGAAAAGGAGTTAATACCTTTTTTACAAGATTTAAAATTTATATTACAAAATATTAAAATTTAACAAAAAAATTTCTCACTGAAATATTTTCATTTTATTTTTCTTTTAAATTGTTTTCGAATAAATTCTTAGTTCAGAGGAAAACTTAGTTTGTAATTAATATATTTTTTTGTCGTTTGCTTTGAATTAATTACAGTTCAAAAAATGTCGAACTCGATTCATTTCTTTTCAAGAAAAAAACTTTCTTCTCCGAATATTAAAAAACGATTATAGAAAGATACAAAGGAGGTTTAAAAAGTGGTGTGTTACGTGATTTGTCGCTTCCAAGTTGCCTTAAATGGATCTTTCTCGTGTTCTACTTATACAAATATTAATTTAAACTCGAACAGCTTTCAGTTTTTTTTTAATTATTTTTTGTTAGAAGAGAGAAAGAGAGAGAGAGAGAGAGAGAGAGAGAGAGAGAGAGAGAGAGAGAGAGAGAGAGAGAATATTTTAATTTTCAAATGAAATATTAATTTCGAAAGAAGAAAATAAAATAAATGGGGAAAAAACTCTTGAACAGGAGTAATTAAAACGTAGAGTATTTACAATGATAAATAAAATAATAATTCTTTGTAATTCGTAATAAGAAAGTATAAGTTTCTTAAACTTTTGGTCGTAAAAAATGTAAATTTTCTCTCTTGGGTATTTAAACATAAAAAGTAATAACAGTGATTTCCGTTTTAAACCGTTGATTCTCTTTGTTTTAAATTAAATGAGTCACGTGAGACGACTGCGTCATGTTTTCGGGATTAATTTCAATTTTAAAAGGTTAAATAAATTTGATGGACAAATTTAAAAGAAATAGAAGTCAGACAATGCAAATTTTTCGAAAGTTATTGAAATTAAACTCAATTTAACTTAATAATCTATATTATTTAATGAATAAATTTAATAGAAAACGCTACATATAATTTATTTTCATTAACAAAAAATTAAAATACGTAATTTTATGGGAAATCTTGTAAAATAGGGAAAATTAATTTTACTCACCCACAAGTGCAAAGTTCACAAATACATTGTTCCTTTAGGGGAATTTTAGCAATAACGTCCGGTACTTTTTGCGGGTTGATATCTTCTTTTTCCAAGGAATCAGGACTCTGATCACCTCTTCGCGGTTTCGGTTCCTTTTCATGTTTATTCGGTAATTTCTCTGTCGGTGAAATATAATCTCGAGGTTTTTCCGGTGATTTGGTCCTAGTGTCAGAGGGTCTGAAAATTGAAAAAAAATTTAATATAAGAAATTTATGTTCAATTTCGAAACGGTGTGTTTTCTTGGTTGCAAAAGAGATAATTTTAAAGTTTTGTCAGTTATTATATACACCTTATGAATTTTCATGAATCGAACACTTGTGTTTTCCTAACTAGCGTTCAATCTGTTATCCTTAAGCAATGATGTCAGAAATGAAAATACACTCGAGTAATATTCTTTACCGTGACATTGAACATTGAGTGTAAAGAATATATTTTTTTCTAAAAATATGATGAATTATATTTCTTCTTTTATGAAATCATTTTATCTCTTCGCTTTTAAATTCTCTCTTCCCTCAAATTTAATTTTTCGAGAAATTATTTATTTATATTTTGTTATATTTTTATAATTTATATATTATTTTGTTATTTGAAAAAAATAATAAATAAATAGTAATAAAATCTATATTAATAATCGTTGTATTCCGGTAATCTGTTCGCAGTTTGAAGTTAATTGTTGGTTTGCTTTTTTGTTTACTTAATTTTGAAATAATTTTCCTTTTAAAATGTTTTAAATTTTTAAATTAATGTACTGTCAAATCATTGAATTCTTGCAAAGCATTTATCAAAATATTTAAAAATAATTGAATTTCTTCGAAGAATTTTATTATTTATGAAAATAATTGAATTCTTTCAATAAAATGTAAAAAAATTCTATTGGAAAAAATTTAATTCTTGGCAAGATTTTTATTAAAATTCCTTAAAATAATTAAATTGTTTTTAAGAATTTATTTCAATATTCTTGAAAATAATGGAGTTTTTTTAAAATAATTTTTATTGAAAATTTTGAAAGTAAGTGAATTTTATGAAGAATTTCTTTTAATTTTTGAAAATAATCGTGTTTATTATTAATTGCAATTAATAATTTTTCTATTAAATTATGTTAAAATTATTCATAGAAAATTAAATTCTTCTAAACAATTTTATTAGAGTTTATGTAAACAATTACATTTTTTTTAGAATTTCATTAAATTTCGTAAAAATAATGTAATTTTTTTAAATAATGTCAATTGAAAAATTTTATTACAATTTTTAAAAATTTGAACCTGTCAGAGAAATTTTATTAAAATTGTATTGAAAATAATTGAATTTCTTAGAAGAATTTTCTTATTTACAAAAATAATTGAATTCTTGTTGAGGATTTTACAATTCATATAAAAATAATTGAATTGTTTAGAAGAATTTTATCTGAATTTTTGAAAATGATTGAACTTTTTGAAGAAATTTTATTCAAAAAATTGTATTGAAAATAATTGAATTTCTCAAAAGAATTTTATTTTTTACAAAAATAATTGAATTCTTGACAAGAATTTGACTATTTATAGAAAAAGTTGAATTGTTTCGAAGAATTTTATATCAGAATTGTTGAAAATAATTGAATTTAAATAATATTTTTAAAAGTAATTGAATTCTTCCGAAACACTTTAATTGTTAAAAAAAATAATTTAATTCTTTTAAAGAATTTTATTATTTATGAAAATATTTTAATTCTTGAGAAGAATTTTTTTTACTTACAAAAATAAACTGAATTCTTGACAAGAATTTTACAATTCATATAAAAATAATTGAATTGTTTCGAAGAATTTTATATCAGAATTGTTGAAAATAATTGAATTTAAATAATATTTTTAAAAGTAATTGAATTCTTCCGAAACAGTTTAATTGTTAAAAAAAAATAATTTAATTCTTTTGAAGAATTTTATTATTTATGAAAATATTTTAATTCTTGTGAAAAATTGTTTTTAGTTACAAAAAGAAATTTAATTCTTGACAAGACTTTTACAATTTATAAAAATAATTAAATTGTTCCGTAGAATTTTATATCAAAATTGTTGAAATTTTGAATCTGTATTCATTCAAAAATTGATGTTTTTTCTTGAAAATACAAAGTTTTTAATTTACAAAATAATAATAAATGGATTTGCTGGTTGTGAAATAAAAAATTTCTATTCCTTAAGAAATGAAATTGAACGAAATATAGAAATTAAAGTATATTTAATAATTGATTGATAATTATTATTTGTTTCAATTCAAGATTGGAATTTACCTTCTCGGTCCGGGTTTATCACCAATTTGTCGTGGAGTTTCCTCACGGCGTTGTGGTCGACTCGGTTTTCCTGCGGCGGGAATTGATTTCGGTTTGTCATCGCTCCGAAGATTTGGAATTCCTCGGGGATAACCGGGTCGATCGGGAGAGACCTTTTGAGGCGATTCGCTTGGCGATCGCGGACCAGAAGTCGGGATCTTTTCGAATTTTGTCTCGTCGACATCACGCGCTACCATACTATTAAACTGTTCTTGATTGACAAATTCCCTCGTTGATTTGCTGACATCTCTCTGCAAATGGGAGATTAAAAAAGGCATTTAAGTAATTTAATTATAGCTATAATCAGATTACAGGCTAATCGAAATATTTTTAGCTAATAAATAATTAGATAATCAAAATTAAGTTTTAAATTAAACAAAAAAAAGGTTAACAATTAAATGAAAAAAAGGTAAATTTTTTCAATGTGAAGGTTTTATTTATTATTTTTTAAATTATTTTGTTATTATTATTTCTTCTTTTCTATTATTTTGTTATTTTTTTATTTTCTATTATTTTTTTGATATTTTTTTTAGTTTTTATTATTTTTCTGGTATTTTGCTATTTTTTTTTATTTTCTATTATTTTTTTGATATTTTGTTTAGTTTTTATTATTTTTCTGTTATTTTGCTATTTTTTTCTTTATTTTTAATAATTTTTTTGTTATTTAAAAAATTTTTTAATTATTTTTTTTACTATTTCGAATATTATTTAACCGGACATATTTAGATAATGCAAAATTCATAATCAATTGTTACGATTAGACGGGCGATAATTAACAGTGCTTGACAGTTCATTGAACGTCGCTAATTGCGAAATGGATTGTATACTACATTCCTATTATGTAATTTCTTTTACTCGAATCAGTGACTAAAATAATATTTTGATATTAAGAGCAGAATAATTTTTCAATAAGAGAAAATTTCAATTTTTAACACGAAAAAAGGAAATTAAAAGTCTTTAAAAAAAAATACATTCCATTCTTTGATATTTTTTAGTTATTTCTATCGTTTATTGACATTTTTTATCTGAGTTTGTTTATATTTATTTTATACGTTTTTTCTACTTTTATATCTATTTATTTAAATTACATTAATTGGTAATTTTTTTTCTCTGCATTTGTTTAATATGAGAAAATTTTATATTATTTTTGGTTATTTTTTATGTAACTGTAAAAGTAGATTGAAATTCTATTGTTTTATATTCAAAATCGTAACAATTACTTACATTTTTATCTTAACTTTTTTGAAATTTTGCAAATTCTATTGTTTTATATTTAAAATCGTAACAATAAGATGTTTCTCCTAATTTACTACTTTGGAAAGTTTTGCATTTGTGATAAAAATAGTAACTTTTTTTGTTCTTAGTTTATTTCGGTATTTAAGTAAAATAAAATGTAAATTAACAAAAATAATAAATTAATATAAATGAATAAAATATAAATTAATAAATATAATAAGTTAATAATATAAATAAATAAAATATAAATTTTCAGTATTAAATTTTATGAGAGAAATTAATTTTTCCATTTTTATTTTCGCTTGCTTGTAAATAATTTAAATTTTATGCAAATTTCAATTACGCTTCATTTCTATTTTATTTACTGAAAAAGTCTTATGCAGTTTTTAAGCTTTTAAAAAGTCAAGGATGTGTTTAAAGACATAAAAGATGCGATTGTTAGGTATTAAAAATTATCACTTTGCCTCTTAGATTAGGAAAGTTATTTTGAAAGTACGTAGAGAACGTGACGTCTTAGTTTATGAATTATTGCACTGTATTCAAATATTAATATTCATTTTGAATTATTATTAGGCTAAAATTTCTTTTTCTTTTTTTTTTACTTTATTATTACAATTTTTTTATTTTTAATTCTTATATTATTTTCATTATTATTATTATTGTTATTTTTACTATAATTATTATTATTATAATTTTTATCATTATTATCTTTAAAATTAGTATTAATTTTTGGAAAATTGATTAATTTAAAATTTTTTTTGTTTAATATTTTTCTTATCGATTTGTTTAAAGTTTAAAAACGTAATATTTTTTATTTATTCTCTGAAAAAGAAAAACGTCATGTATTATGATTATTAATGAAGTTTTTTTTTGGTAATTTACGAGTAAAAATAATTTTCCTAGAATTATAAATTTTTTTTTCCAAATAAGATTGTAAGGTAAATTAACTTCTCTTCAATTATAAACGAGCCGTGAGAAATGGTGGTTACGTATACACGATAACGTGTTGTGTTTTAAGACAACTGGAGCACATTTTGTTTGCCTTCTTAACAATTGAAAACAGATTGAGTGCATGTTACGAAAAAAGTTTATCGCTCTAAATCTTCATTTAAAAAACATCTTTTAGGCATTAAAGAAACATTTTTCGATTTTTATCATCATTAGGCGCGAGAATTTTCCAATTCAATTCATATGAAAACATTTAATTTGTTCTTGTTTGTTTTTAATTAATAATGAAATTAATTTTTAGAACAGAAAAAATTTTCTTGTATTTTTATTATTGGTGACAATAATAGTAATTATAAAAAAATAATTCTCAGAACAAAATTGTTGATGCTGGAAAAAAACCGAAAACTGTTTTTGTTTTTAAGTTTTATTAACTCAACTTCTGTAGGAGAAAAGAAGGAAAAATTTGTATATCGAGTGACATTCACTGAGACGGGAAATATTTTTCTTTTCAAAAAGTTTTTCCATTTTTAAGGACGTGCGGGGACATGAATTACATTTTTCCTTTAATATACGACGAGACCGTATTAGGTCAGATTTATTTTTAAACGGTCCACTCAGCACAATCCTTGCACTGTTTGGAAGTGAAAGTCAATGTGGTCTTGCCTTGTACGAATGAAACTCGCGAGTTGACGATTCTTTAACTTTCGCGAGGTCACCGATTCCTTTGAAGGGCTGCGCCCTCGACTGTGAGAGATAAAGAATAAAAAAAAAGAAAAATACTCAACATTTTTCATCTTATTATTCGGATATAATATACGTCCTAAAAAAAATTTAACATTCAATTGCAGACTCCGATTCAATGTATTATTATTGATGAAAAAATATATCTCACGAGATGGTATAAAAGATTGTAAAATTATTGGTTACTGAAGTTTTTTTCTTCAAATAAATCAAGTTTTCTGTTTACGTATTTCTATTTTTTTTTCTTTTTGCAATTTTTATCGATGATAATTTTAGAGTTTAAACTATCATTTAACTGTCTAATTTAAAATTCTAATTTGAAGTACAATTGGAAATTGACAAAGTGGAATTTTTGAATTTATTATTTCGATATTTCGATTGAATTTTCGACCTTGATTCTGCTTATTTTTAAATATTTAAAAAATATTTGATCAATTTATTTATATTTTATTTTTGTTACAGGGTTTCTACAATACCTGGAAAGCCAAAAACGTACGAAATTGGATTACTTATGGTTCGGGGAATTTTTGTTCAAATTGTGGTAATTAATTTTACTTTAATTTACATAATTTAATTACTTTATTTATATATCAATTTTAATTTTACCGAATTTAATTTGAATCGAATTTCCATACTTTTAATTATCAAAATTATTACTTAATTGCCTCAGGAAGAGTTTTAATTGAATGAAATTTTCTTTAGATGTAATTTTTATTCAACTGAATTCTTTAATTTTCCCACTTTATACAAATTTTAATTTCATCAAATTTAATTCGAAAGGAATTTCCAGATTTTTATTTCTTTATTAATTCAAATTGCTCTTTTAATAGAATTTTTATTTGGAAAAATTTTAATTTAACGAAATTTTCGTTTAATATAATTTTTATTCACTTGGTGATTTGACTCTTTTTTCTATTGAACACATTTTTTTTTATTAAAACAATGTGCATTTTATTAAATTTTAAGTTCAAAAAATTTGCTTTGCATATATATGCGGATATTATTAAATTTTAAGTTCAAAACATTTGCTTTGCATATGGATATTACGTATGGAAATTGTAAGAAAAACTTCGAGGAAATTTGTTAAGAAGATTTTCTAGAAATTCATTATTATACGAATATTTGAAATTAATTTTTTAATTCCCTCAGAATTATGACGTCAAAATATTAGAATAAGTAGTTATTTTTATTTGTAAATTGTCAATTTAATTTGTTAATTATGTTAAATTATTTAATTCAATTTATTTTATTTATAGAAAGGTTTAAAAATTTTGAAATATTCCTAATATTCAAATTAATATTCATAACAAAAATAATAATAATCGTAAAAAATGAATTAATTTCTACTTAAAATTAATTTATTAAATTAAAATATAAAAAAAAATTTAAATATAAAAATTAAAATAAGTATTACGAAAATTAATTAAATTAATTAATTATTTTTGCTTAGAAAGTTAATTCAACTAAAAGTAGTAAAAATATTTGTTGCAAGACGATTTTCTAAAAATTCAAAAATATTTACGAATGGTATTTTGAATCCAATTTTTAATTTTCTCAGAATTAATTTATTTAATTCAATTTAATTTATCTGCCAATCAAATTATTTTATTTGTAGAATTAATAGTTTAAAAGTTTAAAATATTCCTAATATCGAAATTAATATTGATAACAAAATAATAATAATAATAATAAATTTATTATAATTATAAAAATTTATTTTGAAGAATTTCCTTAAATTTCTTGAAAATAATTTTAATTGAAAATTTTGAAAATAATTGAAATTTAGTAATTTACAAAGAATTTTATAAAAACTTTTGAAAATAATTGCATTTTTAAGAAAAATTTTATTCCAATTTTTAAAAATAATTGAACCTGTTCGAGAAGTTTTAATTAAAATTGTATTGAAAATAATTGAATTCACTAGAAGAATTTTATTATTTATAGAAATAATTCAATTCTTGCGAAGAATTTTACAATATTTATAAAAATAATTGAATTTTATCAACATTTTAGGAAAGAATTGAAATTCTTTTGCAAAATTTTATTAAAAAATTTTCAAAAATAATTTAATCCTTTCGTGAAATTTTATTAAAATTTTTGTTTTAAATAATCGAATCCTGCGAAGAATTTTACTATTTATTTATAAAAAATAATTGAATTCTTCCAAAGAATATTCTTATTTATAAGAATAATTGAATTATTGAGAGAAATTTTATTAAAATTTTTGAAAATAACAAATAAAAATAATTATTTAATAAGTGAATTTTTTTAAAATTTTGAATCTGAATTATTCGAAGATTGATGTTTATATTATAGTTAATAATTTTTTCAATTTGCAAATAATTAGAATAATAATTAATTATAATAATATAATTATTGTTAATATTAACTAATTATTATTATAAAAGTTTATTATTTTATTATAATCACAAAAATTTATAATTTTATTTATATTCCAATTTTAAGAATTAGTTTTAGTATCAAAAATATATGAAATGAAATTAAAATTATTGAATAAAAAACAATATATAGAAAACTTAATTGTACGAAAGAAATAATGTTTATTCAATTTGATTTTTTTTCAGCTCACCTGATCCTGACGAACATCCTTTGTGAATTCGTTAATAACACGATTGTCAACAATATTCCGAAAGTCTTGAACTTCAATGGAACTCGACGATTTTTCTATGACAAAAGTCTGTTGCATAATATCTGACGTAACGGTTGTGTTGTCAGTATCGGAAATAATATTCTGAGAGTCAATGACATCATGTTTCGAAGTGGTGTTACTAACAATATCCTTAGTTATTGAAGATCTACGATCAATAGTATCCGGTAAGTTATTATCCTTTGGATATTGTTTCTCCAGATTTATCGGTATTCTTCTCTCATCACTAGGTCTTCTATTATCGTTCGGTCTCTTTTCCTGTGGTTTCTCATAGGTGAACGAACCATCCCAATTTGATGAACCCGGCTTTGTTGGACGTGGTGCTCGATTTGTCGTTCGATCTGGACTCGTTTTATCCAATGTATTATCTTCTGGAAATGATTTTTCGGTTCTTGGTTGCACTTTTGGGGTCTTTTCGAATTTTGTTGTCTCATATGTACTTGAATCGATATTCGTGTCAATTGTCGAAATATTTTTATCAATATTCGTATCAAACGTTGAAATATTCGATGAATCGTACGTTTTTGATTCGAATGTTGATTTTTCAATTGTTGTATTAAAATTATCGAATTTGGGAGTTTTTTCACGAGGAGGTTTTCTATCGTCACTGGGTCTTCTGGTGTCGGACGGGCGTTTTTCCTGTGGTTTCTCGTAGGTGAACGAACCATCCCAATTCGATGAACCCGGCTTCGTTGGACGTGGTGCTCGATTTGTCGTTCGATCAGGACTCGTTTTATCTTCCGGCGATTTTAATTTCTCGCTTCTCGGTTGCACTTTCGGCGACTTTTCTATTTTTGTCTCGTACGTACTTGTATCAATATTTCTATCAATATTCCTATCGATTGTCGAAATATTCGACGAATCATAAGTTCTTGATTCGAATGTTGATGTTTCTCTCGTTGTATTTGAACTGTCGAATTTTGTAGTTCTGTCCAAAGACGATTTTGGGTATAAATCGAGTTCTTTAGAATCGGGTTCTTTAGAATAGGGTTTCTTCGAATCGGGTTCTTTCGAATAGGGTCTTTTCGAATCGGGTTCTTTAGAATCGGGTTTTTTCGAATCGGGTTTTTTGGAAAGAGGCTTCTCGTAAGTGAATGATCCGTCCCAGGTTGATGAGCCGGGCTTGTTGGGTCGCATTGATCTCTCCTCGGGTGTTGGTCGTTTTTCCGGCCCAGGAGCCGGAGAATCGTCGGTTCTTGGTCTAGTGATCATTAGTTTATGTTCAGTAGGTTCGTATTTGTCGAATTTGTCGCCAGTGAGCAGTTTGATCGAATTTTGGTCCAGAATGTTCGTCTGACCGTCTTGAATGACAACAGTTTCGGTTGAGCTGGTGGAAAAATCGTTCTTCGAGTCTGTGTAACTCTCGTGGGTGGATGATTTTTGGATGATAAAGGAGGAGTGTAGGACTTCATCCTCGGTCAAGTCGAGAGTAGTGTCGCTAATATTCTTCTTTCGTACGCTCTCGAATTTTCTTTGATCGTATTTTTGAGGAGAATATTTTTCCTCAGGTCCAGGTGTTCTTTTTGTTGTTGGACTTCGTTCACTTCGTTCCATGACGAACGTACCGTCCCAGGTTGAGGAACCTGGCTTTGTAGTGCGACTCTTGTCGGGACTCTGAGGACGTTTGGGAGTTTCTTGACCCTCGACTTCGACGAAGATTGTTTTGACGTTCTTGGGTTTGGAACGTTCGTCGAATAGACTCTTGTCACTGGAGGTGTGTTCGATAAGGTAGGAAGTGGTTGAGACGTCGGCTTCGTTGATTGAATTGTCCTCGGTGACTTCCCTGATGTCGACAGTCTCGGATCTTTTGTCGACTCTTCGGATGTCGGGAGTTCTCTTCTGGGGAAGAGGTTTCTCGTAGATGAATTTACCGTCCCAGGTTGATTCCCCGAGGCGATAGGTTCTTGGCGCTTCTTTTGGTTTTCTTGTTGGGGCATCTTCTTCTTCTATTATCACATCCGAGACGGAGGTGACTTTTTCGATTTTCTTGTCGCCCTCGGTGTTGTATTCGATGATGTAGGATGAGGAGAGTGATTCTTGGGTGAGATTGCTGTCTTCCGTAACGTCTTGAACTTCGACTGAATCGTTTCGTTTTGCTGTTTTTCTAACGACTGTGAGGTCATTGGTTCTTTTTTCCTGGGGCTTTTCGTAGGTGAAATGACCGTCCCAGGTGGAATCACCGGGTCGCGTGACTCTTCGAGTGGGAGATGGTGAATCTCGAATGATGCTTCGAATATTTGTCTCCTGTGATTTTGTGTCTTGAATGTCGATTTTTTTCTCGGTTGTAAATTTTGAAGTCGATTCGGTCGATTGAGAATCGCGAAGATCGTAGGACACTGTTTTCTTTTTGATCTCAGGTTTCTCGAGGATAAATTTCCCGTCCCAGGTTGAATCGCCGGGTTTCGTGTAACGAACCGGACTGTGATCTAATCTGTCTGAATCTCTTCGAACGTAATCCGTTGTGTCGGCGGAGGAAACTTTTAAATCTTTCAGTGAAGTGAAATTCTCTTCTTGAAAACTGGAAGTTGAACTGGAATCGTCAATTTTTAATCGATTTAATTTATTTATTTTCTTGCTATCGTCCATTGTTATGTCACTGTCGATATTGTGACTTGTCGTTGATGTGACTTGTCCGTTATCGTCTACCCTTTGACCCGATTGATCGATTCTTATAGTGCTGGTGATAGTTTGACCATCCTTGGTGTGACCTTCGGTGATGATTCTTTTTGATTCGCTGCTCTCGATCGATCTCGAATAACTCGTTGGCGTTACACGTGATATCTGGTAATTTTTATCAAAATTTTGACTCGTGTCGAATGATTCATTTGTTTCGTGCATTATTTGACTTTGCTCGGTTGATGTGATTTTTTCGTCTTGAATAATTTTTGATCTCTCGTTATCATTTCTCTCTCTTACTAATTGCCTCTGTTCATCGGCTATTAAATCTTGTGATGATTTACCTGATTTTGATGTTGAAGCCGTTTGTACGACTGTCGTTGGTTTATTTTCAATAACTTTGATTATTTTTCCGTCAGCGTCCATTATTATTTCACGACTTGAACTTGACATTTCAACGGTGTTTGTTCGTTTTTCGGATGCTGTGACATTTTTCGATTCTTGTAGGGTTGATGATGAAGATACAACTTCGTGTTTCATTGATGAAGTAGAACTCTTGCGGGTCAAATCCATTGTTTTTGATGTTGAGGATGAAACTTCATTCTTACTTTTCGAGATATCTTTCCCCTTACCTTTCCCGACGTTTCCTTTTTTTATCGTCATTGTGACACTTCACAAATAAAAAAAAATCCGAACACTGATATTAACTTTTATATTCACTAATTTTGTTTCTTACTCGTTTTTAGATTTTAAAAATGTATCGAATCAAGTAAATTTAGAATTAATTTAGAATTAAATAATAAATATTTAAATTAATTGTAATGTTTTAATAATGAAATGTTTTAATTGAACAGGTGGATTTTTATTTGGGGCAAAACGCGATGTGGCATGAACGATGTCAGATTTGAAACTGTTACCAGGTTTGTGCAAATCCTGGTAAATTCGCCGGTGTTGCCGGTCGCATACTGATCTGCCCTCGCATTGGAGAACACGCCGGTTCAAACCGATCTCCCTACTTTTCGCCATCCCCATAATATGTGCCAGGAGAGGTTCGTGTGGGATGCTTCAAAGTTAATACACGCACTCATACATTTCTGTTGTCTCACTATACTGCTTTAATGTAAGTATACTAACAAGTTTACGAGTGCATGTTTCTTACAAGGCACACGTCTCATTGTGTAGTCACTTTTCTTTGAGATTACTGTGACGAACCAGTCGAGGTCGATGCTTATAGTCGATTTAGGGGAATACAAATTATAATCAATATCAAATATAATTCGAGACTTTGATATTGATTTAGGCCCTCTTGAGTCAATTTAGAATTGATTAAAATTGTCAATTTATTATCAACATTGATTATCCATCTATAGATTGATAAGAATTTTAGAGAATCAATTTATTTTTCATCAGTTAAGTTGAAATGGAAAATGTACAAATAACTTTTTAAATTAATTTTCAATTAGAAAATTTAGAAAATTTTAATGGACTTTTTATTGTCCCATCAAGTTTTATTTTTAGTACAAAATATTTTTCTTTTTCAAAAAAACATTTTTGTGAAATGTTTAGTTTCAGTATTATAATTTTTTTATAATTATAGTATTTTATTTTTATTTAGTTATTTTTTTTATTTTGACTCGATGGATTGATTATCAGTTTTTTAGTTTTTAATTTGAAAGAAATTATGGTCTGTTATCGAGGAGAAAACTGCTTAATGAATCATAAAAATATTTTGTCAGATTTCACACGTCGACCTTCTTTTTTTTTTGTATACATGCGATTGAGAATTTCAGTGAATCGCTGTCAGGCATAAAAGGGAAGTTTGAGAAGATTTATTACCTCGTATATTGTCTCTTATTTCCTGACTTAATATCACTGTTGTTGCCAAATTAGTATCGGCTTACGAATAAGATTTAGTCTCTTTTCCTTTTTCGTCAAAAGCTGTGAAAACTTCGAAACCGCAGACAAATATCAAATAGTTCTGAATTTCAATTAGATTCTGAAATTTGAAATTAATAAACAAAAAATGGTTCTTAAATTTAAACATTTGAAACTTAGACAAAAGAAAAAATATAATTTTTCCTTATTGGAAAAATAAGAATAATTACAAATGCGGAAGAAATTAAATTTTTTGTGTAGAAATATAATTTAATTATATAAATAAAATATTTAATCGATTGAAATGTATAATTCAGTTTTACAGAAAAGAAATATCTGGAGGATCTTGAGAATTTTGACATTTGAAGATTTTCATTTCCACTTGTGGCGTTAAATAAATTCCAGCACTAAATCGGGATCGATCGCTAATTAAATTAGAGTAATTTACATGTCTTGCACTATGAAAATAGACGGTAATTAAAACAATTAATCATGCCCACCATTGATCTCTTTAAGCATGACGAACCAATTTGTTCTTTCGTGGAATGTATCTGCCTTGCTCTGAATTCGAATCAAGGTTCCAATTTATCCAAAAGTGGCGTATAATTTCATGAATAATAATCAGTCTTAATTGTTCCTTTTTTTCTCTACTATAGACATTCCTAAAAATAGTTTCTCGAATTAATATATATTAGAAAATAATTTTAGATCAAAAGTTTGTTTTACCATTTTTGAAGGAATATTTAAAGAGACATTTTTTTCTTTCCTTTTATTACATTTCTTTTTCTAGAATAAAGATTTCTTATTTAGAATAAAGAAAAAAAATGTATAGAAAAAAATTGACAGTGTCACATGTATACAGTTAATCAGACAGAATGACTTGACGAGAGAACTATGGAAAAATGTAAATATATACAATGCTCAATAACGCAAAAGGCAATCGTATGACTGTGTTTGTATTGATAGAGAGAAGAAGGCTTTTAGCAATTTCTTGCGCAATACTTATTTCCTTCTAAATACGGCGTGTGTGATCTGGCCTTCGGTAATGATACAGTAAGCATTTACTGCACATTCATTCGGAACAAAATTTACATCTCTTTCTCGAAAACTATTTCGCAAAAAGACATCACTTAGTAAATCGGCTATTGCTAAATTTGGATTTAATTTGATAAATGCGACAATTAGATGACTTGAACCATTTTTTAAAATTACTTCGAATGTTTAAAAAGTCTCTACCATAAAAAATCAATTACAATTCGTTGTATTAATTATAACCAATTTATTTATACCGCAGATATTGAAAATTTATCTTTTACTTTGTTTGTATTTCTAATATCATGTGAAAAAAAATCTCTCTTCATTTCACACCTAAAATTTCATAATTATTTCCGTAAATATTAATCATTCCTTTTTTTAGGTGTTAATTTTTTCCGGACAATCTAAAGAGAACCTGAATTGGTATTTAAAAGTCTGAGATAAAGTGGGGGAAAAAAAGAAAGAAATAATATCGACTTGAAAGCGTAGGTCGAAATGCTGTTGAGAAGACAGAACTTGTGGGTCCGTATTTGGCGAAGGCAAAGAAATCCGTGGGTGAACCAGCAGGCCGCGTCATTCGTGTCGGGTCCGATGAACAGATGAATGGGCCTTACTCATTTCTCCCATGAAATATATATATATATTGCGTTTTTCTGCAGTTTCAATTCTGATTCGAATCGATGGTCCTCGAAAAGAAGCCCACATTCGATTTACCTTCAAAAAAGGCTCCACTTAAAAGGCCAATGTCGAAAAATATCAAGTGACCCTTTAATCTTCTCTTTCAGAAAATGAATCATTTGAATTATTTACAGACTCTCGTCATTTCTTAAATTAATTTCTTGTCATCTAGTGTGTGGAATATTTTTCATCTAAATGTAACAGATTTTTATTTACTTTAGTTATTTTATTTCTTTTAATTTTATTTACCTTATTTATTTTAACTAGCAAATGTTACGCGTGCTAGCGCTCGGAACGTCCTATTTCATTTATTATTAATTAATTATAAATTTTTTATTTTCAAATATAAATTTTTGAATAATTTCATTACCAAAATTTAAAAAATTCACTTATTAAGTACATAATTTATTATTATTGTTTTTATTTTGACAAATTTTAATATAATTCTTCGGAAGAATTTAATTATTTTCATAAATAATAACATTCTTCGAAAGAATTGAGTTATTTTTGAAAATATTAAAATTTTTTGCAAAAATTCAATTATTGTCAAAAAAATTTTAATAAATCCTTCGAAACAATTCAATTATTTTTTAAAATAGTAAAATCTTTGCAAAAATTCAATTATTATCAATAAAATTTTCGAACAGAATTCAATTATTTTCAAAAATTTTAATAAAATTCTTCGTTAGTATTCAATTATCTTCATAAAAAATAAAATTCTTTGGAAGATTTCCATTATTTTCATTAATAATAACATTTTTCGGAGAATTACAATTATTTTCAAAAATTTGAAATAAATTCTTATCAAGAATTAAATCCTTTTTCATAAATAATTGAATTCTTTAAAGAATTTCAATTATTTTGAAAAATTTGAAACAAATTCTTGTCAAGAAATCCTTTCGAAGTGAAATTTATCGCAAAAATTAAATTATTTTTTATAAATAATAAAATTCTTCGAAGGATTACAATTATTTTCAAAAAAATTTTAATAAAATTCTTCCCAAAAATTCAATTATCTCCATAAAAAATAAAATTCTTTTAAAGATTTCAATTATTCTCTTAAATAATAAAATTCTTCTTAGGATTTCAATTATTTTCAAAAATTTTAATTACAATTCTTCCCGAGAATTCAATTATCTTCATAAAAAAAATTCTTTGAAAAATTTTAATTATTTTCAAAACAATTTTAATAAACTTCAAAAATCAAATATTTCATTATAATTATTTAACAGACACGATTATTTAAAAAAATTAAAAATCCTTTGTTTAATTTAATTGTTTTCAAAAATTTTCAATTAAAATTATTCAAAAAACTACATTATTTAAAAAAAGCACAAAGATATTCATCAAAAGGATTTAATTATTTACAAAAACTCTAATAAAATTGTTTAAAAGAGTTTATTTTTCTATAAATAATTTTGATAAAATTGTAATAGTAAAATTATTAATTACAATTATTAAGAAAATCGATTATTATTCAATAAATTAAAGAAATTTTTTGAAAGAATTCAATTATTTTCTATTTTTTAATAAAATTCCTTGAATTAATTAAATTATTTTAGAAAATTGTAATAAAATTCTGAGAAGTATTTAATTATTTTCTAAAAATTTTAATAAAATTCAATAATTAAATGTTTAATTTCAATTATTAAGAAACACGATTATTTTAAAAACTTGAAAGAAAGTGTTCATAAAATTCAATTACTTTCAAAATTTTCAATTAAAATTATTAAAACATCTCCATTATTTTAAAAAATTCAAAGAAATTTTTCAAAAGAATTTAATTAGGATTTTTTAAAATTTTAATAAAATTTTTCGCGAGAACTCGATTATTTTCATAAATAATAAAATTCTTTGCAAGAATTCAATGATTTTTAATACTTTAATTTTAAAATTGAAAATATTTGAAAGAAAAAATTATTTAAAAAGTTAGGAAACAAAAAAGCATACAACGAACTTAAAACAACGAATTGAAAGATAAACAGATTACCGGAATACAACGATTATTAATTTAGATTATTTTACTTAATCTGTTTATTTTTATTTTTTTCTGTCAAAGGGTTTGCAAAATAAAAAACGTCCTTTACTTATTTTAATTAATTTATTTATTTACTATCAACGGGCTAACAAATTAAAAAACGCCTTTTAATTATTTTATTTTCTTTATTTATTTACTATCAACGGACTTACAAAATAATTAATAACGTCCTTTAATTATTTTATTTTCTTTATTTATTTACTATCAACGGACTTACAAAATAATTAATAACGTCCTTTAATTATTTTATTTTATTTATTTATTTTACTTAATTTATTTATTTTCTATCAACGGGCTTATAAATTAAAAAACGTCCTTTAATTATTTTATTTACTAAACTTAATTTTAATTTAGTTATTTACTTTATTTGTATTTTATTGCATTAGTAAAATTTATAATTTATAAATATTCCAGAGCCAGATTAACGTTGTTTTTGTTATTTTTAGCCTAATGGATTTTCTCGTTCTCGAGACAACTATTTGCGAGGGAAAAATAATGAAGGCGGAATAGAAAATTATATCTGGATAACTGCAATTAGTGATTATTGGAGCTGACTCTTTTCATCAATTAAAATGTTCCAGAGAAAATAATGTGAAAATTGAAAAGTTTGTTGAGCACACACAACTTTCCAAAAACGGGTATGTTAAATTTTTCCAATTACATTTTATAACTTTAAAGCAAAGAAATTGGAAAAAAGGATAATTAAAATGATTTGAAGTTAAAATATTAATAAATGGAAATAAGGAAAAATAGCAAAAAATAATTTTTGTATTTTTTTTTTATTAAGAGATTTGTCATTATTATTTAGAGGAGGAGGACAGCTTTCTTTGTATTTTCTCTTTTTTTTCTTCTTCTTCTTCTCCGTTTGATCGCCAAAAAGGATAGCATTAAATTCCAAGGAGTGTCTCTTTTACTCTCTACCATAATCAGAAACTCCTCAATACGAACATGAATTTTGCAATAAAACGCGTCGCGAATTGAATTGTAAATTAAATGGATTTTCTCAGAACATGTCGACTTGATTCTAGGATTTTTCATACTGAGATCGAAATTGGATTAAATAAATGAAACAGAGTAAAAAAAGAATCCTATTCGAGAATTGACGAGATGGATTTTTTTTTAAAAGAAAGTCAATTTTTCCAAAATTAGAAACGTGGTGTTAATATTAAATTTGTGGAGTTTGTCCTATAAGTGGAGAAAGTTTATAGAAGTTTATAAAAAATTAAATAGGAAACTAAAAGTTAAATAATTAAAAGTAAATCCTAAATTAAAACTAAATGTTAAATAATTAAAATTAAATCCTAAATCTTAAAATTAAATTCTAAATATTAAAATTAAATCCTAAATTTTAAAATTAAATAACTTTTTGGTAAATTAAATAGTTCAGTATGGAATAATAAATTTTTTTCCTTTGATAGAGTAATTTTCTTTCGTATTATTCGAAACTTAAATAAATCAAGATTTTTGTTTGGATTTATAATAGTTGGAGATTATTACGTGAGAATGAAAACACATATAGTGTTTTTAACGGAAATGATATACACTAGTAAGAGACCGTGAATTAGCTTTTTCCTTCCGTATATTTTGCAACGGATGGTTGAATATAATTTATTTTGTGTCTATTTGAAATTCAAATTTTTAAAATTACACATATTTCGTGTTAACAACTTGTTTGCACCTTTATATTAATATTAATTAAACAATTAAATTTAACAAATTTTTTATTATTATTAAACGAACAATTATTGTGATATAAAATTAACTATTATATTGAGCAAAATATCTGAATAGATTTTTTCTATTCAGAATCTGAACTATTCTATTCTAATCTGAACCATTTTTTTGAGTTTTAATTCGAATTTAAAAAATAATTTTTTAATTTTTGTTTTTTTTTTTTTAATGAAATTTACTCTTGTTAAGAAATAAATTTTTTAAATATATTATCTAGACCTTTTTATAATCGCTGGAGTTTTTTTTGTGGCCTTTGGTCAAGAAATTAAAAAATTTTTTACTATATTATGTCAGAAATTTAATTTTGTCTCCAAAATACTTCACTATGCATTGTAAAAAAATTCTTAATTTCTTGACCAAAGACCACAACAAAACACTCCAAAGATAATAAATTTTTTATTGTCATCTAAAGAATGAACATTAAAAATTTATCATATTTTTAACTACTGTTCTTATTTCTTTTAGAAATTGATTTTAAATTTTTTATTTTCATCCAAAAAAAGGGAAAAAATAAATTTGGCATATTTTTTATTAATACTTTTATTTCTCTTACTAAAAATTGATTTTACATTCTTGTTGAAAATAAATTTTTAATTTTTATTTAAAAAATGGAAAAAATAAATTTGACATATTTTTAATTAATATTTTTATTTTTAGGTTTTGGTTAATTTCTTCAAAGAAAAAAAATGGAGAGCAATGAATATCGATAATTTAAAGGAATTTGGGGAAGAAAAAAAGTGCCATAATCGACTGTGTAATTAAATTGATGTTCATAGAAGAATATGATATTATCAGGTGAGTTTTTAAATTGCTTCTTTATTGCCCCAAAAAAATGTGTTTCACTAATCTGAATGAGTATTACATTTCGATAAATTCTTTAGTCACTATTTTTATCATTTTATCTTATCATAGTCTATTCACTTTGAACTCGAAGTTTTTCTATTACATTCTTTTTAATTTAAATTTTATTTTAATTTTGTTATATTTTATATTTTGATAATGAATTTAAAATTGAATGTAAAATTGAAAATTAAATTTCTGTTAAATGAAATTAATTGAAAATTAAAATTTAATTAAATTAAATTAATTGAAAATGAAATGTTTATTAAATGAAATTTTTATAAAATGAAATTAAGTAAAAATAAGTTTTCTTGTAAATTTATAATATGATCAGATATGAAAAATTATTTTTCAAAGAATATAGATAAAATAGAAAAAAATGAGGGGATTTAGAATAGAAATTCGAAGTGTAAGTGAAGCGTGATTGGCGGAGGAATAAAAAAGTCAGAGGCGTGAATTGTAGTGAAGTATTAAAAATCATGTTAATATGATATTATATATACGTATAAAGGAAGACTTTGCAACGGAGCAAGAAAGGTTTCAAGTACTCGTGATGTCACGGCCTGTTTGGCTTATATTTCTGACAGAGTACTTTTCAAAGCCAGTAAGGTCTTTAATCGCTGACTTTAATACTCTTATATCGTGATGCTTTCTTTTTCTTGCATCCGCCATGGCGCCTCGATTATTATAATCTCTAATGAGAAAAATTGAGAATAATATTTTTCTTCTTATTTTATTTCTTTTATATTTTCTATTTTTCTTCCAATTTGTTCGCAAATAGAGAGAAATTCATAAAAATAATTATAGATCGAAATGTGTAAAATAATTGAAAGAAACTTTTCTTCTTTCTTTAGATAAATAAACAAAAAAAATTCAATTAGTCAACCGAAGTAAAATTTTTAGTTATTTTAACTATATTTTTTCCTTTTAAAAATATTTTTTTGTATTTGAAAATATTTCCAGGAAAGGAAAATTTATTTTGCAATTCTATTTTATTTACCATCAATGAAAGGAGAAATTATCCAATTTTATTGTTATCGTAAAGTAATTTTCTTTTCTTTTTTCCTATTCACATTTGTCGCACAATGTCACAAATGCTTTTTATGTTCATTGTTCATGCACAAATGTAATTGTACAATACGCATATCAACCTTGCATTGCACTATATATATTCTGACATGTTTGAAATTCGGTCATTCCTGTATACTTGTCCAGACGAGGTCAATCATTTCACTTGAAAATGAATAATCCTCGAAACTCTTAAACGAAGGTGAACAAATTGTTCTTTTTCTTTCTTCACGGTCATAAAAATGGTTTCAGAAAATTTTTCATCGTTCACAATATATCCTAATAACATAAATAAAAAATTAATTTTGAATAAAAATTAATTGAAAAATTAATTTATTAATTTAGTTGAATTTTATGACTGTCACTAAATTGAAATTAACTTAAAATGTTTTAAAAAAGTAGCAGGTTTTTGTTAATAGGAAAAAAAAGTTTAAAAGTGAGTTTTTGAAACAATAAACTTAAATCAGTCGAGAAGTTATTGGTAATTAAAAAGTTTATAGCTTATTCTGCCAAATTCGATAATCATTGGGATTTCAAACATAATTATTGTAAATGATTGTTTGCAAATCTCTCTCGGTACTTTTGTTTTATCAATACTATTTACTGCAAAGGTAACCAAGTGTCATTATGCTGCAGTAATTGAAGTGCAATTTCAGAGTAGTGTGTACGATTTAACTTTCCGGAAGTCGAGAGATGTTTAACGATTCATTAATTTTGTTTTACTTAGCATTTCTCTTTTATATATTTATAATAATATGTAATTATATTATTATACCTGTTATTACCGTATTGTTATATTTATTCATTTTTTATTAATTATACTTTTTTTTATTTCTTTTTCAATTATTTTTTTGTATTTAACTTATCATTTTGTTCTTATTTTATTTTAAGTATTTTACTTTGTTTTATTTTACAATTAATTTATTTCATTTTATTTTATTTCATTTAATTTCGTTTGATTTTATACCATTTTTTGTTTTATTTTACTCAATTTCTATATTATTTATTTATTTAGCATTAACGGGCTTACAAATAAAAGTTTTAATATTATTTGATTTGATTTTTTTACTATTTTTATTTTACTTTATTTTATAATCACAACATCTACAAATTAAAGAAAATAAAAAATTACTGTTATACCTGAAGAAACTTATTTCTGGTAACGTTGAGATGAATTTTTTTTTCATGAAGTAGAAGTTAGGGGGATTTTTTTAAAAGCACATGTCCGTTAATATTTAAACGTCTTTTACTTCGGCGATAGTTCTTCATTCTAGAAAAACGATTATTTGAAAAAGTTTAAATTGATTTTCTCTTAGCAAACATTCGTTTTTTTAATCAATAAAAAAATGGTTAACAATCATTGATTTCCTAGTGCATGAAATATTTGAAACACTAACTGTACAAAGTAAAAAAAAGGAAAATTGCAATATGTAAAAACCACAAAAAAAATGAATTTCGAAATGGTAGAAAATTTGCAAAGTTTATGTTAGATGGAAAATTAAATGAATTCAATAAAAATTGAATACTTTTGCTACTTGCAATTAGTGGAATTTTTTTCTTTTAATTAAAATTAATAAATTTTAATTGAAAAATAAATTAGAAATTATTTTTTAATTCCATTGAATTTTCTTTGTTTAATTTAATTTTAATTTATTTAATTTAATTTGTTTTTATTTTTATCAATTTGATTTTTTTATTTTTATTAGAAATTTTATTTCAAATGTAGTATCAAAATATGTATAATTATTTCAATTGTATTATCAAAATGTTCAAATTATTTCAATTGTAAGTCCAAAATATTTACAATTGTTTCAATTGTAATATCAAAATATTTATAATTATTTCAATTCTATTATCAAAATATTTATAATTATTTCAATAGTAATTTCAAAATATTTACAATGATTTCAATTGTAATTTGAAAATATTTACAATTATTTCTATTATAATATCAAAATATTTACAAATTATAAATAGAAACAAAGTTCATATTCCATATTTATTTTCTTTACAGAGTGAGAAATGGAGTTTGTTGAAATAATTTCGCAGAATGGAAGTTTCAAGCTATAGATAAAATATCAAATTATATTGAAAGGGCATATGGGAGTGAATTTATTACAAAAGATGCAAGGATTAAATTATGTAATGAAAAACACACTTTCTATGAGCAGGGAATCGGATTGCGAGGAGTGAAAGTGTCGAGGGATCGATTTCCGCGTTTGTCGACACCATTCCGCATTATTTTCCATTGACCCAGTTAAATTGGCCTTGATCCTATTTGGAATTGAATTGAAATTTATTAAATTCTGGAGGGAATTGAAAATTTGTTATATACAACCGGCAACCTATTGACACTTGTTAATAAACCCTAAAGACAACTATCAAACTGACACGTGAGTATAATCAGTTAGCATTCTGTAGGCGCGCTTCGCAGGATCGCGAATCACTGAAATTTTAATCGACGTCGTGAACCTCGTCGACGTCTCAATTTCCCGCGTGCGTCAAAGCGTCGCCCGTCACCTTGGAAACGGCCCAAAAAACACTGAAAGCGCCGTCGCGAAAATTCGCCCTTCTCAAATAGTGAAGAACATCCCGCGAAATTGACGCAAGTTTAAATAATTCATTTTGTATTAAATTAAATTTTTTATTTTAAAAATAATTTAATGTGTTAAATTTTCTATAGAAATAAATTTTTGGAAATTTTATATTACAAAAATTGTTCTAATTAGTTAAAATTACGTATTACTAATTCAGATGATATTTTTGCATCAAAAATTTAGAAATCATTTTATTTTTACACAATTATCCGTTAATAAGTGATTTTTTTATATTTTTAAAACATAATATTTTCTTAAATGTTATAATTTTAATTACTTTTATAATTTTGAATTTGAAATACATATTTTAGTTCGTACATAGAACTTTATTAAAAGTTTTGAAAGTAATTGAATTGTTTCGAATAAAAAATATTAAATTTTTATTAAAGTTTTGAATGTAATATTCAATTTTTTCGAGAAATTCAATTACAAGTTTTTAAAATAATTGAATTCTATTGAAAAATGTTATTAAAATAGAATTGAAAATAATTAAGTTTCTATAAAGAATTTTATTATTTATAGAAAATTGAATTCTTGCGAAGAATTTTAATATTTAAAGTAATAATGTTTGAAAATAATTAAATTGTTTTGAATAATTTCTCTTATTTTTTGTAAATAATGGAGTTTTTTTTAATAATTTTTTAATAAAAATTCTGAATTTTAATTGAATTTTACAAACAATTTTCTTTAAATTTTTAAATAATGGTGTTTGTTAATAATTGTAATTACAAATTTTTTCCTTGCTTTTTTTAAATTTTATTAAACTTTTTTTAAAAGTAATTGAATTGTTTTGAAAAATTGTATTAAAATTGTATTGAAAGTTATTAAATTTTTATAATGAATTTTATGAAAATCTTTACTGTGATTGAATTCTTGCGAGAAATTTTATTAAAATTAAAAAAGCGATTGAATTCTTTCTAAAAATTTTAATATTTATAAGAATAATTTAATTCGTGCAAAATATTTTTGTTAGATTTTGTGAAAATAATTGAACATTTATAGAGAATTTTAAATTAAAATTGAATTATTTACAAAAATTTTATTAAAAATAATTGAATTCTTTCTAGAAACTTTATTAAAATTTAATGGAAGACACTTGAATTCCTGCGAAGAATTTTATTATTTAGCAAAAAATGTATTCTTGCGGAGATTTTTAATATTTATAAAAATAATTTAATTCGTGCATAGAATTTTTAATAAAATTTTCGAAACTAATTGAATTCTTGCAACGAATTTCTTTGGATTTTTTTTAACAATTTTAAATGAAAATTTTGAATGTAATTAAATTTGAGAAAAATTGCTTTCATTTTTTTTAACAAACGTGTTTGTTAATAATTGTAATCACAAATTTTTTCCAATTTCTATATTGAATTTTGTTAAACTTTTTTTGTAAATAATTAAATTGTTTTCAAAATTTTAAATTAAATATTATTAAAGTTGTATTGAATATAATTGAATTTTTACAAAGAATTTTATCAAAATTTTTTAACTAATAATTGAATTCTTGCGAACAATTTTATTAAAATTTTGAAATATAATTGAACTTCTGCGAATAATTTTATTAAAATTGTATTGAAAAGAATTTCATTAAAATTTTTGACATTTATAATTGAATTATTTACAGAAATAAAAAAAAATTGCATTGAAAATAATTGAATTTCTGCGAAGAATTTTATTCAAATTGTTAAAAATAATTTAATTCTCTCACGAAATTTTATTCAAATTGTATTGAGAATAATTAAATTATTGCGAATTTTTTTATTATTTATGAAAAAAATTGAATTCTATCAAAGAATTTTTGAAAAGTAATTGAATTGTTTCGAAGGATTTTATTAAAATTTTTGAAAATAGTAAATTATTAACAAATTAGTTAATGCTCTAATTTTTAAAATTTTGAATTTTGAATTTTATTGGTTCTCTTTTGCTATTCAGAAAGTTTCTTTCAAGATAAAATTATATTTTAATTTCTATTTTTTTAATCGCTACGTTTATTGATCCTAATCAAAATGGAAATTATTTTTAACTTATTTTCGTTTGCAGGAAAGGATGAATTTGTCTCTATAATCAGTGGTGTTCCTAAGAGTCTCTTTTCGAACTATTTGGAAATTCAACTTTTGTATCAATTAGAAAGAATTTCGACTTCATTTAACGTTTGGACGACCTGGGAAAAATTTTGATCCTGCAAATTCAATTTCCTTTTGAGTTTAATTTCTTCTTCAGAAGAAAGAGGAATTGAAAAAATAAAATCTACGAAAATAAACAAAGGGTAAGTTCACTCTTGTCTTTTAATAAACGGAGTCAAATTGTATTTTTAGAAAATTTCACCTTTTTTTGAATCGAAGTTTCAAAGTTAGTTCCATTTTTTTTCTATCTAATTTTATTTTATTTCGCATTTATAACAAACATTTTCACAAATTACAAAATTCTACTCATAGAGATTTATATTACAAATATAAAACGATAAATTACAAAAAGTACAACTATTAGAAAAATACATTTAGAAAATATGGTTAAGTAGAAGTGTCTTTTTTTTCTAATAATTATTTTGATGTTTTTTTTTTCGAAGAAAAGTTGTTAACAACCTTTTTTGGTTGTCTAAATAGAAAATAGGTAAATAGTTGCTGATAGAATTTTTTTAAAATTTTGTTCACATGTAATGCATTAAACAGTTAACAGCTTGATATCCCATGATAATGTATCCAACGAAGAAGGAAATAGCTCTGCCTGGTTGCATGGGACAGACTGCGTATGTTAAGGTGTGAGCGATTCTGGAGAAAACGAAACCGCGAATTAAATTAGTGGCTAACCAGACGGATGGTCCGGTTGTCAGGTAGAGGAAGGTTATTAAAAACCATGGTAGAATATTTTCAAGATCGTTCAAATGACATCTGCGAACACGTTCAACGTCTGGATCGTCGAAGGTCACTTTACCTTTCGGTGCAAAACCAGTGTCTTCTGGATTTGCAAATACCTGAAAAGAAAAGAGAAATTAGTTTCGAAAAATGATTTTTTATAGGTTTATAAATATTTTTTAATATTTAGAATTATTTTTTCACATTTAAAATTATTTTTGCAACAAAATAGTTATTTTTTCAAGTTTAGAATTATTTTAGCATTGAAAAAATAAGTAATTGTTCATATGTTTAGAATTATTTTTACATTGAAAAAATTATTTTTTCACTTTTCGAATTTTTTTTTTTTGCCCTGAAAACATTATTTTTTCTCAGTATCAAAACATCATGAACTCCAAAAAATTATTTTTTCAGTGCAAAAATAATTCAAAAAATCAAAATATATGAACAAATAAAGTTTTTTAGTGCAAAAATAATTTTAATCGTGAACAAATAATTCTAAATGTAAAAAAATAATTTTTTCAGTTCAAAAATAATTCAAAACGTGAAAAAATGATTTGTTCAATGCACAAATAATTCTAAACATGAGAAAATTATTTTCTTAGTGCTAAATTAATTCTGAATGTGAAAAAATTATTTTGCGATGCAAAAATAATTCTAAAAGTAATGAAGCCAAGTAATTTATTAATTAAATCGAATAATTTGTAACTAGTTTTATATGTGGACGTCCACATGAAAAGGGCCCATTTTGGCACTATTGGAGTTATCTATATGGGCGTAATCCTGGCAAAATTTGGAGAATTTTAAGTGGTCTTAGAACTTTTTTGGTTGAAAATTCGCTGAGTTACGGAATTTCAAAGTTTAGAACGCCAAAAACCTCATTTCGAGAAAAACGGAATTAAAGATTGCGATACCAACTAATTGTTGTATCTCTGGTTCTTCTTGGAAGTTATTCAGATAAGAATTGTTTCTAGTTCAGGGAACCTTGAAGATAAAAAACCAACAGGTTTTAAATTTTTAGAACCACCCCCTCCCCTTAATTAATTAATTAATTTAAAAACCGACAATATGGGCCCTTTTCTAAAAAGGAAAGTTTTTCTATTAAAAAACAATTTTTTTACAAGATAAATGATTAGGTACAATTTTATTGTGTCATTTGAAGAAAAAGAATAGATATTAAACTGATTTAAAATTTTTTGACAGTCTCTATTGTGAAAAAATTGACGCAATATTAAAATTTTCATTTCGACAATTACGAAAAAAAGATTCTAACATCAATATCTCTGGTTCTTCTGGAAAGTTATTCAGATAAGAATTGTTTACAGTCCAGGACACCTTAAAGATGAAAAATCAAGAGGTTTTAAATTTTTCCACGCCTCCATTTTTAATATACGGATTACTTTTGCAAATGACCGACAATATGGGCCCTTTTCATTTTTCTAAAGAACCAATGAAATCAAACAGTTAAATTGTCGATAAATTAATGAAAACCGCATGATTCGACTTATCAAAACATGTAGATTGATAATAAAAAATAAAAAAAAATTAAGAATTTGCTCAAAAATTACTAAATTGCGATTATCTCGAAAACTGGAACCGACAATATGGGCCCTTTTCATGTGGACGTCCACATATGTTGATCTTTTAGAACAACTTTTCTTAATATTTAGCTAAAATACAATATCATATCATTCTTCTGATTCTTTTATAATTTAGATATTCTTGTAACAGATATAGATATAGTATACTATTAATACTTTCAATGTTAACAAGAATCATTTTTATAATGAAGCAAAAGATAACAATATCGTAAAAAGTACAACTGTTGCGATTATTCTGCAGAAAAAATTTATAAATAAAAAAAGGTTACAAAAAATTTAAATAATATGAATAAGAAAAAGATATTAAATTTTGCTAAAAATTTTTGATATGTTGCCTAATTATTTATATATAACGATTATTTATTTTGAATTACTTATTAAAATATTAAATACTAATTAAAAAATATAAAATTCGTCTGTTGAATTTTTTAAAGTTACAGATTACATATTAATTATAGAATTTAAATGAAGGAAATAACTTGAAGAAAAATTTTTTTTTTCTTGATTATTTAAATAAAACGTTTATTTATTTGTAATTAAATTACTAATTTAAAATTTCTAAAATTTTCTTGTAGTTCTTATTTTTTAAAATATTTTTTATTCTTATTTTTTATAAAGCAATGACTTTATTTCGAAAAAAGATTATTTTTTAAAAATAGTGTTAAATTATATTTTTAAATCATTTGATACTCTAAACATTTGATATAAATTAGTTTATTATTCTTTTGTTATCAATTAATTTTCGTTTTATTGGATCGATTATTGTATAGCAAAAGTAAATGCTCTATATTACGTGCGTCGTTAGCCGGTTGACAACAATAAATAATTGGCTCATTTAAAAAGAAATATGAATGAACTAATGATAGAAAAATCGAAAATAATTCATAAAATTGAATTTTTAACTTCTAATTATAAAAAATAGTTTGATTAAAATACCTTCTTTCTAAATCTTTGTCGTGCTGTTAATGGAACCATAGCCAAGAGTTTAATAACTAGAATAGCGCCCCAAAAACCGAAGACTTTCATTAATGCCGGATTAATTGACACCATTTTTCTTTCTTTCTTTTCACTATTTTTTTATAAACAAAAAAAAATAAAAATCTTGAATTGTTTCTTCTTGAACGTCCGACAAAATAGTGACTGGCGCTTTTCAGGATGTCTTTCCAGATATTACCGTGCCTTCAAAAAGATAAAATTTATCTGCATTATCTTTTATATTTAATTACTGGGAAACCTGATAGCTTTTACTGTTTTAGGTACAAAAAATGTCATCATCATGACTTTTATGTATTTTTATTTATTAACTTGCCTTTGAATGTGAAAAAATGTAAATGTCATGTACAATAATTACAAGACGTTTCTAAATTAAAAAAAAAACTTTGTAGATAGTTAGAAATTTATTCGTATGGAAGTTTTCGTATATTTAAATATAACAATTTTTATTAGTTCATTAAGTGGTGTTTAAAAATTCAGAATCGATAATTGCAATAGTTTTTCAATTTAATGATTTTTTCGGTCAATTAATCTGTAATGTTGAAAATAAATCTAAAGATTTTGAGTTAATAAGATGATGATTGATAGCTGACTCGGAAGATTGCTTTATTATCGGATGCTTTGTATTATTACCGACTCAGTGTCTGCGTAATAGCGCGAAATTTCGAGTTCTAGTGTTAATTTTTTATTCTTTGAAAAGTGATTGAATTTTCCGATAATAATTAACGACAGTAATAATTATATTTTGTTAATAAAAGAATAAAAAAATAAGACGTAAGTTATAAAAAGTAAGTTTTTTATTCGCAAAATTTAATATTTTACTTAAAAGAATTTAATTATTAATTCTTTGCACGAATTCAATTATTTTTATAAATAGTAAAATTCCTCGCAGGAATTGAATTATTTTCAATAGAATTTTAATAAAATTTCACGAAAGAATCCAATTATTTTCTAAAATTTGAATAAAACGTTTGATAAAATTGAATTATTTTTTTAAATAGTAAAGTCTTTGCAAACACTTAATTATTTTCAATTATTTTAATTTTTTCCTTTTCGTTTCCTTCTGATTATTTAGAATCTTTTTTTCTGTAAAATTCCTTAAAAAATCCCTTAATTTTTAAAACGTTTAATTTTCTTGAAAAATATTCAAATATCTTCTTTAAAACTTAAGAAATTTCAATTATAATTCCAAAATTAATTTATTTAAAAAATAATTAAAGTAATTCTAAAATTCAGTTAGTCCCAGAAATTCAATTATTTATAAGAAATTGTCTGTAATATTTATTTTCAAAATTCAATTATTTTTCAAATTTTTAACAAATTCCTTATAAAAAATATTAAATTGTATTCTCTAAAAATTAGAAAATGATACAATTTGTTTATAAAAATTTAATTATGTCAATTTTTTAATAAAATTCTTGAAAAATAAAATTTCTTTTTATAGAATTTAAAAACTAATTTTTCAGAATTTTAAATACAATTTCTAAAGAATTCAACTATAATATTCCAAAATTTTTATTAAATTCAATTAATTTCAATACAATTTTAGTAAAATTTTGCGAAAGGATTTAATTAAATTTTTCACAATTTTTTGAAAGAATTCAATTATTTTCTAAACTTTCTAATAATATGCTTGGAAACAATTCAATTATTTTTTAAAAATAGTAAAATTCTTCGCAAGAATTAAATTATTTCTATAAATAATAAAATTATTCACAGAAATTTAATTATTTTCAATACAATTTTAATAAACTTCAATAATGAAATATTTAATTATCTTCATTTCATCACAATTTTAATAAAATTTCCTGAATGAATTAAATTATTTTAGAAAATTGTAATAAAATTGAGAGAAAAATTTAATTATTTCCAAAAATTTTAAGAACATTCAATAAGTAAGTGTTTAATTTCAATTATTAAGAAACGCGATTATTTTTAAAACTTGAAAGAAATTTTTCATAAATATTCAATAATTACTTTCAAAATTTTCAATTAAAATTATTAATAAAACTCCATTAATTTCAAAAAATTCAAAGAAATTCTTCAAAAGAATTTAATTAGAATTTTGAAAAATTTTATTAAAATTCTTCGCAAGAATTCAATTATTTCCATAAGTCATAAAATTCTTTGAAGGAATTAAATTATTTTCGCATTAATAATAAAATTCTTCAAAGGAATTCAATTATTTTCATTAATAATAAAATTCTTTGTAGGAATTAAATAATTTTTAATTGAATTTTAGTAATATTTCTCGAAAGAATACAATTATTTTTTAAAATATTAATTAAATTCAATTATATTTAAAAATTCTGATAAAATTTTTCGAAAGAATTCAATTATTTTTATAAATAATAAAATTCTTCAAAGAAATTCAATTATTTTCAACAGTTTTGATAAAATTTTTAAGAAAAATCAATTATTTTAAACGTTTAAATAAAAGTCTTCGATTGAATCCAATTATTTTAAAAATTTTAAATAAAATTCTTTCAAAACCTTCAATTATTTTCAAAAATTATGATCGAATTCTTCAAAATAATTCAATTATTTTTGTAAATTGTAAAATTTTTCGCAAGAATTCAATGATTTTCATGACATTAATTTTTAAATTGATAGGTAATGAAAAAGAAAAATTATTAAAATAGTTAGGAAACAAAAAAGCAAACAAAAACTATAACTTTAAACTGCGATCAGATTACCGGAATACTACGATTATTAATATAGAAGATAGTTAATAATTAAACTAATTACTCTACTTAAATTTAATTATCTATAGAAAATTTATTGATATCGTTTTATATTTTTGATACAATTTAAAATTCATCCAGACAATTTTTTGGAATTGGAAGACAATGTTTCGAAATAATTTTTCAATTTTAATTTATCAACAAGATAGTAATTGAAAAGTTAAACTGTATTTTTGATTGTTTCAATGTTTTCCCTTTTTTTCGACAGACAATGCTGAATTTCGAGGAGAGACTTACATTTTGTTTCTGGCAGTAGAAAATAAACGAAAGGCAATGAGAGGAAAACGACAATTGCACAGAGAAGGAATACATATTTTTCGCCAATTAAATAAATCAATGGTTGATAAGCTCGTGTTGTGGAAAAATTAAATACAGCTGCCGATGCCGTTGAGGCAAAGCCCGCAAATGATTTAATATTTGGTGGGAATAATTCGCCAACTAATGTTGAAGGTACGCATCCCAAACCGTAGGCGAACGATACATTGAAGAGGAAAAGGGAAAATAAAGGTAATATCCATAATTTATCGATACTTAAATTTAACGACAGTAAATGAAAGTGTAAACCTAAAAGTAAAAGTGATATAGTCACACCAATTGACGATGTCATTAAAAGACTTCTTCTGCCGAATTTATCCACAAGATAGGCAGAGAGAAAATTTGTCGCAATTGGACATATACCTAAAGCGGCAACTATTGTACTAGGATTTATTATTGTCACATTTGCTTTTCTGATTATTATTTCCAAGTAACTGTAAAATATATTGTACATACTGAAGACGCAGAAAAGTTGGAGAAAAATTATTATTATTGCACTTTTTCGATTACCTGAAATATTTTTTAAACACTTGTTATTATTTTAATTATTTTTCAAAATTATTGTTTAATTGATAATTTAAAAAATAAATATTAATTTTAAATGCCTAATAAATAATAAAATAAATATTTTTTAGATAAATAAATAAGAATTTTTATTTTTAGTGTTTTACCTGGAAGTCGGAACTCCTTTAGTTTTTGCAGAAAGGTCATGTTCAAGGTACCGGAATAAAGCAGCATGTCTTGAATTTCTTTTTTAAATTCACTTGTTCGTCGAAACCACTTTAAGGATTCTTCTGCTTTTTCGATTTGTCCATTTTGTACGTGATGATATGGAGACTCGGGAATTAAGGTGAAGAGAGCAAGGAATAAGAAATTCGGTACAAGACTGATGTAGGCGAATTCTTTCATGGGAAGATATGAACCCATGACATTACCCAAAACATTGCCTACACTACTCACATTAATATTCAACGAAATCTAGAGGAAAAAATTTATTTTTAAATTAATTTAATTTTGAAAAATTAAAATTAATTTAACAGTAGATTCTTAATAAAATGAGGTATTTATTTAAATTAATTATTATTAATTTTAATAACTAAGATTTAAATTAATTCTATGTTTTATTTTCTAATTTTTTTATTGTTCTACTTACAAGTAGAGCAATAAAAAAACTATTTAACTGAAAGTGTTAATTTTATTTTTAAAATTCAAAATTTTGCTGATTTTATTTTTTGTTTACTTACTAGAGCACCGCGAATCGAAGGATGAGCTATTTCTCCCAAATATATTGTCAATGAACCCCAAGTTATGCCAGAACCGATTCCGAGAAAGAATCTTGATACATAAAGCCAATATACAGTGCTTGCAATTATTGTACAAATCCATCCAATCGCCATTGGAACTGCTCCAAAAAGAAGAACAATTTTCCGACCGAGAAATCCTGATTATGGTAAATATTCTTATGAATTAAAATTTTATTTTATTTTAATAATTATTATTGTTAATAATTACTAAATTTTAATATAATATTTTATTATACTTTAATAGGTACATTTATTGTAGTTTAATTCATATAATAACAGGATTGACACAAGTCAGGGAAATGTCCGAGAATTTTATTAAATTAATTTAAATTAATTGGAGAAATATCAAAATTTCAACTTCAATACAAAAATTTTATTTTTCTTTGGTATTTCCTAAAATTTTGATAAAACCTTATGATAACATTTTTCCTAAGAATTCAATTATTATTTTCGAAGTTTCATTTAAAATTATTAAAAAAAGAAAACTACAATATTTTCCAGAAATTCTTCAAAAGAATTTAATTGTTTACGGAAACTCTAATCAAATATAATGATAAAATTATTAATTACAATTATTTCAAAAACATACAAGAAATTTTCATAAAATTAAATTATTTTCAAAATTTTCAACAATAATCATTTTTAAAAAACTACGTTATTTTCAAAAATTTCAACAAAATTCTCTGCTATAATTAAATTATTTTCATAAAGTATAAAAATTCTTTGCGAGAATTCAATTATTTTTTCGATACAATTTTAATAAAATTTCTCGAAAGATTTCAATTATTCTTAAAAAGTTTGATACAATCCTTCACAGGAATTCAATTATTTTCCAAATTAAAAAGAAAAACTATTTTAAAAATTAGAAATCAAAGAAACAAACGAAAACTAACTTTCAAAATATGTAAAGATTACCTGAGTACAACGATTAATAATATAGATTTTGTGAAATTAAATTGAAAATGATTAAATTTGTTAAAAAATTTCAATAGAGATTTAAAAAAAAATTAAATTTTCAAAGAATTTTATTGTAATAATTAAGAAATAATTGAAATTTGTAAAGAGTGTCAAGGGAAAAGAGTTAAAAATAATTATAATAAAATTTTTTTATATTAATTAATTATAAAAAGATTCAAATTTAAAATTTTATAAAATCTGAAAGCTTTAAAAAATTTTATTTAAATAACAGACAATTCTAAAAAATTGCTTTTTTAAATTAGGTCTAAATTTCAATTAAAATGATTTAATTACGATAGAGTTACAATTAAAATTTTTGTAAAATAATTAATTTTAAAAAGAGCTTAATTAAAAATTTTTCTTTAATTTAACGTTTCGAAAAACTTTAATTAAAATTCTAAAAAATTTGTATTTAAAATATTTCAGTTCTATTTTTTTAAAATAATGTAATTTTCATAAACAAGTAGTTTAAAATTTTTTAAATAATTGAAATTTTCTAAAATTCTGTTTAAAATAATTGAATTTTTAAAAAATTTTATTGAAAAATCTTTAAAAATTTGAAGATTTTTTAAAAATTTTTTTAAATTTGGGAAGGTCGACCAAAGCAGTTAATTTTATTTTGAAAATAGCTAGACACATTTTTAGTTTTAAATCAAATTTCACCTTCTAAAAATTATCGTTTTTTTTAATAATTGAACTCCCTTTGAATTTTTAGTTATATCGGGAAAAAAGTATAAGGGAAGAAAAAGTAAAAGTAAAAATTCTGTCTGGAAATCAGGGAAAAACGAAGTCAAATTTTTGTCGCAATCCTAAATAAATTAATTGACTGTAATTAAAATAATTGCTTATTATTTAAAATAATTTACGATTTATTACAACTAGAATTAATGTTTAATAATTACATACAGAAATCACCTTGCATGACAGCGCCAGTGAAAGCTCCAATCAATCGTCCGAGATTCAATAAAGAAGCGACCCAGGAAGCTTCAAAGTCTGATAGTGTCAATGAAGATTTCGAATCCATTGAAGTCAATTGAGCCAGGTAAGGTGACGACCATCCATTTACCAATCCAGAATTAAGAACAATAAGACTCACTAAAAAATACAATGCCAAAAATTAATTTCATCTTAATTAAAAAATTTAATCACAATTCTTACTTACACGCCAAAGCTGCTAACCATTGTGGCCAAAATTTTTCTCTTTCATCCTTAGATTCGTTTTTATTGTTCACAATCATTTATGAAAAATTTTGTACTCGATAATTTTCAAATTGAAAGTAAAGTTTAAAAAAAATAAAAAAAATTTAGAAAAAATTTTAAAAAGAAATTTTAAGAAGAAATCAAAGAAAGAAAATTAAAAGAAAATTAAAAAAAACTAAAAACAAAATTGTTTTAATAAAAAATAATTACATACAGTAATTATAAATGTTGTTAAATAGTGAATCATTAAAAAAAATAATAACTAAAATACTAACTTTATTTTTAAAAAAATGATTAACAAAACTGATGAGACATTTTCTAATGAAGTAATGAGAGGAAACGAAATAATTTTATAATATTATTTGAAAACGTTTTGATTCAAAAGCATTGTTGAGGGAAATTAATTTTAAATTTAAGGATGACAAGTTAGTCTGAGATAGAATACAATCTGAAAATTTATGATTTCTTAATGTTTGTACTCCTTTCTTCATTATTAGGTAAGTATTTAACATCGCTGTGTTACGTGTAGTTTAAAAGAAAAATTTTTTTTAATCTACTAGTGTCATTCATTTGTTATCTTTCAGTTTTCAAGAATATATTGCCAATTTTAATTAAACATAAATCTAGTTACTTAATTAGTTCAGGTAGTCAAATAATATTTCTTATCTCATTAACGTCTATCAATTTAACTTATATCTAATATATACTTATTTTCTATGCAAAATGATTATTTCTTTATTAAAAGTGGAAAAATTTTGATATTTGAATTAAAATTTCAAGAATACTATTTCAATTATTATTAATGTCAATTAATTAATAAATCAATTACTATAAAAATAAAATTACTGTAATAAAATTATTATAAAACAATTAATAAAAGTAAATTTGAATCAAAAATTAATTATTACAATACTATTGAAATTTATAATACGATAATGATTCGAATTGATTAATTAATTACTGATTTTCTTTTTTTTAATTGATCTTATTTGATCTTACTCGAGAATTTATAACCAACAATTTTATTGCTTTTGACAGATACTTTTAGATACTTTGGATTATCTTAGGATTCAATTAAAGAGGAGAATAACAGGAATTTTTTCATAATGATTAATGCACAAAAACAGCAACAAAAAATTAATGTTCCTAATAGATTTCAACAGCGAACAATATTGAAAGTTGTTGTTGAAAAAATAGGAAAAGCAAGTGCCACAGTTCATGGAGACTTGAGGTAATATTTACATAAGAAAGTAAATGGAAATTTTAGTTTCAAATAATTTATTCGCAGCTTGCAAATGTATTTTTTTAAAATTATTTATTTATTATTGTAACAAATTTAGTTAAGTAATAAATTTGAATAAATAAATTAATTACTTTTTTTTATTAATTTAAATAATTAAATTCATGAAATTATTTATTACTTTCTTAAATTTAAATAATCAAATTTATTAAATTATTTATTACTTCTTTTAATTTAAACAATTAAATTTTTTAATTTATTTATTACTTTTTTAATTTAAATAATTAGATTTATTAATTTGTTTATTATTTTTGTAATTAACAGCAAACAAGCTTTAAAGGAACTGTTGATGTCTGAGTTGTCATTAATATCAAAAATCGAATCTTTTGAAAAAGAAGACATAAGAACTTCTCTAAATGAAATTCAAGAATGCATTGATGAAGAATTTACAATAAATAATGAGGAAGAAATTTTAAATGATATTGATGAAGTAATTGAAGATCATGAGAACTCTATGACAGATTTATCGATAAATGGAAATAAACAAGAAGGTAATTTTTATTCACATATTTATGATAATTCCTTTTAATTAATTTAAATTATTTAAATATTTAAATTATTTAACTTATTAAAATTACTAAACTTCTTTAAATTATCATTTTATCCTTATTAGAGGAAAACAGGAGAAAATGTGATATGAAATTTTCAAAGAATATTAATAAACTCGATAGGAAAGTTGGAAAATTTGAAAAAAAATTAACGAAAGATGGAAAGTGTGAAAATAAGGAAAAACTTGGGAAGAATATTTATTTAAAGGATACAATATCAAGTGACAGGAATTTCAGTGCAAGCAGAAAAAGCCAAGAAATTTTAAACGATTCTCCGAATCATGATCTTATTTTAAAAGAAGAAAACGATGAAGAGTTAAATATGTCTGAGAATAATAAATGGTTAAAAAAGTATTTTAAACAACCGTTAACTTTAGCCATGACAGAAATTATTCAGAAAAAACCATCAGATCCAGTAAACTATTTAGGTTTCTGGTTATTAAATTACAGGAGTCTGCAAAAAAATCGAGAGATGGAAGCAGCGGAATCACGTAAATTATTATATATTTAATTATTATTTTTAGTTTTACTGAAAAGTTATTTTTATTTATTTCTTTATTATTTTGAAGATTCAATTCAATTTCAATTGATCTTCTATTTTCGATCAAATTTCAATTTCAATTTATATTCAATTCATTCAATTTAACTCAATTCAATTCAAAATTTCATACTATTATTATTAATAATTAATTAATTATTATTTGTTATTTATAAATAAATTTTAAAAAATTCTTCATCATTGAAATTAACTTTTAGAAAATTACATATCACTTTTGTTCTAGTTTCTTCAAATTTCTACTAATTCAGATTTAGAGAATAAGTACTGTTACAATATTTTTGCAAGAAAAATTTAGAAAATAATTTGTTTTTCATTGTTTTTGCGTTAATAAGTAAATATTTTTTTAATTTTAAAGAATAAAGTTTTTATTAAAGAAATATTATAATTTTTGTAAATTTTATAATTTAGAATCAGAAATAACTTCATTCTCGCACAGAATTTATTAAAATTTTCGAAAATAAATTCTTTTGGGGAATTCAATTAAAAAACTCTGTTAAAACTGTGCCCGTTTATAAATAAATAAATAAATAAATTAATTAAAATTTTACTGAAAATAATTAAATACTTTCAAGGAATTTAATTTAAATCATACTGAAATTAGTTAAATTCTATCAAGGAATTCTATTAAAATAATTGAATTTTAAATTAAATTTTTTAAAAAATAATTTAATCCTATATCAACAAACTTTGCTAAAATTCTATTGAAAATAATTGAATTCCTCTAAAGAAATTTCATAACTTATTTAAAATATTTCAATTCTTCCGTTAAGTATTATTAAAATTTTTAAAAATTGTTGAATTCTTTCGAAGAATTTTATTAAAACTTTTAAAAATATTTGAATTCTGTTAAGAAATTTTATTATAATTATTGTATTAAAAATAATAATTGAAATACTGCGAAGAATTTTATTTTATTACTTATAAAAATAATTGAATTCTTGCAAAGAATTTGATTAAAATTTTTGAAAATAAATTCTTTTGAGGAATTCAATTAACATTGTTTTGAAATTAATTGAATTCCTCCGAATAATTTTATAAATTATTGAAAATAATTCAATTCTTCTGTGTAGTTTTCTTAAAATTTTTAAAAATAATTGAATTCTTGGGAAGAATTTTATTAAAATTTATGAAAATAATTGAATTCTCTCATTGAATTTATTTCTTACAATTTTTGAAAATAATAAAAGTAATAATTAATTACTTATCTAGTTAAATAAGTCAATATTTAAATGTTGAATCTGAAATTATTTTAAAATTGAAGTTGATATTTGAAAATTAAAAATTTTCTGTAAGTTGCATAAGAATTGTATTTATTTAATTACTTAAATTAATTTTTATCTGTTTTTTAATTAAATTAAAAAAATTAATCGTTTAGATGATTAATGTGCATATTTTAATTTTAATGTATTTATTCTGACAGTTACAGAATCAATTACAAACTAAATTGCAAAAAATATGAAACAGAATGCTAAATTATCAATTCAAGAAGAAAGTGCATAAAGCAAATAATCTACTTATTATAGAAATATTTTTAGATTAGTTTTGTAAGTATATACATATATTTTTGATGAAACAAGTTAAAAATAAACAATTAAAAACACGTAAAATCAAGAAAGTTCTAAATACAGTAAATTATCTTCTTCTATATTAATAATCGTTGTATTTCGGCAATCTGTTCGCTGTTTGAAGTTAGTTGTTAATTGCTTTTTTATTTCCTAACTTTTTAAAAAAAAATTTTTTTTAAATATTTTCAATTTTAAAATTATTGTATAGAAAATCATTGAATTTTTGAAAAGAATTTTATCAAAAAATTTCAAGAGAGGAATTCTATTATAAAATTGAAATTGAATTGTTTTGAAGAATTTTATAGAAATATTTCAAAATAATTAAATTCTTTCAAGAAGTTCAATTAAAGTTGTTTCGAAAATAATTGACTTTCTGTAAAGAATTTTATTAAAATTAAGCATATTCAAAATAATTGCATTCATCAGAAGAATTTTATTATTTTTTGAAAATAATTGAATTCTTTCAATTTTTTTGACGAATATATTTAAAAATCGCATTGAAAGTAATTTAATTTTCATACAGAATTTTTTAAAAATATTTTGAGAATAATTGAATTATTTTTAGAGAATTTTTAAATTCTTGTTGAAATTGAATTTTATTAAAATTTTTGAAAATAATTAAATTCTTTTATTTAATTTTATTTAAATTGGATTAAAAATAATGTAATTCCTACAAAGAAATTTAGTATTTACAAAATATTGAATTGTTTCGAAGAATTTATTAAAATTTTAGGAAATAATTGAATTTTATAGAAATATTTGAAAATATTTGATTCTGACGAGAAATTCAATTAAAATTGTTTTGAAAATAATTGAATTCTTGCGAAGGATTTATTAAAACTTTAGAAAATAATTGTATTATTTTGAAAAATTTTATAACGAATTAAGAAAAAAATTAAATTGTTTCGTAAAATTTTATTGATAATAATTGAATTTTTGCAAAGATTTTACTATATTTAAAAAATATTTGAATTGTTTAGAAGGATTTATTAAAATTTTAGAAAATAATTGAATTCTTTCGAAGAATAATGTTATTATTTATGAAAATAATTGAATTCTTGAGAAGAATTATGTTAAAATTTTTGAAAATATAAATAATAATAATTAATTTTGTACTTAATAATTGAATTTTTTAAATTTTGATCATGGAATTATTTTAAAATTTATATTTGAAAATAAAAAATTTTTGTAATTTGCATAACAATAATAAATTGAATATCACGTTCGTATTATTTGCTAGTTTAATTAATAATTTAAAAGCTATATTTTTATAATCTTAAATTATTTAATTAATATTTAGAAATAATAATAATTTTTCAAGATTGCAGGTTTGAAAATATTTAAATATTTCCTCCTTTTAAGGAGATCTAATTTATCAACGATTTTTTGTGATTTCAGCACCATCTAGATGATTGCGGAGAAATTAAATTGCAGTAGCGATGCTTTTTTTTCCCGCCAATTTTCTGCTGTGACGGACATTTGGCTTTTCGTTTCATTGTAAACCTGTTGCGTGTGATTAATTTGTTTAAATTATTCCTGTGTTTGCTTTTGTTTAATTTATAGTATTTATAATAATCATGGATTTGGGAGACACTCAGCCTGGTCAAATACATGTGCGTGATGAAATTGGCGTTCAATGTCAAAAATTATTTCAGGACTTTTTACAAGAGTAAGTTTTAGGAAAACATTTTTTTTGTAAAATTTCTATTTTTTATAAAAATCCTTTTTTTTTGGAAAAATTCCTTTTCTTTTGTATCTTGTAATTGGCATTTATTAAATAATTTTGCTAGTAGTTATTTAATGATGACTTAATTTGAATTAAAAGATTTTTACTATTTAGAGGTTATAATTATATTATTTGGAGGTTTGAGATTAAAAATGTTTATTTATTTCTTAGGTATAAGGAAGAAGGTGAATTAAAATACAGAAAATTGACAGAGGAATTAGTCAGTCCTGAGAGAAGTACTTTGGAAATTTCGTTTGACGATTTGGAAAGTTATAATCAAACTCTTTCGACGACTATTATTGAAGAATACTATAGGTTTGTTTATATATTATAAGAAGTATATTCAATTTTATATTAATTATTTTATGAGAATTTTGTTTAAAATTTTTAATTGGTTGGGGTACAGTTTTTCTAAAACTTTTTTTCTAATAAAGGTGAATTTCTAAAAATTTTTTCCTAATGAAGGTGATTTTCTAATTTTCTTTCTTCTAATAAAAGTCATTTTCGAAAAATTTCTTTTTCCAATAAAGGTAATTTTCAAATTTATTTTTTTCTAACAATATTTAATTTTTGTAATGACGATCAATAGGTGTATGATTAAAAAATAAAATTTATGAAAATTTTTTAACTCGAAAAAAATATTTGAAATTTTGTTAAAAAATAGTAAAAACATAGAAATTATATAAATTTTTTAACAAAATTTTAAAATAATCTAGTTAAAAAATAAAAAAATGTTTTATAAATACATTCATTTTGGAAATTTTTGTATAAAAATGATGCAAATTATTGTTATTTCTTTTTCTCAAAGAAGAACAGAATTTTGTTAAAAAATTGTGATAAAAAATAGGAATTTTATAAAATTTTTCTTCTTTTTCAAAAAGAAACTCATAATTTTGTGAACAGAGTTGAGATTGAGAAGCAAAAACATATGCAAAATAGTTTCTATTTCCTAATCTTAATTTTTTAACAATTTTCTAACTTTTATCAAAATTATGGAATTTTACAAATGTCACAAAAATAAATATTAGAAATCATAACTTTTTAGAAAAACTTTTTTTACAAATCAAAACTTGTTAGAAAAACTGTTTTTAGAAAACAGATTTCATTAGGTAGAAATCGCTTTTTTAAGAAAAAAAGGATTAGAAAATATTGTTTAGAAAAAGTGACCACATACCTATTAATTCGTTTAAAATTATTTATAATTAATAATTAATTTTGCCCATTAATTATTTTTGCGACTAAGGAATGTGATTTAAATAAATAATAATAATATGTAAATTGCTTAATATTTTGCAGAGTCTATCCATTTTTGTGTAAAGCAGTTGAAAATTATCTCAAAGATTTAGTGAAATTAAAAAAGGAAAAAGAATGCTACGTGAGTCTCGTTGATGTACCAACTCGACACAAATTGAGAGAATTAACAACAACGAAAATTGGAACATTAATTCGAATTTCAGGCCAAGTTGTAAGAACTCATCCCGTTCATCCCGAATTAATTAGCGGAACTTTTGTCTGTGTTGACTGTAATGCAATAATTAAAAATGTCGAACAGCAATTTAAGGTAACATTTTTCTAAAAATTCATTTTATAGATTTATCTTTATTACGTTATACAAGAAATATCCAAACCGTTTTTAATTAATTTTGTTTGTTTGTTAAAAATTTACTTAAATGATAATAAAACAATAAGGCAAATTAAACGAAAACATTCGGACAATGAATAAAAATATATTTATCTACTCCAACGTTTCGAAATCTAAATGATTTTCTCTTCAAGGAGGCTATACAAAATTAAAATAATAAAAATAGTTTAACAATAAATAAAATAAAAATTAATGAATTATCTTACCAAAAATTATTAAGTAAAATAAACGAAGACTTAAATTTTATGCCCTGACGATGGAGTAGAGTCTGGAGTCAAAAAATTATAATATAACTTAATATTGATAAAATAAAATAAAAGTAATAAAAAATAAAAAAAATTTTTTTAATTAATTAATAATTAATAATAACAGAATGAAATTGGTAAAAAATTGAGAATTAAAATTAATAAAGAATCAGCAGACTCCCTGAAGAGGAAATCATTTAGATTTCGAAACGTTGGAGTAAATAAATATATTTCTATTCATTGTCCGAATGTTTTCGTTTTACTTGCCTTATTTTATAAGAGATCTTGGACGTTAAAGATTATTTAACTGATAATTAAAAAAATTTTATTGCAGTTCACGAATCCAACGATCTGTCAAAATCCAGTTTGCAATAATCGTCGTCGTTTTATGCTCGACACCGACGCATCACTTTTTGTTGATTTCCAAAAAGTTCGAATTCAGGAAACACAAGCTGAACTTCCTCGAGGTTGTATACCTCGATCAATGGAAATTATTCTTCGTGGAGAAACTGTCGAAACGATTCAAGCTGGTGACAGGTATTATTTTTCTAATAAAATCTATATTTTGATTTTTTCTTTTAGTTATTGGTGTAAAGTATTTTAATTTAAAATTTAAAAAATTAAATAAAAAATATTTATTTAAAATATAATATATTTATTTAATTTTTTAAAATTTGTAATACAAAATTAATATAATTCATTAAATTTTGTTTTTTTAATTTATGAGGAAGTATTAATAACAAATATTTAAATACTTAATATTTAATATTTTGTATGAAAATGTTTTCCTGGAGTATATAATAAAAATTTTCTTTTAAAATTAATATTATTATTTAATTTCAGATATGATTTCACTGGAACGTTGATAGTTGTTCCTGATATTGGTGCACTCGCATTTCCAGGAGCGAAAGCTGAAATCACTGGAAATAACAAAAATTTCGATGAAGGCGACGGTGTCAGGGGACTTAAGGCACTTGGTGTTAGAGATTTAAATTACAGAATGGCTTTTCTAGCTTGCAGTATTACTGCGACTAGTCTCAGGGTAAGAAAATATTCTCAATATTTAAAAATATACTTTTTCCATCACAGAGAGACAGTAAAAACTTAATATTTTTTTATGCATTAGTAGGCCTTGAATGGGAGATGAATTTCTGCATTTTTTTCGACTTATTTTTAAAAAATGATTTTTTTATTTCAAAAAACTTTTAAGTTAAATATTTCAAAATTTTATTTATGATTAATTTTTCAAAGATAATTAAAATTTCAAAATATACAATTAATTGAAATAATGTAAAATTTTATTGGAAATAATTGATTTTTTAAATATTTCATTAAAAATTTTAAAAATACAAATTTTGGAAAATTTTAATTGCAAATTTTAAATAAATTGAATTTTAAAAAATTATAAAATTGGGCAGAATGTGTTTTTTACTTGGACAATTTTTGTTTAAGTAAAAAAGCACATTCTGCCCAATTTTTTTAAAGAGTTTATTTCTAGGAAAACATTTTTTAGAAACTAAAAAACTAATTTTAAGAATATTTTTATTATAATCTTTTAAACTTTAATTATTTTACATATTTTTATTTTTTATATTTATTCACAGTTTGGTGGTACCGAAATGTCAATGGAAGACATAACACAGGAAACAATAAAGAAACAAATGACAGAATCTGAATGGAATAAGGTTTATGAAATGAGTCACGATAGAAATTTGTATCAGAATTTGGTATCGAGTTTATTCCCCTCAATTCATGGCAATGATGAAGTGAAGAAGGGCGTCACTTTAATGTTATTTGGTGGTGTTCCAAAAACAACTGTGGAAAAAACAACTTTAAGAGGCGATATAAATTGTTGTATTGTTGGCGATCCAAGTACAGCGAAATCGCAACTTTTAAAACAAGTGGCCGATATTTCACCGAGAGCAATTTATACATCGGGTAAAGCGTCAACTGCTGCCGGTTTAACTGCAGCCGTTGTAAGGGATGAGGAATCTTCTGATTTTGTCATTGAAGCCGGAGCTTTGATGTTGGCTGACAATGGAATCTGTTGTATTGACGAGTTCGACAAAATGGATCCCAAAGATCAAGTCGCTATTCACGAAGCTATGGAACAGCAGACCATTTCTCTCGCCAAGGTTTGTTGTTTGTGAAAGAATTTTTATTCTGTGAATTGTTCATTTTTTTCATCTTTATTATTTTATTGTTTATTTCACTGTTTTACAGTTTATTGTACTTTTTTACTCTTTGTTGTAGTATTTTACTTTTTTTCTGTTTTATTATTTATTTTATTGTTTTACTACTTATTTTATTGCTTTACTATTTGTTTACTAATTTACTATTTGCTTGACTATTTTTCTATTATAAAATATAATACAAATATAAAAGTTATTGTGAAGAAACTAAAACAAAATAGCGAAAATAAAAAAATACCAAAATAGCTTCGCTATTTTATTTTATTTTCTTCACAACAATTTTGCTGTTTAGTTTGATTTTTATTAATTGTTTACGTATTTTTTATTTCAGGCGGGAGTTAGAGCGACTTTAAATGCTCGAACATCGATTCTCGCCGCTGCCAATCCGATTGGCGGTCGCTACGATAGGCAGAAATCTTTGCAACAAAATGTTCAATTGACGGCGCCTATTATGTCTCGATTCGATCTCTTCTTCATTTTGGTTGACGAATGCAATGAAGTGGTTGACAATGCGATTGCCAAAAAAATTGTCGACTTACATAGTAATGTTACTGCCACTATCGATACGCCTTATACACAGGAAGAAATTCTTCGTTACATTAACTTTGCCAAGCACTTCAAACCAATCATCAGCAAGGTAATTATTTGAATTTGAAATTTTTACAAAAATATTTCTCCTTATTTTAAATCAAAAAATGTTAATGCTTCTAAATAAACTAAATTGAAAAATTTAACACAATAATTTTAATCTATATTAATAATTGTTGTATTTCGGTAATCGGTAATGTTTAAAAAATTTTATATCAATGTACTGAAAATCATTGAATTCAATTATTTTAAATACAATTATAATTGTATTCCAGGGAAAATTAAATTATTTATAAATTCTTCGTAAGAATTCAATTATATCAATAAATAATAAATTTTTCACTAGAATTCAATTATTTTAAATATAATTTTAATAAAATTCTTCTCAAAAATTCAATTATTTGTAGAAATTTATTATTTATATATTATAATTATATTATCAATTATTTATAAAAAAACTTTAAAATAATTGAATTTATTTCAAGAAGTTTATCAACATTTTTTTCAATAATTGAATTCTTTCGAGAAAATGTAATTAAAATTGTATTGAAAATAATTTAATTTTTGGGAAGATTTTTATTAAAATTCTTTATAAAATAATTGAATTGTTTTGAAGAATTTATTTCAATATTCTTGAAAATAATGAAGTTTTGTTTAATAATTTTTACTGAAAATTTTGAAAGTAATTAAATTTTATGAAGATTTTCTTTTAAGTTTTTAAAATAATCGTAAATGTTATTACAATTTTTAAAAATAATTGAACCTGTTAGAGAAATTTTATTAAAATTATCTTGAATATAATTAAATTTTTTCCCAGAAATTTAATTAAAATTGTATTGCAAATAATTGAATTCCTCGGAAGAATTTTATTATTAACAAAAATAATTGAATTTCTCAGAAGAATTTTATTATTTACTAAAATAATTGAATTTATCAGAAGAATTTTATAATTTACAAAAATAATTGAATTCTTGACAAGAATTTTACAATTTATAAAAATAATTGAATTATTACGAAGAATTTTTTATCAGAATTGTTCAAAATAATTGAATTTAAATCATATTTTTAAATATTATTGTATTCTTTCAAGAAATGTTATTAAGATTGTATTGAAAATAATTACATTCTTCCGAAACATTTTATTATTTATGAAAATAATTGAATTCCTTTATAGAATTTTCTTATTTATGAAATTATTTTAATTCTTGATAAGAATTTTCTTATTTATGAAAATAATTCAATTCTTGTGGAGGATTTTACAATTCATAAAAGTAATTGAATTTTTTCGAATGATTTTATCTGAATTTTTGAAAATATTTGAATTTTTTGAAGGAATTTTACTAAATATTTTGAAAATAATAATTTTTTTTAAATTTTCATCAAAATTGTTTAAAATAATTGAATTTATATTAAAATTCTTGAAAATAATCGAATTTAATTAATATTTAAAAAAAAAATTGAATTGCTTTATAAAAAATATTATTTATGAGAAAAATGAAATTCTTGCGAAAAATTTTATTAAAATTTTTGAATAACAATAAACAAGTATATTTAATATTATGTACTTAATAAATGAATTCAGGGCTGGAATTATGCGACTTTTCGACTTTTTCCAGATTTTTTTTGAGTAAAATGCGACTAATCGACTTTTTCAACATTTTTCAATTACTTTTTGACTTAAATTTTAAATACTAGAAATCTTTTTTTTGTTTAACTGTTTATTATTATCTACTAAATAATAATAGTCATATTTTTTACTTTCATTTTTTCATGATTTATAATAAAATAATATTTGAAATATTCAAAATTTTGGAAGAGAAACATTATATATTTCCATTTCTTAATATTTTTGTAGAAAATTCTCAATTTTCATAAGGAAATAATTTGCATAATTTTTATTTCTTAATTACAATTATTGCTTCAAAGTTTCTTAAAAATAAAGGGAAAAAAATTTTTGAAATCCTATTTGTCAATTACAGATATTAATTGAAAATGAAATAAAACTTTTTAAATTTTTAGTACCTAAATAAAAGGAAAAAATTTACTCAAAAAAATGTTCTGTTACATTTATTTACGAATTTCTTTTAAATTATTCGAAAACATCAATAACTTCTTTTTTAAATAAATATTTAATTATTATTATTCTTACATAGGAATTAAGATTTTCAAAAATTTCACATTCAAACCTTTATGAAATTAAACAACTTATAAAAAATTGTTATAAAACATGAAGAAATCGATTACTCCGAGTTTTCAACTCGGAGCAATTGATATCTTCATGTTTTATAATAATTAAAAAATAATTAAAAAAAGTAAATTTTTAAATAAATAATAATCAAACCGATTATTCGATTCATTTCAGTATTTTTTTGCCTTAAAAAATAATTTTTTACGATTAAAATTTATTTTTGTGTTTCATTGCAAATAAAGAAAACTACAAATAAAGTAATTTTCATAAAAATATTTTGTTACATTTTACACTCAATTCTAATTAACATTTCCCATTAACATTTTGTCATTTTTTTACAATTTTTACAATTTCATGCTTCTTTTTTGTCGTTTTTCTAAAATTTCATGTGACTTTTCGCGACTTTTGTTGTGAATTTATGCGACTAAAGCGACTTTTTTTGGGTCTTAAAGTCGATCTGAGCCCTGTGTATTCTTTAAATTTTGAATCTGTAATCATTCAAAAATTTATGTTTATTCTTGAAAATATAAAAGTTTTTAATTTACAAAATAATAAGAAATGGAATACCGCGTTCCGCGAGCTAGCATGGCGCTCGTATCATTTGCTAGTTATATTATATTTCCTTTGTATTATAAATACTATAAAGAAAAAATTATTTTTTCTCAGTATTATAAATATAAAGAAAAATAATACTCGTTCAAAGCCGAAAGGCATGAACTATATATGTTTAATAAATATAAAGAAAAATAATAAATAAATAAAATTTATTTAATAAATTTGCAGTATTTTAATAAAAGTAACGAATAAGTTTGATTTAAACAGAAAATGAAAATAAAAAGAACGTAAATTTTTAAATTTCAGGAAGCAGGCGACCTTTTGGTTAAGACTTACACTGTTCTTAGACAACGAGAAGGACTCAGTAGTGGAAAATCAACCTGGAGAGTTACTGTACGTCAATTAGAGAGCTTGATTCGATTGTCCGAAGCTTTTGCTAAATTGGAATGCATGGATGACGTCACTGTGAGACACGTTGAGGAAGCCCGTCGACTTTTGAGCAAAAGTATTGTTCGAGTTGAGCAGCCAGACATCGATCTTGAAAATGATGTAGAAGAAATGGCAATGGATGTTGAGCCAGCTCAGGAACAAGAAAATGGCGTGCAGGAAGATAACGAACCTGAACATGATCCAGGTTGGTGGGAATTTTTTGTTTTAATTACACAAATTGCATTATAGACATGAAAAAATTGGTCATTTTTGAAAATTTGTTTCTAAAATAAAAAATTTCGAGGATAACTCTTTTTGCCTGTACTGACAATTTCTTACTTCTTTTAAAAAAATTATATTTGGTCTCTTTCTCTTTATACTGTTATAATAATCGGATATTTTTAAATTTACTGTCTATCTACTGCAGTGAAAAGAAATGTTTTTAAACAAAAAGTAAAAAAAATATTGAAGATAAGTTCATCTAAATATGTGAATATTTGTTAAAACTGTCAATTGTGAGATAATTCTCATTTTTTTTGTGTGAAGTAAGTTTTTTCTGTATTTATATTATTTATTTTACCTTAAATACTGCGGATTATTTTTTGTCTTCATTTTCCACTAAAAATTTTTAATCATATTATTTTTTCTTAATGAAAATATTTGTTTTATAGAACCGGCAAAGAAGGTAACGCTGTCTTACGAGGAATATAAGAGAATTTCTAATTTATTGATTCTTCATATGAAACGTGGTGAAGAAGAAGGTATGTTTTTCAAGAATTTTATAATTGGGAATTAAATTGAATTTTTTCTTTTTGTATGAAGGAAAGAATTTAATAAAATAAATGAATTCTTTTTTAAATAGGTCACGGTATCAAGAAGTCGGACTTGGTTCTATGGTACATTGATCAAGTGCAGGAAGAACTTGAAACCGAAGAAGACATATTGAGCCGAAAGGCTTTGGCAGAAAAAATCATTGACAGATTGACTTACACTGTGAGTATTTTTACTATAGTAACTTTTATATGCAATCATTTAGATTTATATTTATTGCGAAAAATAATTATAGACAAATATTTCAAAAAATTTATTTTTGAATAATATTTCTAATTAAATTTTCAAAATATTACAATAAAAAAGATTTGAATAATCGAAATTTTGTAAAATTTAATTGAAAATAATTGATTTTTTCTTAAGTATTTTATTACAATTTTTTAAAATCATTTTTTAAAAAGTTTTAATTGCAAATTTTTTAAATAATTGAACTCTCAAAAATTTTAATGAAAAATCTTCAAGTGTATATTGAAAACTGTAATTTAATGAAAATTATCTTTTAAAAATTATATGAAAATATTTTTGAAAAAAGTAATTCTTAGAATTTTTTCATTTTAATTTTTTAAAATTCAATTATTTTCTATATTTTCAATTACATATTTCCGAAAATTTAAATACGTACATACAAAAAATAGCATTAAATTTTTTTAAAATTATTTTTAACATTTTGGAGAAAACAATTATGTTTAAAATTTTTAATTAACATTCTTCAAAAAAATTAATTATTTTTTCTTTAAACTATACAAAAATTCTTTTAAGAAATTCAATTATTTTCGAAAAAGTGCAATACTTTTAAAAAAATTAATTCTTAAAAAAATGTTTTGCTAAAATTTTTTAAAATTCACTTATCTTTGAATAAAGGAAATTAAAAAATTTTTAAATTTACGTTTTTAGATTTATTAAAATTTTGGGAGAAATCATGTTCATATTTCTAATTAAAATTCTTTAAAAATTTGATTTTTTAAATATTTTTCTAAAATTTAATTACTTTTACAAGATTTATCCAAATTTCAAGTATTTTAAAAAGATTTTTACTTATTTTAATTTTTTGAAAGTATTTAATTTTAAAAAAGTACAGTTACAGTTGAAATTATTATAAAAAATTGAATTTTGGTATTTAAATAATTGAATTCTCAAAGAACTTTTGGAAAATTATTAAAAACAGAATTACGATAATTGATTTAGGGATGAAGTTTAGTTAAAAATTGTAGAAAATAATTATATTATAGTTGTAATTTGTACAAATTATTCAAAAGGTTTTGAAATTAAAGTTTTTATAATTTTATTTCCCGTAGAAGTATATTTAAATATTTAATTAACAAAATTATTCAAATTTTGAAATTTGAAAATACAAGAAAATAAAAAATTTCCTTTTTTTTATCGACTAAAGCGACTGTTTTTGCGCTTTAAAGTCGATCCGAGGCCTGTCATTTTTATTGCTACGTTTTAAAAATATTTTCAATAATTATTGAATTGCGTCTAAATCACAGATTTGTCATTTTGCAGGATCAAATTATCATTCCACTGAGAGAAGGAGATTTGAAGAGCAGAGGAAAAGGAAAGGAAAAAGAAAAAGATGACGGCGAAGAGAAAGATGAATCAGATAAAGTACTTTTCGTGCATCCAAATTATTGTGTAGATATGTAAAAGTTATTAATTAGTATTTAAATCGGAATCTAAAGTGTAATGGACAATGATCTGTTTTGAGTGATTTTTTTCTTCACGAAATTTGAGATTAATTTTTTATACAAGACAAAGGAAAATTGTTTCCTTTCTTTTAATATTTTAAGAAAGAGAAACCAGATTCTTGAATATTTGATAAGTATTATCACCTTGTTGAATGGTGTTTTCAGTCGTATATTAAAGACTCACATTTTTTATAAATGAAATTTTTATTTATTTCTGAAAATTTATTTTTTAAATACAATTAAATACGCTTTGTTTGTATTTTTACAGGATAAAGAAAATGATTTTCATTTCTATTAATAGAAAACCTGAAAGACGTTGATCAATGTGGGAGATTGAGAGAAAGAGTATATATTTATATTGTTATTTCTTTCGGGACAGTTTCACTACTACTGGAAGTTAATTAACAACTATATGCGATTAAATTGTTTGATTATGGAGTTGTTTCTAACGAGTAGTAAAGGTGAGATGATAGTTTGATGGAGAGGCGGATCTCAGAAGAAATATTGAGCCGTTTACAAGTGTTTATCAGTGCTTACATGATAGTGACAGGCTCAACTTTAAAGAAATTTATTAGTGCAAAAGAACAAGATCCCATTAACCCGATGACAACTAGTGTTAAGCATCATGTCAACAGAGGAAGTTCAAACGGCAATTAGATTTCAAGTATTACGATTTTAATTACTATTATTCAATTATTCCAAATATAAGATTTATAATATACTTGAAATTATAATAAAAAAAACATTAAATTCTTGTAAAGTATTTATAAAAAACTTAGAAAATAATTGGATTTTATGAAGAATTCAATTATTTTAAAGACAACTTTAATAAAATTCTTCTCAAAAATTCACTTATATTTTAAAATTTTGCAAAAATTCAATTATTTGTAGAAATAATGTAATTTTTGAAAATAATTTTAATTTAAAATTTTGGAAATAATTGAAATTTACAAAGAATTTTATGAAAAACTTTTGAGAAGAATTGAATTGTTTAGAAAAATTTTATTACAATTTTTTAAAATAATTAAACCTGTTAGAGAAATTTTATTTAAATTATCTTGAATATAATTGAATTTTTTCCAAGTAATTTTATTAAAATTGTATTGAAAATAATAATTGAATTTCTCAGAAGAATTTTATTATTTACAAAAATAATTAAATTATTGACAAGAATTTTACAATTTATAAAAATAATTGAATTGTTTCGAAAAATTTTATATCAGAATTGTTGGAAATAATTGAATTTTTATTAAAACTGTTGAAAATAATTGAATTTAAATAATATTTTTAAAAGTAATTGTAGGTATCCATTCGAGAAATTGTATTAAAATTGTATTAAAAATATTTGAATTCCTCCGACACGTTTTATTAATTATGAAAATAATTTAATTCCTTTGTAGGATTTTATTATTTATGAAAATATTTTAATTCTTGAGAAGAATTTTCTTATTTATGAAAGTAATTAAATTTTTGCGTAGAATTGTACAATTCATAAAAATAATTGAATTTTTTCGAAGGATTTTATCTGAATTTTTGAAAATAGTTGAATTTTTTGAAGGAGTTTTTCTAAATATTTTGAAAATAATAAAATTTTAAAAAATTTCCATCAAAATTGTTGAAAATAATTGAATTTATATTTAAATTCTTGAGAATAATCGAATTTAATTAATATTTTAAAAAATAATTGCATTCTTTCGAGAAATTTTATTAAAATTGTATTGAAAATATTTGAATTTTTTCCCAGAAATTTAATTACCTATTTCGAAGAATTTTTTATTATAATTGTTAAAAAAATGGATTTTAAAAAATATTTTTAAATAGAATTGTATTCTTTCGAGAAATTTTATTAAAATTTTAGAATAATAAGAAACAAGTATTTTTAATATTATGTGCTTAATAAGTGAATTCTCTAAATTTTAAATCTGTAATCATTCAAAAATTGATGTTCGAAAATTTTCTTTAAAAAATTTGTGTGTTAAATATTGTCATTTTTATTTATTTTATTTAACGCGTGATTTGAAAAATTTGAATTATTTTTATTTCAATCGTAATTTATTTATTTTCTTCGATAATTTTTTAATTTCAATAATAAATAAATCTTCAATAATAAATAAAGGAATGAATAAATTTTCAATAATAAATAAAGTAAATATATAAATTGTCTTCATTATACAAATTAAATTTATATTTATTTATAGGATATTATATTCGAAATATTGTAAAATATTTTTTTATCATTTTAATGAATATATAGTAAAAATTCGTATATTGCAATTTATGTGAGTGATGGCAACAATGCATATGACTGAACAAGTTTTTTCAACCTTAGTTCCCTTTTTATCAAAGAATTTATTATCAGGAATTATTTCTAATTACAAAAAAGCAAATAATGATAATTAGTATTTTTTTTTTCTTTAAAAGTAAAATGATAAATATTTTCTCAATACAAAAATACTAACACATAGTGTGAAAACAAATTATCTATTAATTAAATTGTTTCCTATGTAATATTTTTCTTTGGAATGGTAAGTCGAATTTTTATAATTTTATCTTTTTATTTCTCAATTGTTTTCTGAAATAAATTTTTAGTTGCTGAAAATATTTTTTCTATAAAATAGATATTAAAAATATTTTTTAAATTATTTAATTTTGAGAAAAAAAAATTCCTTTTCTCGAAGACTTTAATTTTGCCCTTTAATTTAGAAAAGTGACGATCGCTAAATTGGCTTCTCCTTTAATTTTAAAAAGCGTTTCTCTATGTGATATAAATTTCAGTCTTTTGTAAAGCTTCACTTCGTGAACCTTAAAGCGGAGCAAAATCGCTCTTAAATTAATTGATTTCAAATTTTTTAATTAAAGAATGCGGTTCATTTTATAATTAAAATGCAAAATTTATTTGAAGATTCTTTTTAATTTTCTTTTACTGTTTCTTAATAATGTAAAATAATTTTTTTTTAAACAATTGTTTATTATAATAATAATTATTTTCTTTAGATTAAATTTGTCTTCTTTTTCCATATTTTAAATTTGTCTTCTTTTTCTATATTTAAAATTTTTCTTCTTTCTCTATATTTTAAATTTGTTTAAAATATATATTTCTTTTTATTTTCAATTTATTTGTCTACTTTTTTTTATTTTCCATTTGTCTTCATTTTCTTGATTTTTAATTCATTTAATTTTTTTTGAATTAATTAAAATTTTTTCTGTTTATTTTAGCAAGAGCAAGGATGGTTTGTTTTTGGTGGTGATTTTGCGCTTCTTAAGGAATTTTTATCTAGAAAAAGAACAAATTTATGGATTCCTTTGCAGTTTCTAGATTATTTGTTAAGAGGTTTCGGAGCGGTAAGATTAGTCTTTTTCTGTTTAGTTAAATTTTTAGATTTTATTAAATTAATAAAAAGTCATTTTTTCTATTTGCTTTTTGAATTTTAGTTTGTGATATTAAACGATAAAAATTTATAATATTACAGGTCACTTTGGCAAATAATCCAATAAGTGGTTTATTTATTGTTATTGCTTTAGCTGTCAATTCTCCTGGAATATTGATTTTCAGTGCAACTACAGGACTTTTAGGATTATTATTCTCTATAGTAATAAAAAAATGATAAAATATTTAAAAGTTATGCTATTTATTTTACTTTATTTATTTATCTTTCATTTTACGAGTGTTTGTTGTTTTTTTTCCACGTGGGTTGAAGTTTACAACGTTTATGATCAACGATTGTGAGAAAGAAATATTTTTTATGCTGAGAACTATATTTTTTGTTTCAAATTTACAATTTTTGTTTAGAAATTTTTCTTAAGTTTTTATAAAAAATGTAAACATTTTTTTCTTTATTTTCCATTTATTTGTCTTCTTTTTCTTTATTTTAAATTTATTTCTCTTCTGGGGGAGAAAAAATTTTAAGGGAAAATTATTTTTCCTCCTGAATTGTTGATTATAAACGTTGTGAATTTTGCAAACGTTTTTTTAAAGATTTATATTTCTAATTTATTTTTTCCACTAATAGTTTTGTTTGTTTTCTTTTTTAGTTAATTGGAGAACCATCGGAAAAAATTGAGAATGGTCTCACTGTTTTTAATCCTTTGTTAGTGGGAGCATTGGCTTATGTATTTATTCCCAAACTATACGGACCCTTTGACGCCTTTTGCTTATTGTTTCTATTTTTTTGTACAATTTTCAGGTGAGAATTTTTAATTTTTTTCTTCCTTGTTTATGTAAAAAAATTTACGAAGAAGTTATTAAAAAATGTGTAAATTAGAATAAAAAGAACTTTAATTTGAATTTCTTTTTCAAATAATATTTTAATTAGATTGTAAATTTTATTTTTCAGTGTCTATTTATCGAGATCGATAGGAATTGGAAAATTACCAAGTTTAACATATCCATTCGTTATTGCGGAATTTATGTTATTATTTATTCTTAAACATCACAATAGTGGATTTAAATTGGAAGAATTTTCATTCAATGGAACAATTGTGAGTAAAATGTTTATTCAATTAAAATAATTCTCTAGGGAAATAATGTTTAATTGAAATTTTTTTTTCCGTAATTAGGAAAAATTACAAATTAATCCAGAAAAAATAAAAAGCTTTTGATAATGGGATTTTATGATGGACTCAGAAAAAAAGAATTTTAATTTTTTTAGTGCAAAACATTGAAAATCAATACAATTTTGTAAAAGTGTAAATTAAATATATTTATAGTCAAGATAATTTATTACTTTTTTCTAATTTTCAATTATATTTTATTGTAAAAATTGTTACATTGTATTTGCATAGAAAACCTTGACTGTTTGAAATCTATTCATGAAAAGAGATTCACGAGATATTAATACATTCGTTTTGTGAAATGATGCGGAATATCACAGTGATTGGATGAATCTAGGTCAGTTAAAAACTAAAAAGGTTCTTTTTTTCTGAAAATTAGGAAAAGTAATCGCTTGAAAATTTCATATATCTGAATGAGAGAGAATGCTTTTGAAAATATCGTCGAACTATCGCCGTGAGAAATAAAAAGTTTAGATTTTCTCTCTCTCCCTCTTTTAAATTTGCATAAATGATTTACTTCTAAATTGCAATATTGACATTCAACAGAACGCTAAACAAATACATAATTCATTGGATTCATTAACATGAAGTAACTTGTTTTCTTGATTATTAATTTATGAGAAAATATAATTTTAATTGTTTGAAAAAGTAATAAGATAAATGAAACGAAGAAAGTAATTAGTAAAATAAAGAGTAAAATGAAAAGTGAAATGAAAAGGAAAATATAAAGTATAAAGTAAAATAAAAAGTAAAAAGTAAAATAAAAAATAAAATGAAAACTAAAACAATTCTTGTAATATTGATTGCTTTTAATTATTATTTTAATGAATTTATATTGCAAGCAAAATTTGCATCGATCCGTTTTAATTTCAGTGCTTTTATTGTGTTTTGTTATTGAAATCGAGATCATAAAGTCGTTATGTACACATGCCATTTAAAATTGAATATATATATATCTTTGTTAGGCATTCGAAGCATGTGTGGAGTTTCAATTTTAATTATTGGCTATTAAGTCCTAAGCATGATCGTTAAATTACAGCAGATGTTCTTGAATCGAATTTGTCGACAATAATTTAATTTAATGTCACTTTTCGACTAGTTGAACTTTTATTTCAATCAACCCTTTTTTTAATATCTCTCGTTTCTGAATTTCCATTGTTATTTTTATTTTTCAATTCAATTATTATTTTTTTTTAATAATTTATTATACCAGAATAATTTGTTCATTAATTTTCTTTTGTTCAATTTTTTATGAAAGTAATTAAATAAAAAAAAGTAATTGGAAATGATTGAAAAATAGTTCAAGGAATATTTTAGGAATATTTTTTATTGTTTTTTTGGCAGATTTGTGAATTTTTTTTTTTTTTGAAAAACTCTACAATGGAAAATGGGTACATAGACTTTTGATTCTGTTTTAGAACAATGGAGCAGGCAACATGACAATAGAAGACACGGGCACTATTGTTGGAAAAGAGGATACTGTCAGCCCAGAATGGGGAATGGTGAGGACGATATGTAAGCGATAATTTCCAATATACAACCAAACTAAAGTCTCATGTTGCTATTTAGATTTTCCGTGGTGTTGTGACGTCAGCATCACAGGTGTTTGCGGTCGATGATGTTGCTGTTGGTTCAGTCGTTTATCTTGCAATTTTAATTTATTCACCAATTACAACAGTCTTTTCGCTCGCTGGTGCATTAATTTCCAGCCTTCTGGGTAAATTTAGTTTTTCTTTATTTTTTTAAAGTTGGAAAAATTCCCTTAAACATCTTATTTACTTTTTTCATTTTGTTTTCTTTAAAAAACTTGGTGCAATTTATTTCTCTATAATTTTTTACATTTATTTATTTTCAATATAGGCAATATTTTCAATATATGGGAATATATTGTTACATGAAATTTGATATACAAACGTTGGAGAAACTGCAAATTACACAAAAAAATATTAAATAATTAACTGAAACAGTTTTATATTTTTTTTTTCAAAAAGAGATTTTTTAAAAATTGAATCCAATTTTAAATAATAAAAACCACTGTGGTTTCTACTTTTTTTCCTTATGAATTACCTGGCAAATGTTACCAAGCGAGAAATGTGGTACATTTAATTAATTATTTTTAAGCAAAAAACAAAATTTTTTGTTTCTAAATATCAATTTTAATTTTTGACTTATTTTGGATTCGAAATATCAAAAAATACACTATTAACAAATTAATTATTATTATTATTATTATTTTGCATTTTCAAAAACTTTTTATAACAATTCTTCGAAACAATTTAATTATTTTCCAAAATGTTAATACTATTCTTCGACAGAATTCAATTATTTTTATAAATAATAACATTCTTCGAAACAATTCAATTAATTTTCAAAATTTTAATAAAGTATTTGACAAAATTTAATTATTTTTATAAATAATAAAACTATTCACAGGAATTCAATTATTTAAAAAAAATATCAGAATATTCTTTGGAAGAATTCAATTATTTCCATAAATATTAAATTTCTTGTCAAAATTTAATTTATTTTAAAAAATTCCAATAACATTCTTTTGAAGAATTAAAATATTTTCAAAAATTCTGATAAAATTCGTTTCATTAATTGAAATATTTTCAAAGATTTTGATAAAATTCTTTATATTAAATTCAATTATTTAAAAAAAAACAAAAATCTTCCCAGGAATTTAGAATAATTTAAGTATTTTCATATGTAATAAAATTCTTGCCAGAAATTCACTTATTTTAAAAAATTTTGATAAAATCCTTCAAAGGAATTCAATTATTTTCAAACTTTTTGATAAATACTTTGCAAAAGAATTCAATGATTTTCAATGTATTAATTTAAAAATTTTAAAAGTTAAAAAGAAAAATTATTAAAAAAGTTAGATAACAAAGAAGCAAACGAAAACTATCTATAGATTAAAAAATTTGATAATTTTGTAATAATTCAATTTTTTCGTAAATAAGAAAATTCTTCAAAAAAGTGCAAGTATTTTAAAAAATTTGGATAAAATTTAATAATTCTATTACTTCTAATACAATTTTAATTAAATTTCTCGAAAGAATGAATTATTTTTAAAAATTTTAATAAAATTAATTTTCAATTTACCTAATTATATTAATTATATTAATTACTAGCTGTCGTACCCGTCTTCGACGGGTTGTAGTTTCTGATAATGCACTTAACAGTGTATCTACCAACCTAGAAAACCGGAAAATAGCCGGGAATTTGATTTGACAGGGAAAAAATAATAATTAGTTACTATTGTCTATTTCATTAGGAAAATAATACCATTTGAAACAGTGACCGACTTTTTATTATCAAATTAGTTATTTTTAACTAATTCAAATGCAGAAAACAATATTTCTCAATTTGTAGTACTTCAATCAATATAATGTATTAAAATCAATCTAAAATTTCCTCCAGTTTTTTGAGTTATAGTACAGTCTAATTCGAACTAATTGTATAGCAAGTAGATCCAGTTTTTCTCGGTTACATTAAATTCCCTGATATTTTACGTCTTTTCTGGTTGGTAGACACCCTGTTAAATGTATTATTAAAAAACACCCGTCGAATAAACCAGGAAAAATTTGGACAAAGCCGGAAAATGTTTTAAACCAAAATAAACACCGTGTTTAACTTTTGTCTTTACATTGATCAAGATATCTCTAAAAGTTAAATCAGAGAGCCCACAAATACTATTGAATTAAGCTTCATAGCAATTGGTATCAAGATAATTTTTTCAATTTTTTGATATTCAAAACATTTTTATACTTACATCTTCGTTATAAGAAAGTATTTTTGAAAAATTATGCTAAAATGTGACTAAATAATATGTAATATTCAATTATATAAAGTTTAAAAGCTATCCATTGAAAAATGTAAAATTTAGAAATTTTCGATTTTTTAAAAATATTTTTATATTTCCATTTTAGTTACAAAGTATTATTTTTTGCAAAATTATGCTAAAATGTTAATAAATAACATGTAATACTCAACTATAGAAAGTTTAGAAGCAATCCATAAAAAAATATAAAATTTAGAAATTATTTGTGTTAAATAAATTCATTTATTAGAGTCAAGTATTTATTTAATTAATCCAATTAAGATTTATTTGATTTAACTAAATAAAATTATTTAAACGAAATAAATTTTTATTAGATCGAAATAAAAACTTTTAAATAAGATATTATATTACTATTAGGTATTAACGTAACTTACAATCATAGCCTTATCCGATTAAAAAATATTAACTTGAACGAAAGTTATGACATTTTTCCAAAAAATTCGAAAAATCAACAAAATGCAAATTTTTTATCTTTTGTAAAATAAATGCAAAACTATCATTAGCTAACTTTTTCAGATAAATAAAACCCATTTCTACAATAAAATTTTTAAAAAAGACGTATTTGAAATTTTTTTTCGTTTTTTTAGATTAACTTTTTTCTAAGAAAATAGTGATTTTTAATCTTTAAGCAAGCTTTTCAGGAAAAGTTATTAAAGTTTTTTATTTAAAGATCAGTATGTTAAGTAAGAAATTTGCTACATTAAACCAAAATAATTAAGCTAAATGCCATAAAAAAGAAGAAAAAATGTTAAATTTTAAGAAATTCGGTTTTTTGAATTTTTGCTAATTTTCCATAATTTTAGATTTTTTACCGAAGGGTGGAGACTATTGAATAAGTAAAGTATTTTTTAAGAGCACAAAAATAATAAAGCTAAATGCCATAAAAAGAAGGAAAAATGTTGAATTTTAAGAAATTCATTTTTTTGCATTTTCGCTATTTTTCCATAATTTTAGATTTTTTACCAAAGGGTGGAGATAACAAATTAGGTAAAGTATTTTTGAAGAGCCCAAAAATAATAAAGCCAAAAGCCATAAAAGAGAAGAAAAAATGTTGAATTTTAAGAAATTCCGTTTTTTGAATTTTTGCTAATTTTCCATAATTTTAGATTTTTTACCAAAGGGTGGAGACTATTAAATATAAGTAAAGTATTTTTGAAGAGTACAAAAATAATGAAGCTTAATGATATAAAAGAGAAGAAAAAAATGTTAAATTTTAAGAAATTCGGTTTCTCGAATTTTTGATAATTTTTGATTTTTTGCTAAAGGGTGGAGACTATTTAAATAGTATAATTATACTACCGAAATAGCTAATGGTTACTAATTATTAATTTTCCGGTGAAATTAAATTCCCGGGTATTTTTGATTTTCCAGATTGGTAGAAACATTGTTAAATGTATTGGTAGAAACTAAAACCCGTCGAAGACGGGTACAACAGCTAGTGCTATATATTATCAAAATTTTTAAAATTCAAAATTAATCTTTTGAAATAATTATTGTCATCAATTTTACTTAAATTTGATACAGGGTTAATTTTAGTATTTTTTATTACAATTTAGTCATCAGAATGAAATTTGAGTTTTTCATTTTTTGATCATTAATTAATATAATATAATAGCAATTTTGAATTCTGTGCAATATACTGACAAAAGTCTCATATTAATTATATGGATATTGTTAATATTCTGACCTAATAGAATTTTTTTAAGAAAGTAAACTTATGATTTCAACAACAAATTTTTATTGTTGACCTAAGAAATACAACCGTATAAAAATTAATTACAAAAAAATTTCAATTTTTAATTTTTCAATATTTAAATCTAACACTTTTTATTTGTTATTCAAAGTTTTATTATTCTGACGATTAAATCTTAATAAGAAACACTAAAATTAACCCTGTACCAAGTTTAAGTACAATTCACTAAAGTATATGAAAAAACTAAAAATTTCGAATTTTTGAAAAAATGGCATAACTTTCGTCCATATTAATATTTTTTAATCTACTATCGCTAGGATTTTAAGTTAGGCTAATGCCTAAAAGACTGCCAAGTTTCACTTCAAACGATCGAACCTTTTTTCCGTGATACGCGGTCGAAAATTTGCGGACATACATACACACATACACACATATACACATACACACATAATTTTCTTAATAGTATTTTCGCATTCCTTAGAGTGTAAAAATAAGGAATATAATAGAAATTTTGAATTCTATGCAATGTACAGACAAAAGTCTGATTTTATTAATAAGGATCACGTTTTTAGGTTTGCAACTCAATGTGCCAGTGGAATTAATTTATTCTGGTGTTTGGGGTTTTAATGGCATTCTAACTGGAGCCGCATTGGGAGGACATTTTCTTATAATCAATCAGTATTCCTGTATGGCGACAATTGTCGCCATAGCATTCACTTCTACCTTGCAGTTCATTATTTACAATATTTTGGACCAGGTATTAATAGTATATTGTGCAACAAGTACAGAAAGAAGCTGTTTTCCGACGAGTGCAAAGTTTGCTGTCCCGAGCGAAGCGAGGGCAGCAATTTGCACGAAGTTGGAAAATCTTCTTTCGTACGTGTTGCACACAGTACTTTGTGCAACACCTTTTGGTTTTGATAAAAAAAGCTGTTTGGAAACGCTAGTTGACGCCAACATACGTACTATTTAGCAGGGTTTGGAACGTATGTTACCGCACTTAATATTCGTGGTTTTTTTACGCGTATATTACTGTAAAAAACAGGTATTCTACAAATAGAAAACAAATACCTATGTATATCACCAAAAAAAACCCAAAAGTTTAAGAACTTTGCCGCACTAGTGCAGCAAAGTAAGCACTTTGCCGCACTAGTGCAGCAAAATAACCACTTTGCCGCACTAGTGCAGCAAAGTAAGCTCTTTGCCGCACTAGTGCAGCAAAGTACTGTTTTGCGCATACTTTACAGGCATGCAAAGTATTACTTTCCTTACAGGTGTTGCACAAAATATTTAATTCTTTAATATTTGACATTTCAATTAAATTAATTTCTTTTTATTTTCCACAAGAGGAAAAAAGTTAATAAACTCGTTTTACTGTTTTATTTTTAAATGAAATAAAAAACTTTATCAATTTCAGTTTCAACTCCCGTTTCTAGCGATGCCCTTTGTTTTAACAACTTGGCTATTTTTATGTTTGGCAAATTCAACCGAAGATACATTCATTTATTGTCAGCATCCATCTTATCCGGAAAAACAACGTCAGGAATTTTACCAAAGTCGAGTAAATCAAAGGGAGAGAGTGGTAAATATCGAACAAAATTTAATACTCTGAAAATAAAATTTTCATTTCTATTTAATTACTTATTTATTAACTAGCAAATGTTACGCGCGGAACGTGTTTTTCAATTTATTATTATTATGCAAATTACAAAATTTTTTATTTTCAAATATGAATTATTCAATAATTTTATATTCAATCTTTAAAAAAATTCAATTATTAACTAATTTACTGATTAATTATTCTTGTTTATTAATTTCAAAAATTTTAATAAAATTCTTCGCAACAATTCAATTATTTTCATAAATAATAACATTCTTCGTAATAATTCAATTATTTTTTTAAATAAAATCTTTGCAAAAATTCAATTATTTTCAAAAACATTTTACGAAAGAATTAATTTTTTTCTTATTTGTTTTTATAAATCTTACGAAACAAATCAATTATATTTATAAATAGTAAAATTCTTTGCAAACATTCAATATTCAAAACAATTTTATGAAAGAATTCAATTTTTTCAATTCGGTATAAAATTTTTCAAATGAATTCAATTATTTTCTAAAATTTTAATAAAATTCAATAATTAAATGTTTAATTTAAATTATTAACAAAAACGATTATTTTAAAATCTTGAAAGAAATTGTTCATAAAATTCATTTATCTTCAAAATTATTAAATAAAACTAGCAAATGATACGCGCGGAACGCGGTTTTCCATTTCTTATTATTTTGTAAATTAAAAAATTTTATATTTTCAAGAATAAACATCAATTTTTGAATATTTACAGATTTAGAATTTAAAGAATTCACTTATACATAATACATAATATAATAAAAAAAAAAATAATAATAATATAATAATAATAATAATAATATTAAATATTCTTGTTTATAATTGTTCAAAAATTTAAATTAAATTGTTCGCAAGAAATTCATTATTCTCATAAATAATAAAATTTATTAGAGCAATTCAATTATTTTCAATACAGATTTAATAAATCATTTTAAAACTTAACCAAATTCACCCCAGAAATCACTGAATTCGATAATTTAGAAGAAAGTCAGACAAAAGCAGGGTTCCTACAGAATCTGGAAATCATAGAAATCATGGAAAAGGCCTGAAATTTTTAAAAGTTTCTAAATTTTTCAGTTTTCCATTTTTTCTCTTGAATAGAAATTCAAATAATAATAAAGCTAAATCCCATAAAAGAGAGGAAAAAATTTTGAATTTTAAGAAATTCGGATTTTTGAATTTTTGATAATTTTCGATAATTTTAGATTTTTTACCAAAAAGTCGAGACTATTTAATAAATAAATAAGTATTTTCCAAGAGCACAAAAATAATGAAGCTAAATCTCATAAAAGAGAGGAAAAAATGTTGAATTTTAAGAAATTCAGTTTTTTGAATTTTTGATAATTTTAGATTTTTTACCAAAGAGTCGAGGCTATTAAATAAGTAAAGTATTTTCCAAGAGCACAAAAATAATGAAGCTAAATCTTATAAAAGAGAGGAAAAAATGTTGAATTTTAAGAAATTCGGATTTTTGATAATTTTCGATAATTTTAGATTTTTTACCAACGAGTCGAGACTATTTAGTAAGTAAAGTATTTTCCAAGAGCCCAAAAATAATGAAGTTAAATACTATCAAAGAGAAGAAAAACTGTTGAATTTTTAAAAAATCGGTTTTTCGAATTTTTGAGATATTTTGATAATTTTAGAATTTTTACCAAAGGGTGGAGACTATTAAATAAGTAAAGTGTTTTTAAAGAGCCCAAAAATATTGAAATTAGATTTAAAATTTCACTGGAATTTCGTAAAAATTTGACCTGGAAATCATCGAAAAGGTATGGAATTTTAAATTCGGATTTCTGTAGGAATCCTGAAAAGGAAGTTCTATTTTGAATTTCTAAAATTTAATGTCAAATTTAACGCATTAGAAACTAATTACAAGTGAATCCGATAAATTTTGTTAAAATGCTATTACTGCTGTTAAACTTTCTTGTTGTACGAAGAAAATTGAATATCGCAAAAATTGTTACATATTTTATACTTTTATTTTCAAAATAATTTAAAAATTAAAAATATTTTTGATAACGAAACTTTTAATTATTCTAAAAATTAAAAAAATAATTATTCATTTAGCTTTTTAAACAAAGAATTTCATATCTTTCGAATCTAACATAACTGCAAAATATTAAATTAATTGAAAATGATAAAGTTAAACAACTTTTAATTCTAATTTCTTTGGAAAACAAAAAATCTGTAGTAAAAATACTAATTATAACTTGCATTAATTATTTAATTACAAGATGTAATATAATATAATGAAGCATCAAATTAAAAAAAATTCTAAATTCGTTTTTAGAAACAACGAAAAAAAATGCTAGGTAAATTTTAGGCGTACCATAGCCCCAAAATTTTAATTCTATACATTGGTTGTTTAATTAAATTTTTAACTTTATAATTATCATTTACTCGGCAGGTATGTGTCCATAATTTAATGTTAACATTATTTAAATATAGAGAAAAGATATTTGATGTACTATATTTTTAATTGAAAAAATTGACAATATATTTTCATTGATTAGTTGAATATTCTATGAATCACGTATTAATTTAAAACATAAAAAAATGTTAAAAGTTTATAAAATTGACATTATATTAAACAATATTTTTATGTTATAAAAATTGTTAAAAAGTTAAAAAACTAAATATTCTGTAATTAAGAAATTTATGAAAATAAAATTCAATTGAATGTTATATCAAATAACTTTTTTTAATCATATTGAAATAATGTTAACATTAAATTATATACATTAAATTAAATTATAAAAAAGTATTTACCTTCAGAATGAATGATAATTGAAAAGTTAAAAATTGAATTAAACACATAATAATATAAAACAACCATTGAAACACATCAAAACACATTAAAAAGTTTGACATTAAAAAATATAAAAAATGCCAATACTTAACCCACAAAATTTAATTTTCAAAACAAACAAATGAATGCAGATAATTTGCTAACGGAAAGGAAACTTACGATTATTATAATGTATATACGTAGATTTTTTTTGCTAATTAAATATTGAAAAAAATTTAATATTCTGAAAATTTAGTTTTCATTTCCATTTATTCATTAATTTTTTGTTTGCTGTAATTAAAATTATTTTCCTACAGATTGATGAAGAATACGATCCTGAAGCACTGTTAAATGATGGCAAAACAATAACAATTGTTTCGTAGACCGAAGTATTTATTACACAAAAAGCAAATTCAATTTTTCGAAAATTTAGAAAGTGATATTTTATATAAGAGAAGCTATAAAAGAGAATATATTATAAAATTCAGAAATTATCTATTGTTGGAGAAGAAGGGAAATATTTATTCAAGAACAGGAAGAAGAGCTTTTCAACGTGTCATTTATGTGGAGTTGGCACGCAGTTGTGTTCAAAGAAGTATGTAAAAGATATGCTTCTAACTACTCGAAAAAAGTGGTTTTCAGTTTTCCACGTTTACAATACATTTTTTTGAAAAAAGAGACGACTAACAAAAAATTCGAATTAATGTTAATAATAATAGAAAATTATATTATAATAATTTTCAAATAATCAGTTTATAATATAGTTGAAAATTTTCAATTAATCAGTTTATAATAAGTGAAAATCTTCAATTAATCAATTGCAAATTTTTCCTTAAGAGAAAAATTTGGTAAAAAGGAGTTTTTATTTTTTTTTGAAGAAAAAGTCTTTCAAATCTTTCGTAGTCTTTATGAAAATAGCTTGTTTGGAGAAAAATGGAAATAGAAGTCGAGGAAAAAGAAACATTTTTTATGGAGTTATTAATGAAATAATGGAAAGTGTGAAAATAAGAAGTTTATGATAGAGTGATTTATGCTCTCGAGAGTGTATATTGGTACGTGGCACTTGTTTCTCAGCATCCTTCATTCTACAATAATCCCTCGCAAATGTCAGGCTGAGCCATTTGGGGTGGATTCGTCCTCTCACTCTCTCTCTCTCTCTCTTCCCCTTTTTCTCATAACCATCAGCTTTATACTTCCCCGACTCGATTTCAACAAGGAAAGAGGTGGTAAACCAAAGGCAGGTGGGAGATTGAAACGAAGGGGAAATTCCATGGAGAGAAAATGATGTTACCTTCTTCCTTTAGAACGAGAACTGGATGGAGAAACAGGTGGAATAAGGGGGTTGGCGGAGGGTGAAGAGACTGGTAAAAGCAGAGAAGGGGTTGGAATCTATCCTACCCCCGTTACACGGCTTGCGTATTCAGCCTGGTGTCTGGCCACGGCTACTACTAGTACCCAGTATTCCGGCGACTGACCCGAGAGCTACTTGTTCCACTTGTTCGCAAACGTGTTCTTTTTCAAGAAAAAAAAAATAAGGTACTCTATTTTTATTATTAAAAACAAAATTCTCACCTTTCACTCAATATTCATTTCTCTTTTCTTACAGTTTCACTATTCTTCAAAAATCATTTATTTCCCGCTCAGTGCGCGCGCTCTATTTTTGCCAGGAGAAGATGAGCCAACTGATGCTCTACTCCAGGAGATGTCAAGTGCCTGACCTGATATATTTATTTCTTCATTTGGTTTAGAAAAGAAAAAATTTTCAATGCTGCGAGTGAAATACATAAATGAGAAGATTGCACAAAGAGACGATTTATCAGCTGTGAAACGAGTGAAATTATTTATAGCCGATTCGAATAATTGGAGGAGGAAAAGGTGAGAGGTTGAAAATAAAACAAAATATTAATGACAATTGAAAATGGTACATTAATGGAAATCGATAATAACTTCTAATTACACCTTGATTCTCAAGAGATCTTTCTCTCTCTCTCTCTCTCTCTCCTCTCTCTCTCTTTCTCTTTATTAAAATATTCATTAGTTTGAATTTTAACAACGAATGGGTTTTAGTTTCTAACTCGAGAACCACATCCATTCTCGAAATTAATGGATTCACTAAAACTATGAATTATACCGAGCTTAAATTAATTATAATCTCTGATAAATTTTTCAATACTTTACTTACTTTTTTTTAAACTCTAATGCGATAATCAATAAGTACGCATTTTTCATTGGGAAATTTGAAAAAATTTCCTGTTAATTAAAAAAATTAACAGATTAATTAATTTTTTAAATTAACTTTTTTTTAGAGATGGGGTTCTTTTAGTTTATCGAAGTAAATAAATTTCTTTTGTTAATTTACAGAATTGGTGGAATCAACTGTAGATGAAATCGAAGAATAAAAAACAATAGATTGAATCGCGGAAAAAGGACGATGGAGAAGAAAGAAGGCGAACTATAAATGAGATGAAGAAATGTTTTCTGAATCCAAATTTTTTTGCAAAGTTCTTCCACAAGTTCGAAGTTGGTCGGTCAACAATGTGCTGGAGACAAAAAAAGTGCTCAAGTTCACGACCATTTACCTTTGCCTTCGCGGCGCTGAAAAAACGCGCGTACAAACTAAAAACGCTGGCGCACTTTCCAGTGAGATAAAAGTTTCACCTTGAGTGTTTGCTTTTTAGAACAAGGCAAAAAAAAAGAAACCAATTTCTCGAAGAGAAAATCTAAAAGAGTCAATTTCAAATATCAATATTGTAAATATCTTAGATTTCCATATTAATCCATTATTACTATTAGATGAAAAGTAGTTGCTCAGAAAAATCAGGTTTAGAATAAATTCTCTCCTCTCTTTCTTTTGAAGAAATTTGTTTTTTGAAAATAAAATATAAAGGAAAATTAAAAATTAATGAGTCTAATGGTAGATGTTGTGCAACGTTTTTTGAATCAGTGGATTGAGAATGTGAATGAAGAATCGGGAAGTTGATGAAATATTATTGGAACGTTAGATTATGACGGTAATGCCGTCAAGTTCTGATGTCGCAGACAAAGCGGTCTCGACGGAAGATGCATCCTGCGGGGTGGAGGTGGCTAGTATCGATGCCCTATTGGCGGCATTGGTCGAGACAAAAGTTGAAGCAATAAAAGCCTCGTCTTCGTCGATAATAACGAGACGTTTCGGTAGTGCTCCAGCGAGTCCAAGACGACCGAGATTGACCTCATCATCGACTGTCTCCTCATCTCAGAATCATCATCACCATCATCATTATCATCATTGTCATCCCGATCATCGTCATCATCATCAACATCATCACTGTGATCAACATCATCATCATTGTGATCATCTTGATCACACTGACGATTATCATTATCCAGAACATGTTGATTATCATCAGCGACAGAATTATCAGGAGGAAGAACAACATCGAGAACATCATCATCATCATCATCATCGGCACGGTCGTCGATACGAGAAGAAGAAACGCGAACGTCATCGACGTCATGGCTCTGCTCCTTGCGGTGAATTCATCGAAAATCCAAGACTGCTGGAACGTGGATCTGGTGAGGATTTATCTATCTAATTTTTCTTTCAGATATTTTATACAATCTATTTTATTTCTTTTATTGATTCTATGATTTACAGGGTTGCCACAAATCAGGGAATTGAGAGAAAAATTGGTCAGGGAAAAGTGAGGGAATTTTAACGAAAGTACTGGAAAAATATTAAATTTTTGGAATTTAAAAGAAAATTCTGCATTTTGGTGTGAAAGAAAATCAATTAAATTGAAAAGAGAAATTTTAAATTTTAAATATTTAATTCTTCTTCAACTTCTTTTCTGTTTTATTTATAAAGTTTGAAATCACGAACAAAATTTAATAAAAAAAATTTTACATTTTGTTTATTTTTGACAATAATATTAAACCTTGAAGAAAATAAAATTGCATCTTTTAAAAATAATATAATTCTCGAAGAACTATCATAAAAATATTGCTTAAAAATCAAAAAATTATTTAATGAATAAGTTTATTTAAAAAGTCCAAAAACAATTCAATTTTATAAGAAAAACAAATTTTTTTTATTTACTATTTTTATAAATAACTGAATTTTGGAAAAGGTTTCAAATTGGAATTTTAAATAATTTTAATTGAAAATTAATAAAAAGTTTGTTTTTGAGAATTTATATTTAAATTATTTTAAAATTAGATTAATTAATATTTGAATACTGTAATTGGAAAATTTTCGAATAATCGAAATTTTGTAAAATTGTATTGTATACAAGTGGATTTCAAAATTATTTTATAGGTGAACTTTCCTTTTTTCTTTGAATAATTGAATTCACAGAGAACTTTCGCAAAAAATGATTAAAAATTGCGGGCGTCAGCGCACGAAACCCATTATTCGATTTTTTATTATGCAAATTACAAAATTTTTTATTTTAAAATATTAATTTCAATTGTTAAATCTTTTCGAATTTGAAATTAAGAGAAAATTCAATTAATAACTAATTTTCTAATTAATTATTATTGTTTTATGAATATTTTTAATCAAATTCTTCAAAACGATTCAATTACTTTCAAAAATTGTGATGAAATTCTTCACAAGAATTCAATTTTTTTTTATAATTAATGGAACTATTTGCAAGAATTAAAATTATAGAATACAATTTTAATAAAATTTTTTAAAAGAATTCAAATCATTTTTTAAAAACTTTCAATAACATTTTTCTCAGAAATTCACTTATTTTCGAAAATTTTGAAAGAACTGTTTATAAAAATTCAATTATTTTCTAATACAATTTTTATTAAATTCCTGAAAAGAATTCAATTATTATTGAAGAATTTTAATAAAATTATTCGCAGAAATTTAATTATTCTGATAAAGTTTAATGAAATTCTTCGAAATAATTTTAATTTAATTATTTTCGAAAATCTTTATTAATTTCAATTCAATAATTCAAATATTTTCAAAGATTATAATAAAATTTTCTGTAATAATTAAACTATTTTTATAAATAATATAATTCTTCGCAAAAATTCAATTATTTTCCAAAATTTTAAGAGAACTCTTCAGAAAAATGTTAAATTATTTTTAATACAATTTTGAATAGATTCATCAAAGGAATTCAATTATTTTCAAAAATTTCAACAACACTCTTAACAATAGTTAAATTATCTTCATAATATTAATAAAATTCTTCGCAGAAATGCAATTTTTTCAATACAGTTTTAATTAAATTTAACGAAAGAATTCAAATATTTAAAAAACTTTTAATAACATTCTTCACAAAAATTCAATTACCTATTCAAAAAGAAATTTTTTAACTTTTTATAAGAATTCAATTATTTAAAAAAAAATTTAATTACATTCCTGAAAAGAATTGAATTATTTTCAAAACTTTTAATAACATTCTTCGACAAAATTCAATTATTTAAAAAAAATGTTTTTAACTTTTTATAAAAATTCAATTATTTCTAATAAAATTTTAATTACATTCCTGAAAAAAAAATTAAATTTTTTAAAGATTTTAATAAATTTTCCGAATAATCAAAATTTTGTAAAATTTAATTATTAACATGAGAAGTTCAAAATTATTTTATAACTCAACTTTCTTTTTTTCTTCGAATAATTCAATACTCAAAAAATTTTCTTAAAAATTATTTAAAATAATTGGTTTAGAAAAGAATTTTAATTTAAATTTTAGAAAATAATTGAATTTTATAAGAGTTGCGCTTAGAATTTTTATAAATAATTGAATACTGATAGAACTTTCTCAAAAATTATTAAAAAGTAATTGATTTAGAAAAGAATTTTAGTTAAAAATTCTAGAAAATAATTGAATTTTATAGTAGTTACGTTTTCGGTTTTTAAAAATAATTGAATAATTGAATTATCAAGGAAATTTTTCATAAATTATTGAAAATGGATTGATTTAGAAAAGAAATTCAGTTAAAAATTCTAGAAAATAATTGAATGATTGAAATCATGAAAATATTTTAGAAAAATTGCAGTAGCAATTCTTATAAATTCTTGAATTTGGTTTTTTTTTAAATCTAAATTACTATATGGAAAAAGTCAAAATTATTTCTTAAAATCAGGAAAGAAAGTCTGGGAAAGACAAAAACAAATTTTCATTGCAACCGTGATTTTTTTATTTCTCTTTTATTTTTTATTTCTTTTATTGATTTTTTTTATTTTCTGCTTTTACTCTCCTTTAGAATATTTTTTTTATTTTTTCGGAAAAAAAATATTGTCATCTTGAAATAATATTTTTGAGTGTTAGATTCTCACTTATTGTGAGTCATGTAGGGTTTTTCAGCACTCTTTTTTTTTCTTTTTGATGCTTGAATGGAGGCATTGAAAATGCGAAGCTTAGGTGCTCTCGAGGAGCGAGCTTCAGGGATTATCGCTGCCTAAAGTGGAGCGAATTCGACTTTGGAGTTTTGGTTCATGCCTGGAAAACTGAAAGTTTAAAGTCCGTACCCAATGTATATTGCTTGAGAATATTTCAAGTTTTTTTTAATTTTTTTTTCGCACACTACATATATAAATGTATTTGAGTGCACCGACCGGAATCAAAAAGTATTATATAAAATCAGTCACCGTTAGTGAAATTTCTTTCGCGGGGAAAAATTATTCAATTACAAATGAAATTTAATAGAGAGAGAGTGAGTGTGTGATTTCAATTGGAAAATAAAAATTACACTTTTAATTTTTAGAAGGAAATGAAGGAAATACAACTTTAATTAATTTCTTCAAAAATTTCTATTATTTTTAAAATTTTTGTAAAAATTCTCCGAGAAAAATCAATTATTTTAAAAAATAATTTAATTTTTCACTGAAGTTCAATTATTTAAAAACTTTTAATGAAAATCAATTCAAGAATTCAATTATTTTCATAAATAATGAAATTTTTGCTGGAATTCAATTATTTATAATACAATTTTAATTGAATTTCAGTGAAATTTTAATTATCTTTAAACATTTTTTTTTAAATTTTGGAATGAATTCAATAATATCAATAAATAGTAAAATTTCCACAGGAATTCAATTATTTTAAATACAATTTTAATAAAATTCTTCTAAAAAATTCACTTGTTTTTGAAAATTCTGCAAAAATTCAATAATTTATAGAAATAATAAATTATATCGCAGGGATTCAATTATTTAAAAAAGTTCTAATAAAATTCTATTCAGGAATTCAATTATTTTTAGAAATACTTTTTTTCAAATAATTGAATTTTTTCAAGAAAATATAATAAAAATTGTTTTGAAAATAATTTAATTCTTGGCGTGTTTTTTATTAAAATTCTTTAAAATAATTGAATTGTTTTTAAGAATTTATTTCAATTTTCTTGGAAATAGTAAATTTTTTTGAAATAATTTTTACTGAAAATTTTGAAAATAATTGAAGTTTACAAAGAATTTTATTAAAAACTTTTGAGAACAATTTAATTGTTTAGACAAATTTTATTACCATTTTTAAAAGTAATTGAACCTGTTAGAAAAATTTTATTAAAATTATCTTGAATATAATTGAACTTTTTCCAAGTAATTTTATTAAAATTATATTGTAAATAATTGAATTTCTCAGAAGATTTTTATTATTTACAAAAATAATTGAATTCTTGACAAGAATTTTACAATTTATAAAAATAATTGAATTGCATCGAAGAATTTTATCAGAATTGTTGAAAATAATTGAATTCTTATTAAAACTCTTGGAAATAATTGAATTTAAATAATATTTTTGAAAATAATTGTATTCTTTCGAGAATTTTTATTAAAATTGTATTGAAAGTAATTTAATTTTTAGCAAGAATTTTATTAAAATTCTTTAAAATAATTGAATTGTTTTTAAGAATTCATTTCAATATTCTTGAAAATAGTGGAGTTTTTTAAAAATAATTTTTACTGAAAATTTTGAATGTAATTGAATTTTATGAAGAATTAAATTATTTTCAATAATTGTAATAAAATTGTCCAAATTCTCCGAAAAAATTCAGTTATTTAAGAAAATAATTCAATTTTTCACAGCATTTCAATTATTTAAAAAACTTTTAATAAAATTCAAGTCAAGAATTCAATTATTTTCATAAATAATGACATTTTCGCAGTAATTCAATTATTTTAAATACAATTTTAATTGAATTCCAAGAGGAATTAAATTGTTTTCAAACATTTTTTTAAAATTTTCTGAAGAATTCAATTCTATCAATAAATATAGTAAATTTTTCCCACCAATTCAATTATTTTAAATACAATTACAATAATTTTAATCAAATTCTTCTAAAAAATTCTCTTATTTTTCTAAAAATTTTGCAAAAATTCAATTATTTGCAGAAATAATAAATTTTTATCAGGGATTCAATTATTTAAAAAAGTTTTAATAAAATTTTATTTGAGAATTCAATTATTTTTAGAAATAATTAAATTGTCGATGAGTTAAAAATCATTGAATTGTTGTAAAGTATTTAAAAAAAATTTTGAATATAATTGAATTCAATTTAATAATTTTGTTAACATTTTTTCAAATAATTGAATACTTTCTAGAAAATGTAATTAAAATTATATTGAAAATAATTTAATTCTTGAATAGATTTTTATTAAAATTGTTTTAAATAATTGAATTGTTTTGAAGAATTTATTTCAATGTTCTTGAAAATAATTAATTTTTTTTTTAATAAGTTTTACTCAAAATTTTGAAAATAATTGAATTTTAAGAAGAATTTCTTTTCAGTTTTTAAAATAACCTTGTTTATTGTGATTAATGATTTTTCTATTAAATTATTAAAATTATTATTAAAATTATTCATAGAAAATTTAATTCTTTTAAACAATTTGATTAGATTTTTTATATATTGATTCAAAATGGAAATATTATTTTCTAAATAATAAATAAATAAATAAATAATATAAAAATGAATATTTTGCAGATAAAGGAAAAAGGAGAGCGTCGGAATGTCCTCGGAGTCCAAGTAAAAAGAGAAAATATTCCAAAGGTTCTTATGTACTTGAAGAGGATATATTGGATTTGCCATTGGGACTTGATACGCCATTTGAGAATTTGGGCATTGACGGTGATCAGGATTTAGGGCTGATAAATTTGATAAGATCGAGAGAGGCGTTCAGCGATATATGCGAGTATCCCAGGTTGCACCAAAGTGCCTGCTACACTTCCCAAAACGAAGCACAGCTGTAAGTTAGTTATGTGGAAACACTATATGCATGAACAAACTTTCAACCTGAAACTACAGAGATTATTCCGTGGAATGTTTTCTGACAAGTTGCGCAAATCGCAAAAGCGTCATATTGTTTATTAAATTCTCTATTATATTCTCCTCTCTATCTCTTTCTCTCTTTCTCCTTGACCTAATTGAAGAAAATAGTCATTTTTCTATTTTTTTCTTCTATTCTTTCTTTCAATTTCTATAATTTAAGAAAGTTGTAAAGAAAGATTTTATAAATTATAGAAATTTCATTGAAAAATGATACCTATTTAATTAACTGTAGAAAAAAATTATTCATTGAAACTTATTGGATCATGTTTTCAGTTTGTTGTGAAAAAAAATCTCTATTGTTGAACAGGGAAAATTTCTTTTGCGAAGAAATTATTGATTTTAGTTTCATCTTTCAAGAAGACGATATTCTTCTTTGAAATGAAGTTATTCTATGCTGTGCATCAAAGCAGTTAATTAGTATTGTTTGGTTTTAAATATGATAACTGAACCATTTTTTTGATAATGGAAAATTATTTTCATTCAAATAATAAATTTTAAACTCTTACTATTATTAATTATTAACTATAATAATCTTCGCATTTCATTCTTTCATTCTGTCCACACTTTGAAGTTAGTTTTTGTGTATGTTTTTTCCTTTTTCTTTAAAAAATATTGTTTGACAGATCAAAAAATGCAGGTATTTTTTCATGATTTATAATAAAACAATATTTGAAATTAGAAAATATAAAAAAATTATGATTAACAAATAAATTTTGTTTATTATATGCTTTTTTCTATAACACACGGAGAGACCGAGATTACTAATTTTTGTATAAAATCACACTAGAATTTACTATATTCACATTGCAACCACCGGAAATAAGGGGACTTTTTGTATTTTTTACTATTTTCTACACTAAGTCACTAATCCCGACAAATGTTCACCAAATTAGCAAAGTTTCTTACTATTTCGTCCAATAGTTCCAAACAACTGTAGTAAAACTCAGAAACATTGTGTACGTAAAATTACTATAGTCGTTGTAAATGCAGAAAGAAAGAGTGAAAAGAAAAAATACGGATTTTTGTCGCCGGTTTCCCGTCAATTCTTGACTAGTGGAGGTAAACTGGAAGGATTTTTACATACACAGACACACACACTCACACACTTATATATTTGTTGTTGGATAAATATTTGAAGACACACACATGTTTATTTCACTTATATGTATAGACGCGGTTAATTAATACACTAATACACAACTGCACGCACGACAACGAATTTCACTGAAAGTATACATCTTTGTTTCCTTATATATTGAATGATGAAAATTTACAGCACTTACGAGAAAGCAGTTTACTTTTAACAACTTATTATAAGACATACTTCTTGGGACAGGAATAAATGCAAAATTTATTAATTTATAATGGTCAATTTCTGAGATACCGAACGACCTACGTTTCACTTTATATTTAATTATTGTAGATAATATCCAAATTTATTTTACATACGCGAAACATAGTCACTGTCAATGATCGGAAGGCATCGGCTCATTTACGGAGATTGACGAGGTTAGCAACCAATAGAAATACAGGCGCCATATGACTGCACTCGCTAGCCACACTTGCTCACCAAAAATTACTACAGTGGATAGAAGATTTTAGTGGAAAATGTTTTCATTTGTCAGATTTTGTCTAATTAAATTAGAGAAAACTATAATCAATTTTCGCTACATTTACAACTCTTACACAAAATATTAAAACTTGCTATTTCAATGTAGCAAATTTATCTATTTCTTTTGTAAATTTATCTAATTCTGTAGTACATTATGCTAAAAGTCCCCTTATTTCCGGTCATTGCAACCGTTTTTAGTAATTTTTACGAATGTGGGTCTCTCCGTGCAAATTTCGTTCGACTGATCTAAATTATGCAAATTTTTCTCCATTTTATTTATAAAAAATATGAGAAAATTGTTAATTGTTAAAAATTATAATTAAGAAATAGGAAATATACAAATTTTAATTGAAAATGAAATTGAAACTTAATAAAATTTTTAGAAAATAAAGGAAAAAATTTTACTTAAAAAAATGTTCTGTTACATTTATTTACGAATTTCTTTAATTGCAAAAATTATTCGAAAATATCAATAACTTTTTTTTAAATAAATATTTAATCAATATTATTTTTCCATAGAAATTAAGAATTTCAAATTCAAATCTCTTTAAATTCAATAATTTATGAGAATATTTTTATAAAACATGAAGATAGCGATTGCTTCAAGTCGAAGACTCGGAGTGATCGATTTCTTCATGTTTTATAATAATTAAAGATAACCGAGTGATAAAATTATTATTTTATATTATAAGAATATTATTACAGTAACTTTTTCAAAATTATTTTCATAATTTCAAATCAATTATTTTCTACAATTTTTAATTATTTTTTATGAAAATAATTGAATTCCTTAAAGAAAAATATTATTATTTTTAAAAATAATTGAATAATTGCGAAGGAATTTATAGAAAATTTGTAAATAATTGAATTCCTGAAAAATTTTTATTATTTATGAAAATAATTAAATGTTTTCGTACTATTTTTGGGAATTTGAAATTGATTTGGAAATAATTGAACTTTGGGGAAGAATTTTGTTATTTATAAAGATAATTGGGATTTTGACGAGAATTTTTTTTTTTAATTTGAAAGATAATTGAATTTTATGAGAAGAATTTTTTCACTCTTAAAAATAATTGAATTTCTGCAATTATTTGTAATTTTTCCAAAATTGAATTTTTTTAGTGTTTACAACAAAAATTTGAATTACAAATTTTTAAATTCTATTATTTTTAAAATTGCTAATTTTATTCTAAAAAGTTAGAATTGTTGCTAGTTAATTAATAATATTAATGAAATAAATAAATTCTAATCTCTAGTTAGTATTAGTTTGCTTCTTTGTTTTCGAACTTTTCTAATAATTTTCCTTTTTTAAAAATGTTTTAAATTTAAAAATCAATGCATTGAAAATCATTGGATTATTGCGAAGTATTTATAAAAAATTTTGAAAATAATTGAATTCCTTTTGAAGGGTTTTATCAAAATTTTTGAAAATAATTGAATTCTTAAGAAAAATTTTATTAAAATTGTATTAAAAGTAATTATATTCTCGCAAAGAATTTTATTATTTATGAAAATAATCGAATTCTCCCAGAGAATGTTATTAACATTTTTGGAAATAATTTTATTAAAATTTTTGGAAATAATTCTATTCATACCAGGAATTTAATTCTATAAAATTGTATTAAAAGTAATTGAATTATTAAATTTTATCAAAATTTTTTTAAATATTTGCACATTTTTGAATAATTTTATTAAAATTTTAAAAAAATTTTGAATTGCTTCGAAGAATTTTATTATTTATCAAAATAATTGAGTTATTACAAATTTATCAAAATTTTTAAAATAATTCAATTCCTGCATAGAATTTTATTATGTATTTAGGTCAATAATTAAATTCTTTTAAAGAATGTTTGAAAATAATTTAATTTTAGCGAGGAATTAAATTATTTCTAAAAATAATTTAATTATTGAAAAGAATTTTATCAAAACTTTTTAAAATATTTAAATGAAAATGTCCATGAAGAATGTTATTATTTATAAAAATAATTGAATTATTATGAAGAGTTTTATCAAACACTTTGAAAATATAATTTTATTAAAATTTTCGTAAAGAATTTAATTTTTTTGAATAATTTAAAAATTTTTTTAAATGATTGAATCCTTTCATAAAATTTTATTAAGTTTTGAAAATAATTGAATTACAATATTTTTGAATCACAGAAAAGAATTTTTCTATTTATAAAAATAATTGATTCTTTCCAAAGAATTTTATTATTTTTATGAGAATAATTGAATTAAACTCGTTTTTCATTTAGATGAAATAAATTTTTTCAGTGAGTACAAGTAGTTTAAAATTGAAACTACTCGAAATAAATACCAGTCGAAATTAATACCTATCGTTCTCTGTTACTGAATATTGAGAGAGGAATCTTTCATACAGTTCAAAATAAAATATTATTTATCAAATAAAAAGAAATTGCTAAAGAAACCTTCTTTTTGTTATTTACAATATAAATTCATTTTTTTACCATTTTTACTCAATTTGTTATTTTATTGTGAACTATAGAGAGAGAGAGAGAGAGAGAGAGAGAAATATTTTCTTTACAAATAAATTTTTTCAAAAATATTTTTGAAATTTAGTCTCCGAAAGATATATTGACTGTAAAAGTCAACTTATTTCGAAATATTGACAATCAATATTGTTTGTTTTCGTACTTCCTTTTTCGCCGACAATATCTTTGATATGTGTGCTTATCCGTTTCCGATATTTTTTAAAAATCTTCTATCACATTTTTTGTTGAACGTAAATAATATGAGTACGTAAATTATTTACGAAAAGTTATGTATAAATCATCAGCAGTAAATTTGCCAAATAATTTTTAAATTACCTGCAAAATATATGATTAGAAAAAAGAAAGAAAAAAATAATTCTCCTTTGTTGACAATTTTAATTTTAAATTTTCCATTTTGTTAAAATTTAATTTTCTCTTTTACTGCGGGAATAAAATTTTTAACTCCATATATATATCAGGTTGCATTCAGAAAATACGAATTTCGACTGGAAATTTATTTCAAGATGAAAAGCTTCTTGCGTTTTTAAATTACTTGAGAGCAATGCTTTTGCAGTGAATGTAGGTAGGATATTTTGTTGAATTTTTTAAAGTGAAAGCTTAATATTTTAAAAGGGTTCATATATACGCTTATTGACTTTTAAATATTGACGCATATAAATAATAATATATGACTTTGTTGATATTAATTAAAAGTAAATTAGAAATTCATATACTGTTATAAAATTTAATTATTAAATACAAAATAACAATGGAGATTTAATTTTCAAACAAACTGCATTAATGATTGTATTG